TCGTTTGGCCGGGTTGCCTAACATTTGTTGGCTTCACGCAAGCGCTGTAAACAATTCATAAATGTGAATAGCGCTGCGCACCAAATTTGAGCTGTACTGTACTGTATAGTCTGGGCTGTTAGAACATGAATCGTGCAAATTGTGATACCAGCATGGAAATGGGTACACTGAGGTAATTTCACACGCTGATGATGATGCCGAACAGACCCAAGCCGAAAAATGCCTCCAAGTGCTATTTGGTTTATGAAAAAGTGGGAAAGGAAAGATTTAGGTGCATTATCATATATTATATAGTATTTAGAGAAACCTCTAAAGAGAAGCTCTACTACCGCCAAAAGCCTAAATAACCAAATTCATTTGTTTAATCGATTCTTCATACTACAGTCATGCTGTTATTTCTAGTCACTTACAGTCTACTCTTAGATGCATAAGATAGCAAGAAAAGATGCTAAAATGAAGTTAATGCGAAACTAAAACTAAACAAAACCCACTCGTTAATAAGTTATAAACACTACAGATTGACTACATGTTTCTAAAGAGTAGATATTTTAGGTGTCTTTTCAAGGGGTACTCATCGAGTGTGAAAAACAGGAGCTGTAGTGGGCCAAATTCTCTTTACGGTTGCGTTCACGTCGCTTTTCATAATTTTTCCTTATAGTTTGATCTAATATAGTTACTTCGTCTTGCATCAAAAACATAATATCCCACAATTTTTAGCATTGTTTATTGCCGCCATATTGAATTAAAAAGTATGGCCAGAAATAATTTTGACATTATGAGAGATTGGTTACTTGCTTCTCTCAAGTATACACAAATTCGACTTACGGCCTCGTTTAGGAAATTTCTCCAAACTTCATTATGTACGACCTTTTATTGCTCAGATTTGGCTTTATCATCACAATTTTAGGCTGAATACAATTTGTTCATATTGTTTGTGCTTGTATTGTAGACTTAACGCAGAAATGAGGCTGTAAGTTGAATTGGTGTATTACGTGCTTCGTCTGATTTGTTTAAACTAAGAATAACTTCGCGGGAAACATGTCTAGACTCAGATAAAAAAAAGTTGAAAAATGAACAACATCTGTTTAGAGATTTGAAGATTTAGAGGACAGATTTTATCAGCAAATCAATCCTGCAACTTAAATGGATTAAAAAACTGTTATTTAGTGGTCTTAGAAAGAATTCATAGTATAAAGATGTGGAACAATTAATGTAGATAAAACACTTTTATGATACCATTTGATGTTCTCGTCTATTTTGTTGAGATAATATAAGCCAAAACCATTTGCCGTAGATTCTATGCCATTGGTACTTTTTACTAATGGTGAAGTTTGAAAAGCCGCCTCTTCTTTTAAGCGCCTCCTTTAAAAAAATGCCCCTAAAAAGTTTGAAAAATGTAAAAGAGCAACCCAGGCGTAATACATATCTCAACAGTTATACATATCAAAAGTCACTTGAGTCAATGCTGTTATCAAATAAATAAATCTAACACAATATTATAAGATGTATTCAGTTATTTTGTTATTTCATACTGGTAACCAAAGTTATTTCGTATTTCAAAATCAAAAAATCTTAATGGTTATATTTTTTCCCCGAAAACTTAGATTATTTCATATTTCAATTTCCCCTTATAGATTTCCCTCTTTTGCTATCGCGGCCGCGTCTTCGCGCTTAATTTCATTGCGGATTGCGACATTTGATTGATTTTTGCACAGTTTTGCGGCTTTTGATCCCCCTATGATAGGCCCCCTTTAAATGACCAAAGAAGTAATAGCCACCATTGCAATTTCAGCAACCAAAATAGCAGCAAATTTAGCAACAATCGTCTCAAAAATTTTCCTCCGAACACTTGCTTTCTATCTTTCGTTTTGACCCAGGGCCTATAAATCCTCTGCGCGGCCCTGGGTCAATAGGCCTAGTTCCAAGATACATGACACACGCGAGTAGTTATTTTTTAAATTTTTTAAAAGGCTATGATAGCTATAATAGGCATCCATTGACATTAGATAGGCTTTTTTGATTTAAGACATTAGGCCATCGTTGATTGTTTCACATCTTCTAAGAACATCTGTGAAAAAGCGCCTCTTTTCTATAAGAAAAGGTGAATGAGTTGCTATCTTTAAGAATAACAGGGACGCCGGAGGGAGGGGGCTGGAGGTGTAGCCCTCTCACTTTTTGCTGAACTGTTATATTCAGATAATGGCATCAAATAAAATGCGGGGAAAGCTACTATAAAAGCTAGCCAATTCGTCTAAAGGTTCCTTCCCCCCTCCCTCCTCCCCCCCACTACAAAATGCGATCCGGCATCCCTGAATAAAGATGCATTTTTTGTTAGAAAACTCTGCCAATTTTTCATTGACGGACGAGTGCCTTTTTGTAAGTTAAAGTAACCTTTTTATCAGAAAAAGTGCCTTTCCGTCAAGATTAAGTACTTTTTCCAAAAAGAACCAGTCTTCATTTTCGTCAAGATATAATGTAAAACCACTTAAAAAGGGGGTTTTACAAATGTGAGTTCGTAGGTCGTTCGCAGAAACGTACACGATAAATACGGCAAAAACTGTTATCCAATTCTCTTTACACTTCTTCTAATTCATCAGTTCACGGCAAACGACTAAAGAAATCTTAAACGGCTAACGACGACAATGTAACGGCAAACACAATTCTGCAAGCTAGCGACAAGGTACACGGAGTTCGACAATCTTACGGCAATCAAGACTGAACCTAACTATAAAGCCACCCCTTATATACCCTTAGTATAATACAATTAACAGAAGCTGATGCAATTGCTGCGCAATGTTGCAATTGTCATGTGATGTCCTGCAATGAATGGGAACCCTGTGTTCTAACAATAAGGTTCCATTTTCTAAAAAGAACCTGTCTGTCGAAAGACATTTAAAATAGTATGATAAATTCCCTTCAAGAGAAAGAACAACAAGTACAGGCAGATATAGCACCTGTTTCTTGAATATGCATGATATTCAATAAAGGGAGTCCAGGTCCCCTCTTTTGTTTGGCACTACTATTGTTTCTGCTTCATTACTTCCAAAATTTTCGAAATATCAATAGTTTTCGGGCTAATGAATTACAGGCTACCGACGGGATAAGATTTTAGCATTTTAGAGACTTCTCAAAGTAATTAAAGTAAAGTCAAATGGAACTACAATATTCCCCCACCATTCTTTGTCATGTAATCTTGTCATGTGTGTCAACTTAAGTCCTTCTTTATCATATGATCTAAACCCAACGGAATAAATCTTCAATGTTACGCAATGATCAAAGGTCCCTCAACTTCAAACAACTGACAGTGTTTGTTGCAGGATTACCAGATGATAGAAGAGAGCTTGGATTACGTTTCATATATCATTCATATCGAAAAGATATAAAAGACAACTTGTTCTTAATTGGTCACTGTAAATAGTGTTCTATGGAGTCCAGTGTATATTAATATTTTGTTATAAATTTAATTCTACCGACTAGTTCTCTAAAAGTTGGTAGGGTTCACACACCCCCCTCCGCACGCTGCGCCCCTGATTATAGAATAATATTTTTCCTTCTATTACAAAGCCAGGTGATTATTACTTGGACACTAGGTTTAAATATCTGAAACACAGAATAAAAGTCAAGAGATAGAAGCAATACACCGGTTAGCCAGTGTTCCAGTTCCAAAAACAATAAAGATGTTATGTGTGGAAAGTGTCCCCCCATAAAGGGCGCCTGGGCAGCGGCCCACTTGCCCTTGTGGAATACTATTGTTTTGCCCATTTTCTTGGCACTTCACCCCGCTCAAATACAGGCTTCCCTGCCCCCAATGATAATTGGTGCCCCCTTCTCCAAAGCAATGGTGGCACAAAAGTGAACAGTTTATTATCAGTCTATCTAAAGAACAAACGCTTGCACAACCGCCAACAAAGAAGTCAGAGGGTTAATTAGATGTGCTAACAGCAATTCTAATCAATGCCTTTTTTTCTCTTCTCTAATGTCACGATGAAAACATCTAGCCACACGTCCATTCGTTCTTCTGCTACAGAATCAATGTACACTAAGTGAGCAAAAGTATTGCATAGGCTGAAACAGAAATGGCGGCACTGCAACAAAACATTTTAGCGAACCAAAATTCAAGTAGCCATAGCAAATGTCATAAAAGTTATAAGTTGACTTCGTAGTTGAAATATATTGTCACAAATCGTAAAGTCCTGTGCAATACTTTTGCTCACTAAGTGCATATATATAGTAATAACTTATCTTTGCCACTGAACAGCTTTGCGTAAGTGCTTTATGAATTGGCTTTTTCCTCTGGTCATTCTGGTAAAGGGGATGGGTTCTTATGCTTCGAAGTTCTTTCTTTTGAAAGACCCCTCACACTTTCTTTGACCCGCATGTTGTGAAGATTTTATTAAACTGGACAGTGTATTTTTTGATGAATCAGCATACAACTATACTTATTTCATACAGAGTTTTTGCATCATCAAGGTTAGCTTCTGTCCCTCAAAAACAGCGATGTCATATTTCATATCCAAGAATCGTAAGAACGTTGCGTTTAGATCTTTGGCGAAAGATACTCCCATATGAGAATCACTTCCAAATTCGTAAAATTTAAAGTTGCATTGCTGCTCCACTTTTTGGAGATGGCATATACGCAATAAAGGAAAATCAGCTAAACATTTGTCCATTCAAAATCATAACCTCATAGAAGAAGCAAGGCAAATAAAAAATATCGACAGTAAGTTATAAGTAAAAAAGACATCCAAGCTTTTTCAGGGTGGCTCGCGATCCCCCCAATAATGACCCAGGCTTCTTCTGAGAAATCCATTGCTTTCGGGACCTCTTTTCCTTTCTTTTTTAGCTTTTCCTTTTTACTGTCCAACCTTTTCTGTTTTTTTTCCGGTTCGAGCCTGATATCTGGCTATTTTCCAAGCCTCGTAGCAACTAGCAACACTTCTCGCGTTGAATTTGCGTCAAACTTATTACTCGCCCCAAGCTCCTATGAATGACGCGGATTTTTTAGGCTTCCTTTCACATGCGAAGGGAATTGGGTGAGGCCTCTTCTTCTGAAAGTAGGGAAGATGTCTATTATACGCGAATATCGCATACCACTGCCTATAACAGTTGACGAGTACCACATTGCACAGCTGTACTCTGTTGCAGAAGCCAGTAAAAATGAAACTGGCGGTGGTGACGGGGTGGAAGTCGTCAAGAATGAGCCGTACACAGATGATCCAGAGCATGGTGGGTCAGGGCAGTACACTTATAAGTTGATGCATCTAGAGAATAAAGTCCCAGGTTGGTTAAAAAAAGTCGCCCCGAAGGGTGCTCTGACATTGGAGGAGGAGGCGTGGAACGCTTTTCCCTATTGCAAAACTGTTTACACAAATAAAGGCTACATGAAAGAGAACTTCAGAATCGAAATTATTTCGTGGCACAAGGAAGAAAGAGTCTCAAAGACCGACAATTCAAACAAACATCACACTTTGACTGAAAGCGAATTAGCAAAGAGAACTGTAGATTTCATTGATATTGTAAATGATCCGGTATCTTCGACTGATTACAAAGTGGAAGAGGACCCAACAAAATTCAAGTCAACAAAGACAGGTAGGGTATTTTATTTTTTTCTTGTCCGGCAACCGTTAACCTGACATTAGGAGAATTTGTCATTAAAAATCAGAGAGAGAAGCAGGATAAATATCCGTAGATTTAAAGTAAAGAAAGTTTGACTTAATTGGTGATTTATTCTTGTTAAGTAGTATTGTGGTGTGGGTTGTATTGGTTCCTTTTCTCAAAGTTGATACAAAAATAATTATATAATCGCTTCATTTCATGACGTTATCCCTAACTAAAATATTTAATACGACATAATTGCTTTTCACCGTACACTGTAATTTCATATGAGAACCTCAGGAAGCCTCAGAATTATGAATTATGCCCTGTCATTTGTTCTAAATCTAAGTAAGGGTAATTATATTCCATCATCACTCTCGCAAACACAAATTCAATATGCTACCATCTTGCTAAGAAAGGTGAATGCCTTGACAATAACTACAAAAACAGACCTAAAGAGTTCTCAGTATTGAAGGTTTGTTAATATTTAGGCTATAAAATTTAATGACTCAAAATTTCCCAGCAGTTTGATATGATTGGTCATTTGTAATAGAATGAGTTTTCTGGTTTCAATGAGGAACTATTGCTTGGTCTGCAGAATAGAAAAGATCCTATTAGGATGTAAGGGTTTTTATGCACTTCATTCCACTTTAATGAATCCATCCAGTTTGGAAAACCTGCACTTCATTCCACTCTAGTTGAATCAATCCAGACTAGCAGATAAAGATCCTCAATTTCGCCTCAAAAATTTTGTTTCTGCTTAGAGGAACTCAAATGTTTTCACTCGTAACCTTTCATCTTACTCAATTCACACCTCGAAATTCAAACGGCATACATGTTCAAACCTGCAGTTGCATGAACTTTCAAGGAACTCTGTAAGAACACGATGGTGGACAAAAACTATTGTCAAGGGCATATGCCAGCTAGAACTTCTGAGAAAAGCAGCAAACAACAGTGTTACAATTTTCCAGGCCATTATATTTAAGAACACACTAGTTAAGATGTCTGTCAAAGTGTATATCAGTTACATACATATCTGTTTTCGACTATCCGCACAAAAACAAATAAACTCATTTTCATAGGTATCCAATTATCAAAAGAAGCGGTTAAAGTGTAAAAAACTATATTTAGAGTTTTTGTGATAGTCTAAATGTGATAGCTCGGCCTAGTCCGACAAGAAATTTTTCGCATAGAGAAATAAATAAAATGGAGTAACAATAAGATAAACATTTATTTTTTCCTTAGAATATATATATGAGGAATCAATGAGGAATTAAAGAAGTTTCTATGTGATTACTTATATGTCAATATAGAGTCAAATTTTTAGTCATGTGAAGTGTGTTTTGGCCTGAACACATCATACAAAGACCAACAACTTTGAGCCTTGTTCTGCCAATTGTTTTATGTGTTTGGCCAGGGTTCTATGATTCATTGTTTAAAGGACAAGTGACATACTTTTCACCCTATCTTTTCTTTTCATTAACTTATAGATCATCATTTAGAAGCAAGTTTTTCCTGGTTTAGAACAAAAAATTCTAATCAGGGGGTGCAGGGGGTGCGATTTTGCTTTTTATCATGTGACCCTATGACATACATTGTGATAACTCCATTTTCCTGTCATTAATAACTTAATGTCAAAAACAATTTGCAAAAGAATGACCCAATTACTAACTCTGAATTCGTTTAAAAGCATGTTGTCAACGTTAATATTGCACTGTATACCAGTAGCAGCAATAACAAATTATCACAATCTACGTCCCCGTGTCACATGATTCTTTTCCCGCCATAATTTGAAAAGGGTTTTTAAGTAGGAAAATGAAATCAGGAAGTAAAAATATTTCAACAACACTCTCATACAGCATTTTACTTTGAGTTAAAAGAAAAAAAATTTGGCCCCAAAAGCATGTCACTTGTCCTTTAAATTTCATCCTTATTTGCATACACATACTTCTGGTTCATTGTCTGTCATGAAATGTCATGAAAAATGATACAGAATGCATTTGAACAGAAGTTTGTATAGTTAACATGATAATAAGAAGCTATAAATCAGGTAATTGCTGTGGTCTTTTAGTTTAATTCATCTTTAAAAAACATTTATGTATCCCCTTAAACAGATTAAGAGCTTAGTTTAATGGGGAGACTTATTTATACTCCATTGTACAGCAAAATAATTTTTAATTATTTTCATGTTTTTAGCAAACCTTTTAATTCTTTGTAGGATGCCTGTTTTAAACAAACAGTGTAAGAAATAGTTACAACTTGTTGTTTGGTATTTAATCTTTTAGGGAGAGGTCCTTTGAGTGGAGCTGATTGGTATTCAAGCTGTGAACCCTACATGTGCTGTTATAAGCTATACAAAGTAGAATTTAAGTGGAGATTAATCCAGTCAGCAGTCCAGTCTCTTATACTGAAAGCTGTAAGGCGACTGCTCCTAAATTTTCATAGACAAGTCTTTTGCTGGCTCGACAAATGGCATGGATTATCAATTGAAGATATCAGAGCTATTGAAGAGAAGACAAAACATGAATTAGATCATCAAAGAGCACATGGGGAACAAAGGGGGATGAATGAACGCAACTAAATTATCATCAAAGACATGAACATTAATAAACATTTGGTTATCCAGGCACTTTCATTTATAATTGAATTAGTAAAGCATTAATTTTATGCCCTGAGGTGACAGCATATGATTAGATATAATAGAATTTAATTGTTGTGTCAGTTTGGAAGTGTGTTTGCAATATTAGGCAACAGTCCATAAGATTGTTGCTTTGATTGGTCTTCTTATAAAATAGCATTGTCTTCAGTTTTCTTCCTTTCCTTTTGTAACTCACAACCCTATTCTGGTGTAACTAAGCCAAAGATAGGAATAGGTTTTGTGGTAAGTATCATTTTCCCTTTACCTTGATTTGAAAATTGCTGTTTGTTTATGCTTCTTGCACAATTTTAGAGCCACAGGTCGAAACAAAAATGCATTTCAGCCTCAGTCACTAACTCTATAATTGGTAAAAAAGCTTTGCCCCTCTGGCTGAATATGAACTCCGTGGCTCAAAAATAAATGTGCATTGTTTAGCTGTTTTATTACAGAGATTTTCCAAAAAATGTAAGCTTTGAGTTATATTTTTTGAGATACAACATCCAATATTCCACAAAAGGCTTATTTTCAGTAGAAAACATTTCATTGAAAGGGGAATTGCAGTGAAAGCAACTGTAAAATGAGCTCTAATATTGTGATAAGACTAGCTTCACCCAAAGCTTTTATAAAACCTCGAGTTTGCCCAAACTTTTGATGGTGTTATGACAACCATATGAACTATGACAATCTGGTTCCACCAGTCTCCAAGGTGCTTTAGTCCTGGTTCAAACGTCGCGCGCGACGTTTGAATCAATTTGGTACGGCAGATTTAGTTAGGAGCGGCAGACTAGTTTGGATCGACAGAGCTTGCCGAGCTGCACGGCTCCAAACAGAGATAGGTTCGGCACATGAGAAGTGCGACGTTTGAACCAGGCCTTACTCTTAATAACACTACTGCTTGTTTCTATAATGACCTCAACCCAATTCTTGCCCAACTATTTTCAGGAGAAAAGATCAAGCAAACAAAAGAAACCTAACAAGGAAAATTCTCAAGTAAAATTACAGCTAAATTTAAAATAAAGATGTCCATTTTTATATGATATCAAACAATAGGAAATAGGAAGCTAGGGGGTTCAGTGTCTTCTGAAGAAAAACCAAAGTCCAGAAAAATTGGCTGTAATACAGAAAATGATCTTGAGGAAAAACAAAATAAATTAATGTTACGACGCACAAACCCTCCCTAGTCTCTGCTTTCTAAGCAAGGCTGCCAAAGCTTGAGGAAATTGTCAGGAGGAAAAATTGACACTTCTGGACTCTGGAGAAAACAACCCTGAGTTTCCATGGACCAGAACAAAAAAGAGGATGCAGCCTTGGTAAGCATCAAGATAACAAGGGGCCCTAGATGTACCTAAATACCCCCGCAGGGCCGTCGTTCGCTTTTGTGCACACGGGGGTGCCCTGATTGCCGACAAAGTGGGTAAGCCATAATTTATTTGCGACAAATCTGAAAATTTGCTGACGAACCAGCTCAAATGCAAAAAACTTCTCGTTTTTACTAACAATGAAATTTTCTTCCAAGGGGTGTTCCACACCCCCACACACCCCACGTAGCAACGACCATGTACTCCCATAAATTCAGATTGAGATTTCCGTTTCCTCTCTAGCCCTCCAACCAATGTCATTATGTTACCGATAACGAGCAGAGAACATTAACATGAAAAAACAGCTCCCAGTGAGTTTGAAAGTCGACTTCAAAGAATGATGACCAGTAAACATCATGACTTTTTGCTGCCTTTTTCCTAACGAAACGCTATTTAATTATTAATCTTCATTGCCACAAATCGCAGTGAGGTTTTGTAGTCTGCTCCGATTAAGAGTTCATTCACTCATCTTTCTCTGCTTTGTGGTTGATTTTCCTGGTCTGAACTTGCCGCTTTGGTATTTATCATTTATGAGAATTTCTACCTGTTCAGCGAATCACAAACTTCATGTATGGGCTAGATATCACAAACTTCGAATCACAAACTTAATGTATGGGCTAGATATGATGAACACTTCATTTGCGTGTTTCAAAAACTGTAACAAAAGTCTTTAATATGGCTAATAATATCCTTGCGGAAAACTCCGTTAAAATTACTTCATTTTGTTCGATTCCGATTAGAAATCAATTATAGCCCCGGAATTACAGAAGTCTGCACTCAAAGCGGGCAAAGGGGGCAAAGCGCTTAGAAAAGGGGCGAAACAGTGGTAAAACGAAGAAAATCACTCAATTTTGCGAGGGCAATGGGGCAACTGCCAATGCTGTCCCCTTTGGGTAGGCGCCCTTGCCTGGAATGTTAGCAAACTTTGCGACATCTCACCCCTGTTCTATGGGACCAAGCGAGCCATAACTGCGGGATAAAGTCTTTGTTTAATGTAAAGGAATGGACAATTTTAAACCACGGAAAGTCACTAGGGCTAAAAGGGCGATTGCGGCCCTATGCCTCCGCTTAAGAACTATTTCTTTCAAAACCGAAATGTCTTTTATGAAAATCTCAGTGCTGCCCAGCAAGGTAATTTCGAATACCACAACACATGGAAAATGAAGTACAAGAGAAGCCTAATAAAATTAATAATTATGAAAATAAAACACGCATAAGCAACCAACAGCTTCATTGTTCAGACACTGCATCGCTAAAAGTGCGTTGAATGTTTGCTGCTTGTGGCAGAGATTTGAATAAAGCTGGTAATAGTATTAGACTTTCCACTAGGCAGTGGCGGAAATTATGGACTTTGGGGGGCTCAGCCCCCTCCCCAATCAGCGACGTCGTCGGAAAATTCGGGCTTTCGTCGGATAATTGACAACATTTTAACGTGTCGAAATTACTCCATGAAGTCCTTCTGAAAAGTAATTTTAAGCTAATCTAAGGGGCGCAATTGCTAAATTTTTTGCTCGCTTCGCTCGCTACCCTGGGTGCCAGAGCCTCAGAGAGTCAAAGGATGAAGAACGGGGTCGCAATTCCTTCCCCCGTTCTTCATCCTTTGACTCTCTGAGGCTCTGGCACCCAGGGTATTCGCTCGCAGGTGATCTGCATTTTCCTTTTTTACCCAGGGACCTCTATAACCTCTCTGTGCCCTTTTTTGCAAAATTTCAACACAGCATAGCTGATAAAATATTAGCCAGTACTAAATAGTCAAACAAACAATATATGACCAAAATCAAAACTGCTTGTGAATTGTATATTTAATTTCAATTCTGTAAAGATCAGCCAAAATTTCTATTGGATTCTTCTGAATAAAAGTTATTTTCAAACGTATTTCTCACTGACGAAAACAAGATAAAATGCATAAAATGAACGTACGACTTGTCAAAAGTGTTATCGGTCTACCTCTTGTATCATCAATTGTCTTAGATGAGATATGATCTTGATATCAAAAACCACAAATGGATTGTTCTTCTTGCTACTTAATTATGGCGTGGTCAGCCAAGATTTCTAAAGAGTCCCGTCTAAAAATAAACTACTTTTGTCAAAATGTGCAGTTTCTTTAAAATTAGACAAATTTTGACTCAAATCCTTCTCGAAGCAACGGAAAACATCCGACACGCCCTTTTACTAACAGTATGTTAATTTCTAGTAGCTATTTTGAAAGGGTCAAAGGTCAAGTAGAAGGCCACCATTTTTTCGCCAAATTGTTCAACGTTAGTTTGTGGATTCAGGCACCGCCGAGCGTTGAGAAAAATGGGGGCCGTCTAAAATAGGGTGGGCTAAAACCTTATGAAAAAAGGCTTTACTGGCAGTTTATTACTTAATATTTGGCATTTTTTGCAAAAAGTGGGGGAGCCACCCTGCTCCGCTATGCCTGGGATTTTATACATATTTAAAATCACGGTCCTCCAGTGCTACACCTGTTATTGGGTACATCAAAGTTGGCAAGGACCGTCCAATTCAAACTGGTTCTAGTTGAGTACTGATTGGGCATATTGGTGCAGTTGTTGATGTTTTTGCAAACTTGGTTTCTAATTTTAAATAGATATTTTTTTCTTTGATGGATTGTATTACTATTACTGTCAATTACCGATGGTTTTGTATTGCAATTGTAGGGGCCTGCAAGGTCATCAGGGAACGTAGCTAGTTCCCAGACCCCGGACTAACCTATGAACTATGCTATCACCTTCATTCCCGAACGTGTAGACATTCACTGTTTTCTCGTACGGTGACATTTGTTGCGTGTATCTCCAATTTGAAACCAAGAATGGCATTGAACGGATTTTACAGATACATGCGCTTACCTTTCACAATATCGCAATCACGGCTATGTGTACGAGGAATATCAAGCAGCTATAAACTAGAGTTTACTTCTGCACACGTTGGGACTACAACTTCAGTGGAAAGACACGAGGAGATAAAAAATGTCGTCGTCGTGGGCGCCGGGTCTATGGGATCGGGTATTGCACTTGATGCTGCTAGAAATGACTTCAATGTAGTACTGGTCGACAAAAATGCTGCCCAGCTCACTAGCTGTATGACGTTGGTAAGGAGAGGCCTAGAAAGGGTAGTGTCAAAGAAGTTTCCAGACGAGCCCAGAATGGCAAAGAAGTTTACCGAAGATACAATAAGAAACATCCTCACATCTACAGATGCCATGATGGCGGTGCAAAATGCAGATATTGTCATTGAAGCTATATCAGAAGATCTCACAGCTAAACAGGAGCTTTTTGCAGATTTAGACGAAGCCGCACCGAAGAAAACCATATTTGCCTCAAACACAACATCCTTGCCTATAGCCCAAATCGCATCAGCTACCAAAAGGCAAGACAAATTTGGTGGCCTTCATTTTAACCCTGTGCTCATGATGCAGCTTGTTGAGGTCATCAAGTCACCTTTCACCTCTAACAGTACCTACAAGAAGCTGTTTCAGTTTGGAAAGGATCTTGGTAAAACTCCAATTGCATGCAAAGACACTACAGCATTTGTTGTCAATCGACTGCTAGTTCCATACATTCTGGAAGCAATTAGGTTGCTAGAGAGGGGTCATGCAACCCTTAAAGATATTGATCATGCAATGAGACTAGGTGCTGGCTATGGCCATGGACCTTTTGAAGTTGCAGATGAGCTAGGCCTAGATCTTGTTAAATCAATAGCAGATGAGCTTCACATACAACATCCATCAGGCGATGTATTCAAAGCTCCTGATACCCTAAACAAACTTGTGGCTGCTGGAAAGTTAGGATGGAAGAGTGAAGAGGGGTTCTACAGTTATCACAAAACTGGACGACATTAGAAATTAAAATTTGACAGTAGATTAATTGTATGTATCTGTGACTTTATTAAAACTAGCATGGAGAAGTTAAAATCAATACCTACACAGACATGATATCAGAGCTGTTTTCCCTCATAAAAAGCAGTGTAAGAATGATTGTTTTATGGCTAAAAGTATCATTTTTAATTTACTTCTTTCATATTTTAATGACAATGGATCTAGATGAAGTTTTTGTGTTGAGCAGATTAATTTATGTTTGTAAAAATCATCTATTTTTTTCATCTGATCATGGAAGTATTATGGCAACACAACTAAAACCATTCAAAAATCAAGAACAAGATGCAACTACCATACATAGAGAACAAATTTTGATTTATCATCCTACTTCTGGACCAGAAAAGAGACCCTTATTTATGACATTAAGACATTGTGCAAGAAGAGAGTAAACCCAAAAATACTGAACGATGCTTTTCATTCTTCAGTACACTAAAATGACGCTTTACCAAGATCACACGAAACTATAGCCATCACATTGAAAGCAAATGCCACCACATAAGGGAAGGCTTATGTTATTATGACCCAATACATTTATAATCTTAATATGTCCTCTAAATTAAAAACAGTGGAGAGACAATATCATCATATTTGGAAGTTGATGAGTTTTGTTTGAAAATTATTATTTGGGAGTAAATAAGAACCGCTGTTGAAAATGTGAATAAGGAGTACTCTTGAAAAGAAAATTGTCAAAACCAATGGATATGATGCCCTAAACTGGTAAGATCCAAGTGATTTAGGAACAAACATCTGTTCATTTAGAAACAAATATTTCAATGGAGTAATCAAAACAAAGAGCACATTAATAGTCATCAAAATTTTTGGTTTACATACTTTCAAAAACGTTCTTGAACTTTCAGACACATATTCTAGATAAGATTATTAGGAAATTGTAAAAAGGATTTTGAACATCAAAAGATTGCACACTTGAACAAATCATAAAATTTTTTGGTCTTTGCCAAGCACCTTTGTTTTAAGTGGCCTCAGGAAATTTTTGAGAAAATGTGATACAAACAGTTTTTAGGTAGAGGGAAGAGCAGGTTGTGTTGATTTTTTGCTTGATTGCATTTTTCTGGATGGAATTTTTGTAAATTGCGCAGTCTGCAAGTTTTAAGCTATTGACTAACTAAAGGTATGCAACTAAAGCTCTTGTAAATTGTGCAGTCATTCAAGTGTAACATAAATATTGTATGCATTTGTCAAGAGATGACATGAAACTAAGAAAAGAATGTTAATTAAAACTAAATGTCACTTAACGGTTGTGAAAACTGTTTAAACAAATGAGAATGTTTGCAAAAGGTTTTACCTTGAAAGCAGCCATGATAATAAGATTCTTTAAAATGTTGTGGTTTTGCCGAAAACTAATAGTTATGGCATGACAATCAACTACCAATATAGGGAAGTTGAGGTTAGGGGTGGGGGTACTCCATTGAAATTACAAAATTCTAGCATAAACTAAAACTGAATAAGCTTGCCTCCTTTAGCATATTGATTCTTTGAGAAAATATTGTCATCTAGATGTTTTGTTGTGTGATGTATATTTTTGATTATAGAGAATCTACGATATATATCACATAACTTGTAATTAAATTCAACTAGCATAGAAAAAGCACTACTTTCAGGAAAATATATGTATGAAATATCTAGGAACAAAAAGAGTTTCATTGTTATTGGTCACTTACTTATAGATCATGTATCTATATCCAACTTTTACATTTATTCTTCTTTTTGATTTTAAAAGTATCTGTTGAAATACTTTATGATAGCAGTTGAGCATCATCACATGGACATTTTAGCAGTGAATCTTTTTTGCATTAATTTTTTATTGCATCAGGAGGCAAAAACCCATTTGAACCAACTTCTAATCACCCCCTACATGCAATTTTGCATTGACTGCCATTTTACAACAAGCAATTATAATTCAATAGGGTATTTAAACTAAGTGGTGAACATCATTTTGGTTTCTTAATAAATGTTGAAGGAAAATTTTCAAAATACTGGAATATGTCAATAGGGTTTTATTTTTGCAACTTTATCAATAAAGACTAGATAATGTTCAGAAGTTGTGAAGCACAATCACCAACCTAAAAATAAAAGTGGCAGGAGCATTGAGTTTTTGTGATGACATTTTATTCTTTATACACTACTGTATTGTTTTTACGTAATGTTGTAAACTATAAGAGTTGAATCTTAATTGTGGCCTGGGACATAATTTGAGATATTCTAAAGTGAATTCTTTTACATAAACATCATGTTAGTACAATAGGTAGTTATGGAGGACAAGGGATGAAAACAGATAAAACTGTGTGACTTTCGTTTTTTGATAAATTTGTAAATGGAACTAGTGTGAAAATAAAGTTGACTAAAGTAGCAGGAGAGAAATGAAAGCTGGATGACAGTGATTACTTTGCATGTAGATGATGGTGACATGGAAAAATTTTTCAGAGAACAACTCATTTAAAAAATGCTTGAGCACAAATACTAAATAGTACAGTATCGTAAACTGCGGTAGTTTTAATGTGTGTTTATAACTCTTTTTTGTTATCTGTTACTCATGGAATTTTATTGAAACCAAACATATACTAACAAATTCAGTCAGCCAATTGGAATATTCCCCATACTGATTAGCTAATATTTCTATTGGATGGTGTCATATGGGGTCATGTTTTAGGTTCTCCAGCATAAGCTAATATCTTTTGATTTAATTTTCTTAGTTTATGAAAATAGTACTTTGGAATGGTAATCCATATTGCCTTTCATTTTGATGTGCTGGTACAAAGGCCAAAACATTGAACAATAGTGGAGAGAAATTGTTTCAGCTGCTAATATGAAAGCTGGTTGAGATAAAATAACCACATTATGACAAATATGTTCATTGCACTGTTCAGAACTAATCTGCCTTTCAAGAACTCTAAATAGATAGCAACATCCAAAATCTGATGACTGGATAATCAAGTTCTTTTTAATAATTTGTTTAATACCTTCAACATCTTTTGGTATCACAATGTAAAAAAATTTGATGAAAAATCTTAGTGTAAATATGTGCTAAAGGAGAAACCGTGTGCAAAGAAGAAACTAAAAACAATCAAACCTTTGAAGGGTCTTTAACAGATTGCAACTTTTCTAAAATTGACTTTAACCCAATAGAGGAAGCAAATGACAATGATTCTGTATCTTCAAATATCTAAAATTTAAAATAATTACAGTAACTTTTATTCCTCTCACTGAACTGCACCTGGTAATATTTCAGATTCATAGAAAGACATGTCAGGTATACTTTAATTGCAGCAATGTCCATACTCACAATTCAAATATGATTCACTATTTGGAGCACCATATATATGATGATATTTTAGAAATGTCAGATAAAGTAATTGAAGGAATTTGATAGAGTTTTGAAGGCATAAAAATAATTAAAGGTATTATGTATAAAAAAATCTTGCAACATCACTAAAGAGGAAAGTATATCTTTAATTTATTTTCACTAAAAGAACATGATTTTCAGTAATTTGCTTGAAATGTTTTGAGAAAAGGGCTTCATTACAATCATAAGACACTTTTGATCTACTTCTAAATTTCACAAGACTCACTGAAAGGGTTTCTCAAAAATGTAAAAATGGAGGAAGCTAAAGATGGTGGACATGCCCACTTACCAGAGTACCCATTGCGACAAGTAAACGGAATTGTGATTCTCCATCTAATTCAAGTTGTAAAACCTGAGACAAAAGGGAATTTATCTAAAGGAAACATATCAGAATATCAAATTATGAAAAAATTATGATTCTAACATTATGCAATACAATAGCATCACAAAGAAGAAAAATAGAAATGGTGCTTGTAGGAAACTCTTACAATATGAATAAAAAGGAGAATTCCCTACAATATGAATCAAAGTTTCTGATAAAATTGAATTAGCTATTATATTACTTTGATGCAATATTGATAGCTATGCAGGCAAAGGCTCTCTGGACAACAACAAGGCCTTACTCAAAGGAAACAAAGTGCAGGTATTAAATTACTTGTCACAACCCCAAAGGCTCACACATTGTTACCTAACTCAGCAGACTCATGATATTGTATGGGCTAGGGCTTTTTGGCCAGTACAGGATACCACAGCATGTGATTATGAAAAAGAAAATGTTTTTTCCTTTTGATATTTGAAAGCCAAATTGTGTTCAGTATTCCAATAGGCTTATTTTGAAAATAAGACTTGGGACAGAAAAGGTAAGCATGTGAAGCAGCTGCTAATAATTAACATGAAATGGCAAGAAACTGTCTGGGACAAAAAGGTCCAGTGCTAGCTATTTTGACTTAGATGAGTTTCTAAGTTCCAATTGCAGACCAAGTAGGCAAACCATCATTTATTTGCAGACAAGTTTGGAAACTTACCAACTGAGCACCCCAAGATCTTTGTTTTTGCAATGGAACTTTTTAAGGGGGCTGGTACAACACACATGATTCCCTGTAGCGATGGGCCAGGGAGAAATACTATGAATCCAATTCATGTTCTTTTGGAATTTATAGCTCTAACACTCTTACATCTACTAACATTTCCAGATAGAAAGGGAAAAGGAAAAATTCCCTGGAAAAATCTCCTTGCATGCCAGAGGCTGTATTCATAAAAAATTATTAAAGCATTAACAAACTGACAGTGGCAAAGTTATTACTCAGATTTCAATCTTGCTACCAATCCGAGAAGTGTGTCAATTGCATCTTGTGGTAAAAAAAAGTTCACCTTATGTGAATGTCACCTTCAGGCCAGACATAATTAAAAACATTCTTAGCATAATGAAAACTTTTGGTGCAGACCTGGAAATTTTGGTATCGATAGGTTGTGAAAATGATGTATCATTGCCATCAAAAATAGCGAAAAAGATGCATAGCAAAAAAATATGCATAAAGCAAAAAAACATCAAAAATGCCGAAAATGTAGTTATTATGATGTAGATCACAGAAATGCCCTGTTCAGTTACAGCCATTTTGAGTTTGCCAAATTGCTAAAGTAACAAAACGAGTGTCTGCCAAATTTCCAGGCCTGTGTTGATAACTTATGTGAAAAAAAGAGAAGACACGTTATATTAGCAAACCTCTGAAATCCCATGCAGGAGTGGAACTTTATCCTCAAATGACGGAGATGATCTCAATGCAACACAGTAACTGAAACATCAATGACATACACAATCTTGAAGCAGTAAAAACCTACAGCTTGCAAAAACACATGAATCAAACTGATATCAAAGATAGGTCTCAATTTACATTTACAAAACAACTAAGTCTTGTAAACAAAAGCTTCTAAAACTGTGATATCTAGATGTGGACAAGACTGCCTGAGATGTTAAAACAAAAGACTTTTAAAAATCTTAACAGCTTGATTACATAGGAATATCTAGTTTGGAGAGATCAGTTACAGCAAAAATGTCCCAATATTCCCATTATTTTATTTGAAATAGGAAACTAATCAAAATAATCAAATTTGAAAGATTATGGTAACCCTTGAAGCAGGCTTTGATTTGAACTACTTCAAGAAGAAAAAATATGAGATTATAACAGTAAATTTTCACAAAAGTTGTTACAAATTTTAGATAAGCATTAAAGGGCATATGTCGCATTATAGCAGTTGGCTAATAAAACAAAAGCATTTGGAGTGGAATTTCATTGTTTCAAGACTTTTCATTTCTTCTTAATTAATTTTTGCTGCTGTAAAAATTAACCCTCGATTCCATGCTTTGTACTTAACAAAAGAGATAATTGTATTGCATTAGCCAATCATGTTCCCAACACATGCCCTTTAATATGATGAAAAAACTCCTTTTAAATTCTTTTTTTCAGATTGTTTTCAGATTGACTTTGTGCAAAGTATTTTCCATCTGAAAAATCTTCATGTCCATGAAAAAAGAAGCAAAGGATATCCAGTGAAATTTGTTCAAATGTTATTGGTTGTGTTGGCATAGATTTTGAAAATATAATAAGGTATGCATTGAACCATTGGAGGGGGAGGAGGTTGGCATTTGTTTCCAAACTATGCGTTACCAAGACCAAAGGAGCAATACTTTGTCATGAAATATTAAATTATTATTTGGCCTTTTAACTACAATTTTGCTCTTTATTCCAATCAATGCTTCAATTTTTAAAACCCTGTTCCTGGGAACACCTGGTTATGTCCTGCTTCCAAAAACAGTTAGAACATTCTGTGCAAGTGATGTGTGCTATAAATAGATGATTGATGAACTATAGTAAAATTACACCGCATATTTATCAAAATATACAGACTTACTTTAAAATCGTGGAGGAGGCTGCAATCCGCAAATTTTTGTTGGAAGACGAAAAGGTAGAGAGTGCATGGTTGATAACCTTAAGAAACAAAGACTATCAATAGCAACATAGGATAATTAAAATTTTCAGCAACAAAAGGAATCAATAGATGCAAATATGAGCCTTCTGAAGATTACAAAATTACTTTTAAAAGATTAACTAATCTTTTGGAATTTTCATGCATAAATTTTTTATGCTACAATAAAACAGTTTTGTCTGGAAACAGCTGGAAATCTCATTATGATAATTTTGGTACATTATTCTTAGTCAATACACGGAAATGATATAATGAAAATCACATTTTGTTGATTCTATTGAAAAAAGTTTTGAAATGCATAAGTGCATTTAGATAAAAAAAATTTTCTGATATAAATTTTTTACATGTAGTAAAGTCACAGTCCCAAGCTAAACTTCTCAGAAACTCAATCATAAAAATAAACTAACAACACTAGGAACACTATGTAGCTATAAAAAAGGCTACATTTTTGTGCTGATTTTCTCAATAGGTTTCCATATTTGAAAGGAAGAAACAGCTAGAAATATAGATAAACTGCAATTTTCTTGCTTTTCCCTTCAAAGAAGTAATTCCATCAAAATTAGCATAACAATCAAATCTTGTTTTGGATATGCTCAGCAAAAAAATCTCTACAAAGCACTGATTAATTGGACTGCTTGCCTTTGTTCTGTTTTCAAGCATTTCTGAGACAGATGCAGATGATGTAAAGCAGTTGCAGAAGATTCTTTGTACCAGCATAGCATTAGCAGGAGGATGATCCGGACTGTTAAGTAAGAAGACAAAAATCTCATTCCTCATCACATATAATCATCAACTGATAATGATCTAGCATTATAAAAAGGGTTTACATATCAAATGCATTTGCCAGACTTCTTGCAAAATGTAGTTAATGAATTTTAGGAATTTGTAGCTAAGAGTCAAACCTGGCAGCCTGGCGAACTGTGTCGATAAAATTTGAAGCAACCTCATGACTGAGCAATTTTTCATTAATGAACTTCAGCATGATAAGAAGCCTGACTGAATCCAATCCTGCATGTAGAAATAAAAAGTATTACTCATTGATAAAACAGTCCAAATGGAATTAATTATGCAAAAATAATATGAGGTCAAAATTATTCAGTATCTCAAACAATGTGGTCAATGAAAGACTCAACAAGCAATGTGCTTAAAAATTCTTTATTGATGGAAACAATAACACCCAGATGTTATTAAACATACCTGGAAACATTAACTTTACAGGCCATTTTAGCAATTTGTCAATAACTTCAAGCAATAATTGGCATTGTTCTTCATTTATGTCTTTGTGGTTGCAAACAATCTCTAAACTGTCTGATAAATAAGATAGCACACAGTTAGCAATGTTGAACCAGAAATTCTGCTGAATCAATCATCAATGCCGAAAAATGAAGAAATTGCCTTTTTCTGGCAAAAAACAAAATCAGTGCTATTTGTAAGCAAAAAAGACATAGAGTCAGTTGCAGAATCAAATACACTTGTGAGCTAGAAGGATTAAAAATACCCTGACTTAGAGCCTGTTCATAGGGAGAAAGTTTTGTAAAGAGGGAATCTTGGCTAGCCAGTGAAATAATTATCAACCTTCCATATGCACATATTTTCCTGCCTTGCCAGGATAACTTTAGAGCTATTCTGAATAATGTGTGTGGATTGTGTCAAGGATTGTGTGCAAATTAAATCTTTTTCCCTGGTTTGCTGGGAAAACCTGTTCATATGGGGTAATATTTCCTCACCTCGGTGTGCTCCCGGCTAGCCAGAAAAATGTTTTCTCCTGTGAACGCTTGTGCTATTATGCGTATTACAACTATATGGGGCAGCCAATAGCTGATAATTTGACAGGTTAAATAAACATATGATGAGTGTACTCACCTGCTAAAGCAGCAAGTTCATCTTCAGTTAACATGACGCTCTGTTATTACAACCAAAGAATAAGTCGATTAGAATTAATCTTGGAGAATTTATGGTTAATATGCAATGAGATGTATTGTAAAGGCCGGTTATATGATTAAATAAAAGAAGATTTTACACCCTTGCTACAATAGGTAGCAAATACCTCTTACCTTACATAATTAACTTATGAGAATTATGTGACAAGTGAATCTTTTGTTGAATGCTTAGTTTGTTAACTAATTAACAAATGAATGCATTCTTCATCACCAATTAACAAATGAATACATAGAAAACATATTTACATTCAAAAGAAGGGGATACAAGATGCTTACACAAACCTCATCTACTTGAGAATTGAATTCCCTCAGCTTTGTAACTATTGGCAGAGGTTTAGCTTGATCAAATGACAAATATTCAGCCTGAAAAGAGAACCCAGGCATGTTTATGGTAACAGAATCTAATGAATAAAGCCATACAACAAAGTCACTTAAGAAAAAAAACCACTTTTAGTAGAACATATGTTCTGATCCTCTCTGTATATCATAATTACTGGATTTCTTTGATAGTAAGCCTACTTCCGATATCAGCCACACAAAATGAAGCTTGGATTGAACTCCAAGACACAAATCTCATATCAATGTTAAGATATTTAGTTTTAAAAAGGCCAAATCTATGCGACTTTGAAACTCTCAAATACCACCAACTTGTACATAACATTTAGAGAATCAAAAACACTAATCCCGGTATTCCAACTTCTCATATTTTCATATTTTATTCAACTTGCTGGTATTCCAAATTTATATTATATTTAACTTGCTGTCTTAAAGAACATAAAAGTATTGGACTGGAACTCTACAAGCAAAGAGATGGTTCTTCACGAATGGTTGCCTGTTTATAGATGAAAAGGTAGCCACTTTTGATCAAAAAACTTTTCTTCAGCTGTTTAGCAAACAGAGTTAACATTGATTAAAGATATTGCGAGTAATCAGGAAATAACATCTTTATGGAGATTGATGTTTCCAGCATAAAAAAATCTTCAGTGAAAATCAAGACAGATCAAGAGAAAAAACAGTGACAGAACGATAGACCCCCAGAGACTAATGACAAATAGTTGAAAAATTTTGAGAGAAATGTGCATGGTAATAGGAGATGGAGGTGGTCAAAGAAAATGCCATTGTAAGATTTAACGTCCTTAATTCTCTTTAATCAGGGGACCGGCATGTTTGCGCTTCAGTCTTCAAGCTTTTAAAATCTTGGTGGAAATGAGTTGAATTAGAGCGTCAAAAACAGAAAGATGCGCTAGGTTGAGGCATTTTTAACAAGCTATATGATGCTTGTCTATAGTGATAGGCAGCTTGGGTTGGAGGGAGTGAGGCAAGGTTATATTCCCAGTAGGGTTATTTCAGTCGCAGGATGAATTTTCTAGACCCAGCTGCCTTATTGTCAAATCAAAATGCCGAAACAAGCTAAACCCGTTTCTCCAGACAACCCTTTTAGGACCCTCTGTATGGATGGGAAAAATAGCCCGGCAATCGATTCACCATCATAAGAACCAATTAGGGAAGTGAACTGGATTTATGGCATCGAAAAAGATAAGAAAAAGGAAGTGCATCAAAAACCTCTGGTGCGCTCTGGTATTTGATTTAAACAAACATAGTATCATTTCTAAGCAACATTGTTTACAGAAAACCTCTGCCTTTCAATTGAAACATAAAGTAATTCCAGAGCGATGACATCACAAAAATCTATTTTAAACATTTTTCAATCTTGACCATACAACCGAAAAAGCACAAAGTACACCTCCAAATGTGCAAAAATCAGTATAATACTTTATACATTGGCTGAGAAATTGTCACGTGAGCACAGGCTTTTCCCCATAAAATCACTGTAATTTGGTCTTGGTTCATAACTTTCTGAGCCAGGCCAAAAAAAATAATCCGTTAGCAAACTTGAAATCTTTCGTTTGCCATATCTCGCCCAGTTTTGAACATATTTAGCTGATTTCGCATATTGAGAGGTATTCTACGCTCTTCTACTTCTAGATTATGTTGTCAAAATTAAAACATCTAAATACAAATTTTTGATAACATCACAGTGAATTATCAGTGAATCGTAACCTTTTTTAGTTAGAAAATAATTCGATGGAACAGATGAAAACAATCCTATAGTGTATCAGCTGATAAAAAAAGGAAAGCCTTAATGCTTTACATATACCCAGTCTAGGAGGTTTTGAGCGCTGATCTAGAATACCATGCAAGAAAAAAGTTTTTTATACGAGACCATTAAAAAAGCATATTGTTCAAAAGTAAGAATTATAAGAGAAAAGATCAAAAGAAAAATAACTACCTTTGGGAAATACCAAATTTTGTCTGCTGTCGCTTCCTTCAAAAGGCAAATATAAGATTAAGTTTGAAAACAGAATGAAAACATAAGTTACGTGCATAAAGACTTTAATTGTTTATGGTGACTAAATGCCTTGTGGGATATTAAGGCTTGCAAATGTTGTTTATCATTGTTTATCACAAAAAACTAACTCTTCTCCAGGGCACCAATGGAGCTTAGCTACCTAAATTTTTTACAACGTTATCAGCTTTTTGAAAATATGTCATATGATAATCCTCGTTAGAATAATCCTCAAATCTCGCAAAAGAGGGTTGCTTTAAGTCAATTATCTATGAATTTTTTGTCGAAATTCAAAAATTAAGTTGATAAAATAAGATTAGTAACCTTTTTGCCATTTGTAGGGGTATACCGCGACGCACCTAAAATGGTAGAATACAAATTTTAAAAAAATCAGAGATAAGATAATTTTCAAAGAAAAGCTACAGTTGATAAAATCATATTTTGCGGTATAGGCAAACTATGCTATTCAAACAATTGCATGGCTTCCTTATTGGCGGTTCAAAGAAATAATGATGCCGAAACAAGCAGTTTTACAAGCCTAAATGCAGCTTTCAATTGCTCATCAACATTAAACAGAAAACGCAAGATTAAGGGCCTAATTACATAAAAGTTTTCACCCTAGGGTCTCTACTGTCAATTTCTACTGTTTTTGAGTTGATGTTAATGACGTAAACTTTTCCAGCCCAATCATCAAAACTTCCATGCAGACATACCCCAACAAGGAAGCAATGATTTTGCCAAAATATTAGGCTGTTTACAACGCATGTGAAGATAGAACTGCTTATTAGCAAATACAACGAACATAAATTAAAATACTGAGTATTTTGCAGCTAAATCCAATACTATTTTCCTGAAAAGGATAAGCTACTTAAATTTATTAACGAGAAGGGAATCCTTTCAATCAAAAAGTCTAGGTGGTTTTTCCTTAAAAATGCATATATGCGCGATAGACAGGCACGCCAATAGGGGCACATTGGCACAGGCTCCAAGCTGAGAGGGGTCTCAAAAGGTTACAAAAAAGTTCCTAAAAATGACAACAATAATAACAATAACAGTCATTATGATGCCATCAAGAACCCATCTTTACTTTTGCTCCAGGTCACAGAAATGTACTCGGTTAACCTGTACCGTAAATCCTCGAATAAGCCCCCGGGGGCTTATTTGCAAAAATGAATTTTAAGGTGGGGGCTTTTTCGATGAGGGGCTTAGTCGAGCGTGTGGGCTTATTCGAGGATTTACGGTATACAGACCAAATCTTCCTAAAAATACTAACATTAGACAAAAACGTCTCACCTGTGAAAGGGTCTTGCATATTTGCCGGATTCCTTGGAGGATTGCTTGCTTGGCCACCTGGGACATACCTATTGCCGCCTGTAAAAAATATTCACCCTAATATATAAAAGCTACTTTTTTGATAGTACTAAATGCTTAATGATGATCAAATGAAATTTGATCAGAGTTAATTTTGAGCTTTTGAGCTTTAACTAATTTGCTTGTTATGCCTTTTAGTATAGCTTGGCGTTTTGAGTTTCTTTCACGGAATCGTTAAAATCTCTCATACCTTCAGGAATTGTTTACGCTTTTTAGCGTTTTTTTATGCTATTGGGTAGGACTGGTGCATCGGCTATTTATGAGGAAGATAGGCTTTCCTGTCCACTCACCTCAATTATCAATCACATTTGAGAGGTATTGGGTACCCTTCCCTGTTCGAGATTTATGGTAGGTTGAGCGATTGGCTCTGATGCACCAACGGTCCAACTTGCTCTCGTTGATGTGGGAATGTCGCCTCACGACTGACCTTCTGAGGTCTATGGCATGGTTTTCTGAGGGAGCTTTATCTTTTTTAGATTACTAGTGACAAACGTGCAATAACTGCAATATATAAATCAAAAACCTGTGAATGGATCTTGAAATGCATTTATCTGGGGATCTGATGACTGAACCCTTGAGCCAGGGATATATCTTGAGCCTCCTACGAAAATAAAAACAATACATTTTACTATATAATCACATAAAATGTTGTTTTTTCAGATTGAAGTCAATATTACCTAAATTCACCAAAAAGAAGGAAAACCCTTTCTTTCATATACTTTCTACACATTTCACTTGCTTCATTTCTCTTTACTCCTATACTTCTATGCCTACCGCTTCCATATTTCTATATGATTAACTATGCAACAATTCGAGTAACATAAACTTGTTACAAGAAACTCAACTGTAAGTTAAAATGATTTGTTAGTCAATAACTGTCTTCTATATTTCATCAAAAAACAAGCTACCATTAATTTTGACTGTATCTCCGATTGATGGGTGGCGGAAGCAGTCAGAAATAAAACTAAGAAAAACAGATGCCACACCAGAAACGTTTGCAATGTATTTGGCTAGTGATATTATTGACAGGCAACTGCAGGCATTCTTAGTCGATATACATAGCCATAAAGTAATAGCACAAGATGTTAACTATCGAAAGGATGTGCAAAAGGCTATGGATGTTTAATGTATGTATCAAATCTATGGAAATGTACATAATTTATGGCAAGAAATGAAAATTTTTTTTACCATTGCCTGTTACAAGAATTAATGACGCGATTAACAACTTAGTAGAATAAGCATACTTGAATCCCTAATAAGAGGTCTAGCTGGATCCACCTTCAATTTCATTGAAACGACTTCAAAACAAATAAATTGAATTCAAGAAAATATGTATAGGAACTGAACTGGACCCAGATCTGACAATCCTTATTATCTATACAATTGGCACGTTTGTTGATTACCTTAAGCGACTATTTCTTTACGCGAGTTAATCTAAGTTGAATCCAGGCTAAGGGAGTCTTGTTAAGATTCTCGTTCTGAAACACAGGATACTCATGTTGATTCAGGGTTAAGATAACCCCTATAGACATTCAAAATGTGGTGTAACAAGCTAGTTTTAAACCATCCACCGCTGTACACTATCGCACCAAATATTAGACACGGGAGGAAGCGGTCTAGGCTACCAGAGTGTGTGATACAAAGATTAGACATTTGTTTTTATTTTTCGTTAAAAATCTCAGCCATTTCGACATGATGGTGGTTCCCAAAATGCACGCAAATACGTCTTAGAGTGATTTCAGGTCAAGCTATTGACTAAATAACATTGCTCTTTAGTGTAGTGCAAAAACAGCTTTCTGAAGTCTCGCCCACAAGGTGTGGGAAGCTAGTTAGGAATTTGTAGTGTAAGAGTGGCTGTGAAACGTAACGTACCTGTGAAAGGATCTGAAAACTGTGGCTCTGTTTGTCCTATTCTTACATTTTTAGTATTCTTTAGAATAAATTGAACCACTTCTTCCAAAAACGAGGGGCTTAAATCGTTTTCTCCCAAGAATTTATGAGCTGCCATCCAGGGATCGTCTGAAAAACAAGTCAATCGTCACAAAAACGCTACAAGAGACGCAGGGTACAAACTTACATAAATGGCATTAGCTCGTGTACTGCTTAAATACTCCATATATCAAAACTGAAAATAGGCCGCCAGTTGGTCACGGGAATCAGCTACAGTAAGAGCCCACGTAAAGGAACCTGGCTGTTTCCAATTAGCCCAAACAGGTTCTTCAATTATCAAGGACGAATTCTGGTATTTATATGCCTTATAGGTTTTCTAAAGGTGTTAGGATGTCCCAGTGGTTTGGGTCGAGGACTAAAGATCCAAAGGTCTGCAGTTCGAGTCACTGGCAAGACTAGACTTTCATTTATAGTGAGGAGAGTCGCCAGCTTTCTGTAATTTCAGGGGTGGGAATCATGAGCTGTGGTCACAAAGAGAGGAAGAACCAGGATACTGCTCGCTGAGCATTGCTTTCAATGGTCTAACAATACCTTGCAAGGCTAGGTAGCAATATATACAAATGCAAAATGCTTAATGATTTACTTAAATAGCATCGCAAAGATATGCAAAAAAAGAAGGGCAATCACCAGAAGCAAGGAAGAATGTAAGAAAAGTTTTGGGGGCAGGGCAACTCACCTGTAATGTTAAAAGGCAGTTTGAGAGGTGGCTTTCCTTCTGCTATGTCTACATCGAAAACGTAATCATATTCCTTGAAGAGAAATAAAATTTCAATTAAGAAGTTATAAATTTGGCCAAATAATGTATAATCAAAGCAAGTGAATATAGAAATCATTTCCCGAATTCCAACTTCTAGCTACAAAAAACCCTGATATATTTATCGCGATCTTTATGAAAATATGTTCATTAGTCTGCCATTTAGTGTCAATTTTCCTTCTGAAAACTGTGGTTCAGCAAAAAATTGTGAAAGATCAAGACCCTCTAGAACTGAACAATATTTAAGTAACAGTGATAACTTTCATTTGGTCAAGAAGAAATTTTTTAAATCATCTAACGATTGCAAATTTTCAAGGATCATCTAACGATCAATTTAACTTTGACAACCTATTATTCAAAGTTCATGTCTTAGATTATTTTCACGGCATAATTAACCAAATATGAATTCACTAAATATATAGCAAAAATAAAAGTAGAATTTATTTGAAGGCCGGTACACACATTATGGTTTTTAATATATTATACCTTTCCATTATAGACTTTCTTATTCGAAGTTCGTGCAGTGCCATCTTGCCCGGCTGCCCCAACAACATCGCCAATCTAATCGGGAAAAAGGAAATTTCAAAGGGCCAAACAAGGACAAGAATTCACATAAAATTATAAAAACTTTTTCGCTAAAATGCTCTTTAAACAAAGAAAAAGGAATTATATACAGGTGAATTTAAATTCAATAAAATTTTCACTGCTAATATAACGATAAATTAACATAGATAAAACATTCCTTTATTCAATCACTAGATAAATCAAAACCTTCAGTAATGTGTCTTTATTAATGTGTCTTGACTCTTTGGAGAAAAAAGTTTTTAAAGTTTTTAAAGTATATTAAAGTTTTTGGTACCGCAAAATTTGAAGATTGCACGAAAAAGCGGAAACAAAACATACTGAAACACTTTTCGCCGACCCTCTTTAGAGTATAAACGTCCGATAATGCTGGAAAGGAAGCTGAAAATTTATAGCCAGGTATGGATCGATACATAAAATTTCTGTTTCTGTGTCTGTTCTTCTTTTACATTTGGTGCCAGGGTCATTGATAATATCTCCCTAATTGTTCTCTCTAGTTTACTCCACGTATATGGGCCGTAATAGTTACTGAATGTTTTACTGTTTGCAGTTTTGGAACATAGAAGTGTCTGTTTGTTAACATGTTAAAGGCATTGAGTCATGATAAAATGGATTCGGTATACCTTAAATGCCAAAATCCGCTGAGTCATGATTTTCATGACTGCGATGCTATTGGTTGACCTTGAACTGGTCACATGAACTCGCCTCGTACTGATTGACAAAACAATCCTCATCAATAGCAAGTTGTCAACAACAGATGCCAATATCACATGAAACAGCAGCGATCACGCCGAAATCAAATGACCCCCTATAGAGAAGGCCTATTTACCATGACTCAATGCCTTTAACCTCTTTGCTATGAAAATTTATTTGATATGATTTGTAGAGAAACCGTTTTATGTTGGTAGGTTAGTATTGCAATGCCATGTAGTCATCTATTCTGGAGAGACAGCACATTTGCTTTGATTAGGCGCCGTAGATAAGGAGTGGATAATCAACGTGAACAACTCTTTGGGCTTTCTGATGGAGTCTGTCTATCTTTCTTTTGTCTGCTACCCCGCAGAAATGACAGTATAAGGCATTGTCAAGAATGTCAAGTGAGAGAGGATTGCTGTCTTGCAGGCTGCTAGGTTTTTTTGGTGAGCGTTATACTACGAAATAAAGATATCTCCGGCTATTGCACAAATTGTTGGTATAAATGCCAAACTGACGATGTGAGTACCAAATACAAGCTCTTCGTCGATCTCAGTTCCAAGTAGCTTGAGACATCTTGCTTGCTCTGCTATTGGTTGGTACATGACCTCCTGTTTGCTTTCAGATAGTTTTTCTTGCACTATTTTGAAACCATATCGATATATTGGTTCAGACACATCTTAACTTTATTCCGTTCTTTCTGGAATTAATAATTCTGATGATCGTCAACGTACATGCTACATGGCTGTGCTACGTGTTGAAGGCTATTTTTTGTGAAAAATATGTCATAGCTGGGGACCAAGTGCTGATCCCTGCGGGCATCCCCTTTTTGTTTCTTTCCATTTGCTTATTATGATCCACAGTTTGACCCTATTCTGTCTTTGCTAAAAATATGATGTTACTAATCTCAGGGAGACTTTGAAAAAGCCATAGAGTTCAAGCTTTTTTGGTAGAAGTCTTCGAACCATGGAATCGAAGGCTTTTTCGTGTCTGTAGAGACTAAGATTGTCATCGTTCTTTTGCAAAGTGTAAAGCTCCAATTCTTGATGAACAATAGCAGTGGAGCTTCTGTGCTTTCTTCTTCAAGCACGACCTTTTTTGTCAAATGAATATGTTGGTTGCTTGCTGAGTTTTCTTCGGTAAATTCAGTTTAAAACTGTGATTGGCTTGTAATTGATGGGTAATTTTCCTTGTTATATCTATGAGTTCTATAATAATTGAAGAGGCGGAGCTAGTGGTTTGGCAATCATTTTAAGGAATTCAGGCGTTATTCCATCCCATTCGGTGGCTTCTTTGATGAAAGAGCTTCTTTGACATTTTGTTGGGACATCAGAGAAAAGTTGAGTTCAGAACACTTACATTGTCTTTTCGAACGAAGCAAAAACGGATGAAAGCAAGCTTCAAAGCTCTTGTGGGAAACGTAACTAGATATATATTGAAAACTTCCCGCTATATTTCGCAATTATTTTCAAAAAGTTACTAATTAGACAAGTTCAGCAAAGAAGAGGCCACAAAATAAAGTTTAATAAACATCTCTTAAATGTCAAAGTTACAATCCCACGGAGTGCTACATCGGGAATGTGGATATAGCCCTTTTCAACTTTAAGTGTAAGGCAAAAACTTTAAACAAACCTTTTTCCATTGTTGCTGTGCGGCATCCCACTAAAACAAGGGGGTTCGATAACTGATAATGACAGAATACTTTATAGTGATTAAACATAAGAAATATATATACATATCAAAAGCTTCAACTGCACGTGTGATAAGCATGAGATAGATTTTCAAGAAAAACACCTTCACGTAACATAACATAACATAACATAACATAACGTAACGTAACATAACATAACATAACATAAAATAACACAACACAACACAACACAACACAACATAACATAACATAAAATAACATAACACAACACAACACAACACAATATAACATAACATAACATAACATAACATAACATAACATAACATAACATAACATAACATAACATAACATAACATAACATAACATAACATAACATAACATAACGTAACATAACATAACATAACATAACGTTACATAACGTAACATAACATAACATAACACAACACAACATAACATAACATAACACAATATAACATAACATAATATAACATAACATAACATAAACAATACCTGATGAGCAGCAACTTTTGATCCTTGCTTTATCAATTTCGTTTGGCCATCCTTTACACCTTAAACAGGAATCAACAAATCACTTACGTATGCTTACAATGATCTCAATCTTTTTTTAAATCTAATTCTGACTAACCAAGGTCAAATAAAATCGAGATCAAATTTATTCATCACAAAAATTGAATGAAAAAAATGAAATTTTTTTTATTGTTGATTCTGGTAGACTAATCATCGCTGATTTCGAAAAAAAGTTTAGTTTTTTAATTTGGAGCCCACAAATAGGGGTTTCTGGGGTTCTTTTGCGAGTAGGTCGTGCGAAAAGAGGCTGGGGCGAGTGACGCATTCAGATTTATATAGTCATTTCAGCCATAGTGAGGGCTGTAAGAAGATAAAAAGTTACAAATTGTGTAAAACATGATACAAGCATGAAACCTGATAGAGATAGGCAGTTTGATACGCTGAAAAAGATGGGGTGTGAATAGACGCTGACAAAAATTCCCTTGTGCTATTTATAGAGTGGGGTACTAGGTTCCAAACCTCTAAGCAGTAATTGACATAATTTAGCCATTAGATCGCAAAACTAGCATGGAACGTGGTAGTAATAGGCAGTTTGATACGCTGAAAAAGATAGAATATGAATTGACCCTGAAAAATCCCCCTTGTGCTATTTATAGAGTGGGGTACTAGGTTCCAAACCTCTAAGCAGTAATTGACATAATTTAGCCATTAGATCGCGATACCAGCATGGAACTTGGTAGTAAAAGGCAGTTTGATACGCCGAAAAAGATAGGATATGAATTGACCCTGAAAAATCCCCCTTGTGCTATTTATAGACTGGGGTACCAGGTCCTAGACCTCTAAGCAGTAATTGACATAATTTAGCCATTAGATCGCGATACCAGCTTGGAACTTGGTAGTAAAAGGCAGTTTGATACGCCAAAAAAGATAGGAAGCGAATAGACGCTGAAAAATACCACTTATGCTATTTATAGACTGGGGTACCAGGTCCATAACCTCTAAGGAGTGATTGTCATAATTTAACTTTTAGATCGCGACATCAGCATGGAACTTTGTAGAGATGAGCAGTTTGATACGCTGAAAAGGATAGGATGCGAATAGACGCCGAAAAATTTCCCTTGTGCTATTTATAGACTGGGATACTAGATTCCAAACCTCTTAGCAGTAATTGTCACAATTTAACCATTAGATTGTGATACCAGCATGAAACTTGATAGAGATAGGCAGTTTGATACGCCAAAAAGATGGGGTATGAATAGAAGCTTAAAAATATCCCACCGTGCTACTTATGGACTTTTAATCAATTCCATTTAAAATGAACTTCTTTACTTTTTGAGGTCCCCTGACCACGAGGTTCTGGGGCAACTTATCCCATCTTGACGGCCCTGGCAATAACTGATGCTTTGACAGTGGCAACGCAAGTTGGAAAGTGGGAAAAGCGCCGAAAAATGTGCAATTTGTGTGGTTCTATAATAGATCAACTTTTTCCCTTGATCAGTTTTCTCACTTTTATTCATAATTTGTAAAGCTGTTCGTAAAAGCATTCTTATTTGACACGCTCAATAATTCACAAAAGGTAAATGATCGGCATGAAGTCTTGGTAAAAACTGCACGCAAAAAGTTTGCTCATTTCATATGGGTTCGAAATTTTCACAAGAAAATACCTTGCACATGTCTTGTAGTTAGATAGCTAGTGATATTTAGAGCACAAGTATCGCACTATTTCCATCCACTTCACGTTTTTTTGGTTTTTTATCGCACTCGAAATACAGTCTTCAGTACTGAAGCCCGCATCACTTCCGCGACTTATAAACGTTAATGCGTCACACATTCCTGAAATTCCTCACAGACCGCGCACAAATTTTCGCACACAAAGTCTTGAAAATCGCAACTTTGAAGCGTTGTAGCTTCAAAACACTTCACAATTCCGAAAAGCGAACTTCAGCATCGGATTCACGAGCACCGACTTGACTTAGAACATCAATAAAAAAAATTTTGATTTTTTCAGTTCAGTGGCACTTTAAAACAAATTTTTCACTATCTTTCTTTAATCTTCAGTCCATCAAAGTTTGGAGATATTTCTAAATTATTTCAAAAGTTGTTGTCGCATGGCGGATAGATACAATCACGTTTATACATTTGATCACAAATTCATAGAAATGTAAAAAAATTCTAGAAATACCTGGTGTCAAAAGGGACTCTGGTCCAGGAAGCTCATCTTTGTCGATTTCTCCCAGATCAAGACTTAGAAGAAACGAGCAAATATAAGTATCGGATCCATGGTTATATGCTTTGATGTGACGAGTAAATAATATTGGACTCTTCTGCTACTTCGTGTTATCCTTGTTCAAAAATAACCTGTTCACCTTGATATATATGTCTAGCTAATACTAACATTGTTACTTAAATCAATAATGGTTTTTGGTTTACAAATGACAAAAAAAGCAAATCTCAAAAAAGTGGAAATTTTCAAAAACCATATGAAAAGAAAACCATGATAGCTTGAATTTTAAGACCCACTGTCAACCAACAAAGAAGCTTCTATATTTTACGAAGTCTTCTCTTGTTTATCAACATTGCTCCTGCTCAATTTCAAAATTTTCTGTTTTAGAAAGAAAGATATTGGAAATTACTTTGACGCTGCAGGTATGGCTTGGTTTGCAACTTCTTCTTCAAATGCCTGGTATGCAAGAAAAAACCGGTTAGGAGATACAACACCTTGCATCGATTTAAATACGTGCAAAAATGACACACAAATAGCTACTGTCTTTACTACATTTGCAATTGCTTTCAAACACAAACTCAAATCAATTTTCTAATTAACTTTATTTTAAGAATTCAGTCTCTAAGCCAATATTTTGAAGATAATTGATGATTTCATTAGTTTTAATTACTCGCTAATAAACTACCAAACAATATTTGTATTAGAACAACAATTGCGAAGTATTTTGTAGCAAGATCGAAATTTGAGGAATTTTTGTTTGATTATATATTTCAAAGATTAATAAACTGCAAACTCGGAGACTCTTATATAAAAAAGATAGAAAATCCGTATTTTGACATACTATAACTATTGAAAAAAGTAACTAGCAAATGTTAGGCCCCCTGGCTACTCAAAAGGTCGACGGATAATATTGGCACATAATTGAATTTAATATATAACATAATAACTGCTTTGGTGTGTAGAAAAGTACCGTTTAAATTTGCAACAGTACCTAGCCACATTGCATTATAACTGCTTCGATGTAAAGAATATGATGGTTCAAAGTTGCAACTGTACTCAACACATTACATAATAACTGCTTCGGTGTATAAAAAAGAATGATTCCAAGTTGCAACTCTGAAAACAGCCTGATGAGCAGAAGTGCAAGAATCAGAGTGACGATTAAGAGCCATAATGTACCAGAGCGTGTACATTTATGTACCAGAGCGTGTACAGCTTTACCTGAACAGCATCAGGCACTTTATGGAAAACCAATAAAACTACAATATCCATTAGACAAAACCTGCTCAAAATTTTTACATCATCGCAAGCAAAATCTTATAATAAATTAGAATAAAGAATTTTATCATAACCTTTAACAAAACCCTTAAGAAAAGTAAACAGTTGAAATAAGGAGGAATAACAAAATCAGATAAATAAAAAGATACCAACTTATAAGGGAATATAAAAAGAGATTGACACATTCACCTTGTTTAATAAAGCAACACGTAACTTTAAACTTACAAAAGAAGATATATTTTCAAATAATTCTTACTTTAAGTACATCTGGGGGAGCGATTCTTGATTCATCTGATGTGAAAATCCGAGCAACACCATCACTATGTTAGCAAGTAGATAAAAAAATCATGTACAAAAAAACAAAGCAACAGGCCTGTTTCAAATGAAGTTTGTTAACGAGGTAAGCAGTTGGCGATTGTACATAATAAAAAAAGTTAATATGCTGACATAATGATTTTGCTATGGTGATTTCACAACTGAATATATTTTCCTTTTGGTAAACAATCCCACAATACCTTAAATGAAAGACAACATAAACTCCTCTGTACCACAAAACATGCTGTTTATGTTTGTATATGTTTTCGTAAGTACAGGTCATATATTTGAATAACTGAATGTGCGTTCAAAGATGGCAATCACTACCTTGACAAACAAACTTATAGAATCAAACAATTAAACGATAATCATATAGAATAATAATCACCGAATCACAAGCATGCATTAATCATAGAATCAAATGAAAAACTCGTCATATTGATCTGTCTATTTCAATCATATTTACAACATATACAAATTTACATACAATGCTACAGATACAATGCCTGGATGTAGGAGGATCATACCTAGAGCCGACAACAATATCTCCATTTGCCAAGCAGCATACAGACCAGACAGAAGTACATGGCATTGTTATTGTTTGTACACAGCTACCATCTAAAAAGAAAATAAGGACATGAAGATAAAGAGATTTTATGTAAAATTAGCAATAAATGCAAATGTGAAGGTTTTTTATTTAGAGGCTTTCAATTCCCTACAGAATCTCTAAAATGTTAAGGTATTCGTGCTTTGAAAATGCCATTTTTTTAATTGATTTAAATTGAGAGTTCATGTGAATAATACCTTGGTCAGTTCAGGTGTAGAGAGGGGGGAGGGGGGGTAAGGGTGCCATCTGTAAAAAAATTTAAACCATTTGGTGAAAAATGAGGAACCAAAAGGCAACTGTACCAATGAAACTTCTAAGAAAGTTGTCATACGCAACACAATCCAAACAAATGTAGTCGGAGTTCTTAAACAAAGAAGTAAAATTACAAAAAACTGAGATATCAACCACTGAAACTTTTATCAAACCTTCCTTTAATAAGGCATTTGCCCTTGGCTGAAAAAGCACTGTTTGAAATGCTCCGAAAAAGCTCGCAGGATAATGCATTAAATACAATTTCTGTACCTTCTCCTTACTTTTGGTCATTATCTGACATCTATGCTCCAAAGAGTGTCGGATAAAAGTACTTCAGTTTTTTATGTTTCTGCGATTTCGTGCTGCCCTCAAATAAAACATAACAAATGAAAAAAGATTTTACCCTTCCATATTCTTAATGACCGATCTTCTCCGCATGTTGCAAAATCTTCATTGCCAGAAGGAAGTGATGCAATACTAAAAACAAAAGAAAAAAAATAAAATGCTTGAAAATATGTCTTCTTTATCATTGTCAAATCATCAGTAATAGCTGAGGTTGAAATTTTTGATTGATTGGAAGCATTTATAGCAGAAAGTAGGTTGTTGAGGAAGAAGACGAAAAGGAGGGATAATAGAGCCTTGTAGAGAGGTGGCCAAGAAATCTAATGGCAATGGACCTAACTGAGAGAGAGCTTAGTACCAGATACTCAATTTTGACCACATGATCTGAAAGAACGGCATAAAATACCTCTTGGCAGGCAAATTCAGTCAGATATGTTCAAAACTGAACGTGATATGGCCGATGAAAAATTTCAGGCCTGGTTCATAAAGTTATGAACCATAACCAAATTACAGTGGTTTGATGAGGAAATAACATGTACTTATGCGGCTATATTTTGGCCAGTGAATAACGCATTCAACTGATTTTGCACATTTACAGGTATATCATAACGCTTTTTTGAGTTATTTGGTCAAAATTGAAAAACTCTAAATACATATTTTTGCGACGTCATCACATCAATACTCTATAACTAAGGACCAGAGTTAGAGATTTTCAAAAACGATCACTCTGCTCTTACCAAAGGATTCCATTGCAGTGGACAAAAAACATGATATCATAAGCCAGAAGGTAACTGGTAGATGCAGAAAACAATACTGATAATCAGAAATAAGTATGCTGGTTTCTTGCTTGGTCTTCATTTTTTCAAAATGTGTGAAGTGTATTCTTTTATTTGGGCTAGTTCCTAGAAGGATGGAAATATGCCTAGAAATTAGGTTCGCCTTGGCAGGGCACTTACCCCCTGCAAAGAAGTAATGTTTAGAGTTACAAATAAGTGTAGTCAAGATAATTTTGCATTTTGCAAGAAAAATGTCAATGCTATTAGCAAAGTGGAGTATTTGTAGATCTATGAAATTCAAGACCTGTATACATAGTTGCTGTGACCAGTGTAAACTTGCAAACAGTCACCAGTTGTACTCCATCTTCTTATATCACTAAAAAACATAGTTTCGTGATATATCACTTGCGATTGAACAAAAATTATAAGCATACTTATAGTGGAAATTTAGCATTAAAAATCAGAGTGAAAAGATATCATCAATTAAATGGCATTTGCATAAGAGAATATAAAATATATTAGCTTAGAGCAGTTATGAGGTTGAGTTAGTTAAGGTCTGTCAAATTTTACATACATTTTGGCACATGATCGAAATAGGAGGGAAAATGCCAAGGTATGAAAATATGAACTAACCTGGTGGAGCTATAGCTTAAATACACAGGCATTTAAAAAAAACTTTGAAGAAATGGCAATTAAATTGACTTTTAAATACAGTAAGTACCTACAAATTAGAAATCTCTTTGTTTAAAAAAGAGGCCTCATTTTTTCAAAAGAGGATTTTTTCAAAAAACAATTTTAGGTCTGAAATAAAACATTTCTTTTTATAAAGTCTATAAAATTGCAAAAAAAAATTTGTTGACGCTCTAGGATGGTTGTAGTGTCTGTATACTACTTATATGATAAATTGTACTGGGAGTAGTTTATAATAAATCATGTATTTTACACTACTACCAGAAATACTGAATACACATCCACGGACAATACTTTCATACAGCTTGACTTGATTTGACTTGACAATATATAGTGATAAAAAACTTAGACCCTGTTGATTAAAAGTCTCTGTACATAAGAAACTTTCTGAGGTCTCATTTGAAAAAAGTGGTTTTCTTATTTGTGGGTACTTACTGTACAATGAGGTCATATCAATTGGCAAAAAGACGTGTCATTGTGCACTGTGGGCAAAGTTAGGAAAACAGCAGTTTTCATAATATTCAAAAAAGTGATTATATCTGTAACTCCAAGCATTAACAGATAAACCCAGAGGTCTAAATAACTTACCAATCATTTGAGCATGACAGGAATTCAAAGCTAGATATTGTAACCAATCCTCTAACACAGTCTGTATGACCAGTTAAGGTCCTTTCAACATTGCCACCTTTCCATAGTTTAATATTTTTGTCAGCAGATCCTGTGATCATGTATCCCTGATCTGGCATCATTTCAACAGCCCATATAGCTGCTGTGTGCTCCTTAAGAGTCATAACACATTGTCCATTAACCCACACCTTTGCCGTTCTGTAATGAGAAAAGTTATTTTTATGGAGGAAGAGACAAATGTTTGTACTGAAGCATAAAAAATATATGGTTTGCAAATGATGAAAGGTAGCACTTTAGCTGCACATATTGGTCTTTGTAGTAAAAGCCATGATTTTTGTTGCTGTAAATACAAATAAAAGTAATGCAAATTTTTTCACAGTTTGAAACGAAAAATGCAGTTTAAAACTGTACTGCATATTTGTCCAAAGTTGGTTAGGTAGCCAAGTCCCCAGCCTATAATACTAGCCTATAATACAACATTACCTTGATATACAACAAGTAGCTTACTTTACAGCCCCCACTCTGTTATACAGTCCTGTCAAAGCTACCACCAGTCACATATCGTCTACTCATATTGAGAAAAGAACAATTTATCAATCAACAGCCTTACACTAAAGCTAGTTAGCAAAAATCTAAAGAGGTCTGGACAATTGAAACAAATAAAAATAGTAAGACAAATACTTGTCCCAAGATCCAGATAAGAGTGTTCCAAATTTTCCACTGACAATAGAACTTATTGCACCAGCATGGCCTTCCAGTGTGTAGATAGGTTCTGTAAAAAAGAAAATTGGGCATTGGCACCATTTAAAAGATAAGTCCAAGTGAGTAATTTTGCTCAGAAGCCATTCTGAATATGCTAAAAAATACAGTTTTTTTTATATAGATCGACCAAACTAACTTTATTACAGTCTACCAGGCCTTTTCTTTTGACGCGAGCAATCACCCGCGATCACGTCAGCACTCGCGCAAACCCAAACACATGAGCCTTTGATCGCTCGCACAAAACAGTAAACTTTGAGGAATAAATGTCTCATCAATAAACACAATTCTAGTCATCTTTTGTGGCCCAAACAAGTGACATAGACAATACAAGGCAGGTATATCAAAACACAGGAAATATAAGTAAACTGACTAAACCACATCTCAACGAAAAAATGCATTCGAAAATAAAATTCCACAGTGAATGTTTAGGAATGCTTTAGGTACTAATATTTGAAGTACACTAGCACTTCGGACATTTTCTGGGCAGCCAGACGGTAAAGTATTTTTTCTGTGTGGGGAATGCCAGAACAATAATTTTGAAATTTGAGGGTAACAAACCTTTCTTAGGGAAATTGTGCGGGGAAGTTGAAGCAAAGGGTTTTGAAGAGACCTTATATTCTTTGCTTTTTCTTGTTATCAGAAGTTAGAAGTTTAAATGATGGAATATTGGCAGGAGCATGACCAGAAAAACAAACATTGTGGGCGGGATCTTCAGTAGATTCTTAACAACATTTTGCCATTATCCGGCAATAACGTCTATATGATTTTCGTGATTTACAGAAAGAAAGTCCATTTAAGGTCATCATAACAGTTTGTTTTCATTTGATGTTACCTCAAACAAAAGGGTACCACTATCAGATATAAGATCATTGCTATCACTATCAGAGCGATTTTTTACGCATTTCTCGTGATTGGCCACTCGCGTGGGCTATTTCTTAAAAAAAGGCCTGGTCTGTTTTGGTCTTCCTCTTGGCACATAAACTGATGCTTCAAAAAACTCTATAAAGACAAACATTTCAAGCTTGCACCACATTCAACAGTCATGAAACTAATTTATGACTTCCTTTGAAGTCAAACCATGAAATACCCTCAAAACATATTTTAGGAAATACCATACCAAGTGAGTCAAATGAGAAGATTAAGATTTTGCAATCATGTCCTCCAGTTGCCACAAGTCCTAAAAATAAAAGGCATAATTATAAGACTATAAGAGTTCTGTAATCTAGACATAACTCAATTATTTAAGAAAAAGCTCCAAATATGACATTACATACTTAACTTATACATGGAATCTTATCTTGAGAAATTGTTAAAGCAGTTGGGTTTTTTGAAAATACTTGTACTTTTTAATATTACCGAATTCTTACAAAGGCCCTTGGCCACTGTGAGCCGCCATTTTTGATATCGTTTCCATACTTTTGTACCCCAAGTGTACAGTTGGGAAATTATTTTGCAACATCTGATCTTAAACTTTTCAGAAACAAAGAGCTTTTAACAAAAAAGGCTCTAGACTTGAAAAACTCTCAAACTGCTGGTAAAGCAAGTTTTAATAAAATTTATAATTGCATCTATTTTCTCTATCTTAGAAGGAATGGATTTTTGTTACAATCAAAATTTGAATTTTCTTGATGATGCCTTTAAAGAACAGATCTGCTCATTCTTTATTTCTCATATCCTCAAAAAGGTTCATTTCAGCTGTTTTTTTCCTTCAATGGCTAATTTATCTCGTTTGTAGTGTTTCTGAGGAGGTTTTTGCTAACAATAACACCTTATTTGGGTAGTTTAGGCCATAGAAAAAAATTAAACTCTGTCAATTTGTGCAAGCATCAAGTTATTTTGGTTCAGGTTTCTTGGTCTAAATCCTAAGCCAAGCTGTTTCTCATTGTACAACTTGAACAATGACCGATTACACCAAATTCTAATATTAAATTCAATATATGTCTTCCATTGAAAAGACATAGCAACCAAGCTAAAGCTAAACACATATTTAAGGGATTACTAAGCAAAGCTACTTAGAGAATGATGTAGTACAATTCTTTACACTTTTGCCTCAAAAAATTTCCTTTGCTCTGCAGAAATGTGGGGGGCAACAGCCCCTGGCCTCCCGGTTTTGCCAGCCCTATACACCTATGATAGTCATATCCACTCTCAACTGACAGTTGGAGCGACTGCAGGTAAGAAAAAAGTAGGACGCTTTATATCTGTTGATCTGGCAATGAAATTTCCTTCCATCCTTATCAATTCCAGATTCAGAGAGAGAAACAGACCAGTCTGCAGAGTGTGGCATGTGCACACACAGGATTTTTTCAGAGGCTTGTCAAATGCACACAGAAACATAGGGCTGCGCACACGTTTTTTGGGTACTGGAAAAATTTTAGGGACCACCCTTTTTGAAACGTTGCCTTCCTATCTTGGTCTAAACAACACTTTCTTTAAGATTTTGAAATGCTGATGAATTGGGACTTAAGTATTCATAAAACATTAACTTGTGTTGGTCAGCATCAGAACCATCTGATTGTCACAAATTGAAAAAGTTGCTGTCTATAACTAAATTAGAGAACATGTACCACTTTTGCTATGTGCATTTTGTGAGCAGATTGAGTTTCTCTATAGATGATACTCTCCTAATTTGAAAAGGTCTGGCATGCAAATACATTTAATGAAATATGAGGCACAGCCATTTAAGGGTTGCTTTCAGGGTTTCAGGTTGGAAAAAGGGGGCTCTGGGGGTATTCCTCCAGGAAAAATTTTAAGGGCCACAACCTATAGATAACCGCAGAATGGCCCTGAAGTCATCTCATATCCCAGTATTTTGATTTGATATTTTGAAATGACCTATGCTTGCCCTAAATCCATTGATGCCAAGAATTAAAAATCTAACTAGCATATTCCAGTTCTCTGAGAAACTAGAGTCTTAGGTTTATTCTCAATTTCCTAAGCAAGGGCTGGTAAGAAGAGGCCTTGCCGGTTACTGAAAAGGGTTATAAAAAGGTCTGAATCAAAGAAAGTAAGATTATTTGGGAAACTAAAGTAGCTGACTTGTGCTCAAGCATGATTAAAGGGTCAATAATTTACTCTGCAGAGATCATTCTGTGGACTGAATTATGTTAAAATCAACTGACTGAGTGAACTTTTAGTTACATTTCAATCCCACACCCCCATTTAGAAGTTTGACCATCTACAAGGGAGAGAGGTCAAAATAATTGAAATTTAATCATATAAAATATATGGTCGACCCAATTTTGTGAAATGCTTGAAAGCACTTTTGCAGAAATAATTGCAGTGCACTCATTGTGAGACAAATTGACAAATACTTTGCCCATTAGAAGCTTGCTGAACACATTGGATCAAAACTGAACAGTGTGCACACATTGCACACTTTGTCAGCACTCTTGCACACATGCACACATTTATATTTGCTCTTGCACACACAAGATCTTGTCGAGAACTGTCACGCTCTGCAGACTGGGAAACAGATAGAGGTGGTTTGAAAACATGAAATTTGCTAGCTATGCTTAAAAAGGTTCTCATTTCGTAAATATATCATATTGATTACCGTGAGGGTGCTTTTCTGAAGGTGGGAGTGTTGTTACTGCAGAAATATACCGAGTGTGGCCAGAAAATATATGTCCCTCAGTAAAATTTCCAAATTCATCACCCGGTACCCAAAGCCTGCAGGTTTGGTCCCTTGAAGCTGTCAGTACACCACCTTCAGGATGAAGCGCCGGATAGACTGCTCGTATGTCGGATTCGTGACCTCTGATAACACTTCGAAGTATAAAAGGCATCTTTCCTTGTCAAAAAATTTCAAAATATGTAGTGTTAGTGTTTCCTTCGCTTTGCGATTTCGAGCTAGGCCCATTAAACTGACGATACCATCTTTATTTTGCCTCTTCTCCAATATGAGGCAATGTCCAATTGGATGTTTCGAAAAATTTTTTTTTTTTTAGAAAAAGTGAAATAGGGAGAAAATAGATTATAAACGACTTTTCCTCGTGTCTGCAGGGGCGTCAGCAAAGGGAAGGTACTGGAGCCCTTTTTGTGGGCAAAAACTTCCGAAAAAATCTTTTTGGCTTCGCCCCTGTGGGTCTTGGTAAACTATAATTCTTTCTCGCTGAGCCGAAATGCTAGCTATGGCGAAATGCTATCCAAAAGGTTTGGGTTGTACAAATATGTTTTTCGGCTACCAGTGGTGGTTTGGTTTAAAAATCATTATCAATTGTGTTTCGAGATTTTAAAGTTTCATCATTTTTAGTCGAGATAGAAGAAAGATACCAATAAGAAAAGGCAAAATTCTTATTTCAATCTTCATATAAGGCAATCCTCTTTCAGAGACTTATTAGAGTGAAGTGAACCTTGCTACCATGAGTACCAGTACCAGAGGCTCAGCGATTAGTCAGAGAAGAAGGCAAAATTCAAATTCAGTCTCGTAAGTGTCTTTAAACCACATATCAGTTTTCGAGGCTTGCAGTATTTAGCATGCTGCATTTTTATCACACATGAATGAACCCTAGTTTTATGCACTTTTGCGCCTAAACAGTTCTATTTTTCACTATAACGACTTGGAGCAAGAAGACATTTTTGTTTCAGAAATTCAAAAGTCTTTCGCAGGACATTGTATGGTATAGGCACGACATTCAATTTGGGTCCAAAACAGGGAAAAGTTGAATTTATGTTACTTGCCACCTCTAATAGTCTTTAAAAAATAGATACGTTTAATGAATGTTTATGCATAAATTACACCTCTTTTTGGAGGCTGCGCAAGCAGAATGGCTGGAGGAGCTTTGCCTCCTAAATGTTTTTTAGAGTGTTTGACGCTTTTCTTATCATAATGATCGTTTTTCCACCTTACATGATTTTGTTGATCTGTTAACCTATTTTTGTTTCTATGGGTCTTTAACATAAATATATAATAACCTACCTTTAAAATTGATTTGAAATAGACAAGGGAAGCTTATTTGAAAACGAGATCAAACTTTGGTAATTCATGCTCTGGTTTTATTTAATATACGATTGATGAAATTGAAATCATTACGTTGACCTTGGATAAACATTTAGCACGTACCATCAGTGTGGTGCAGAGAATGCAGGGTTTGTTGTGATGATCGTGCATACCATATCGATATCTCGCTAAGCACAAAAGGCAACATGAATATAAATTTGCTACCCAAGCATAAGCTATGGTTCTTCTCTAACTGGCACCAAGGCACGGTGACGACAAGCAGAGATACAGTTCTACTTAGGCAGACATTTTTCGATAAAATTTTGTTAAATTTATTAACTTCGCCTCTTTCCCAGAAATTTGGCAGATCATATTATTTTTGGCAACCGTGAACCATAGTAACAAATGGCAAACAATTCAAGAAAAGGACAAACACAAATTGTCAGGTAAGTGGTAAGTATCTTTTGTAAATTACAAAAATAAGATTGATATGATATATCAAAATACAAAAATATTAGCTATATGGTTTTTCATGTCTTTGCCAAGACCGACAAATCTACAGATGCATCAATAAATAGTACCAAAAAAAGGAAATAAGACATAATACGATAGGAATTCTATTAAAAAATTCAAAGTTTACCTGATCTGGAGATTTATGGAAAAGGTCCATGAAATAGGTAGAGATGCTAGAAAAGTATTGGCATAGGGAAAATTCTTTTCCTGATTCTCTGGAAGCAACGTCTGTTTGAAATTCTTGCTTGTGGCGGTCTTTGATTTTTCAACTAACGATGTAACATGGCTTAATTAGATGCCTTAGGATTTGTATGTTTGGCTTGATAAACCTACTCTAATATAATCTACTTTTCTAAGAAAATAATACAGCAGCAGGATTTCTTTTATGGTACATTTGGGAAGATCACTATGAGCTACGAAATCGTACCTGATTCCAAAGATCATTGAAACTTCTAAGAGGCATTTTGGTATTTGACGAAAACATGTACCATATGAACGATGTTTTAAAGCGTCTGCATGCAATTAATTGTATTTAATCATATTGTCATTTATATCTGTATTGCATCAGATATAACTCAATTCGCTTGACAAAATCCATCTGCCTATCCAGATATATTTCTGGATCCCAGTTCAAGAAGATGTGGTACTGTTCATTGCCTGGTAGCGACCTGAAAAAGCGAATTTGCATTACTTTTGAAAAACAAAACGTCTGAATGATAATCGGAAATTCAAAGCAAACAATTTATACACCACTACTGGGTTGAAATAGGCCAATCAGAATTGAGAGCGCATAAAAGGTATGGATGATGCTGCACCCATATTAAATTATCACTGAAGTCCAAAAAACTGTATCTCCATATAATTGCTTACTGTATACACAATTACTAGTTTTAGTACGTCGAAGGTTTTACATATATTTCTTTGAATTATGAATTTTTTAGCACAAAGGGAGCTAAGATTGGTTTTTTAGCTCTTAGTTCTCCTAAAAATTAATGTAAATGTTCTGGGTGGGGATGGGTCAATATTTAGGTTAAAGGTATAATACTCTAAAATATTTTGAACAATCTGTTCATGCTGGACAGGTTCTGCAATGCATTCATAATTGACAACTCGTTTAGAATTAGTCGCTTGTTGTCGATTGTGAAAGGTAACAATAACATATTATTTGATAAAACCAACAGGAATTTACCCGATCGCCGATACTCAACTACTCACAAAGGCATTGATCCCAACTGTAATCATTTTTGAAATGTTTACATTGCTAGTTACCTGTCTATACACATAATCCCCATTTTCTGTCCTTATCGTAATTAGTGGTTGTCGAGCACCAGCTGTCCGTGGCATCTGCGAAGGTGCATTGATGATGTAAAACACCTTTATATATGAACGGGAATTTGCAGCAGTCTCCTCTCCCATTTCCTCCTAGGGTGGGTACTCCTCCGCCACAAGCTGCAATAAAAATAGCTTATACAATACACAAAGAATAAAATACAACTTTGCTTTAGAACCATTATAATTTTGCCTTAATAACTCTCTGCAAATGTTTTGACTGAACAGTTATTGCTTCTCAAAAGGAGTGAATCATAGTTTTGCAGAAAATGTGTCCATAGAAGGCCATAACATGTGTTGGCTCATAACTTTATGAACCAGGCCTGAAATCTTTCATCGGCCATATCTCGCTCAGTTTTGAACATATCTGACTGATTTTGCCTACCAAGAGGTATTTTATGCCGTTCTTTCAGATCATATGGTCAAAATTGAGTATCAAAAGTAGGCTCGTTCTAGGACACTACCTTTAAAATATTACAAGTCTTGATAAGATTCGCTGGTGTAAGAAACTACATACGCTTGAGTAAGCTTTGTCTCATCTGCGTTCTCTTGCGAAATGGAAAGCGAGGTTTAGCTCGGGCCACTTTATGCCGTTGGTATGCATATTGATTGAAGGCATTCGTTCGTGCATAATTTGAAGGATAGCCACTGCAGCAATGTGGAGGACAATTGTAAGTGCATCGGTTCATGCAGTAAGATGGACAGGGTGTGTTGATATTGTATGAATAAGAGCTGACATATGATGAAGGTCTGGCATAGCCAGAAGTAGGGTAGTAAGGACGTGCGTATGCTGGAGGAGATGCAGCTTGGTATGCAGGTGGAGGTGGAGGTGGCGGTGGCGGTGGAGGTGGAGGAGGAGGTGGTGGTGGTGGTGGTAGTGGATATTGTGGCATGGGAGGTGGCGGTACGGGTATTGACAGTACTGGAGGTGGTGGTGGTGGTGAAGCAATTGCTATATATGGTTGTGGAGGAGAAGGAGGTGGTGGCGGCGGTGGCGGTGGTGGTGGAGGAGGTGGCGGTGGTGGTGGTGGAGGAGGAGGTGGTGGAGGAGGTGGCGGGGGTGGAGCAGCAACATTTACTACATGAGGTGCAGGGGTCTGTGGCACAGAAACTGTTTGAGTAGATTGATCACTGCAACAACCGTCTGGGCAAATTGGCAAGCAATGGTGTGAGCACAGGGGCGGACAGGAAGGCGCTTGATCAGGAATAGTTGATATCAACAACTCAACAGGCTGTGGAGGAGGAGGTGGTGGTGGTGCTGGCGGAGTGTACATAATTGCTGAAAAAGAAATATTCGTTTCTTAAGATCAGTTATTGTTGAATTAGGCTTAATTTGGCAGAGTAAATGGAATAAAACGGTGAAGTCAGCTTAAAAAACATTGTTTAATTCCTTTGAAAAACATCAACATAGCAAAATAGCAAAAGTAACTATCATCATATCAATACACCTTTAATATTATATCGAAAAATATTTAACAATCCTTTGTGTGGTACATTTTATCATATTCGCAACTGTACAGTAAGTATTGGATGACATCACAGAGCTAGATGCGTTGCGCTATGTTTTTTATTCTGTAGCTTGCGAAACTAAACTACTTGTTGACGTTGCTTAGTATATAGCATTACTTTAGCTTTAAAATTACAGTGTAAGTGGCTTTATGATATTTTATAGCACTCCAGTTATGTACCTTGTAAAACGTTATAACCTTTTCTATTAGATGATATCAAATGGTCATTTTGAAAAGCGATGATGAAATGAATACTTCGGATTCTGATACTCTGTCATATTAAGAATCATAAGCAAGATACCAATTTGGCGGATGATACTTACAAAGGCAATTGCCCCACTCATTATCTAAATCATAATTGGAGGTTGTAGCACACCAATGTCTGTTACTATCATGCTTTGTGCATTTATCGTACAATGTGTCCTTGTAAATGAATGGGAAAACACAGCAAGCACCATTAGCGTTGCCGCCTGTAGTTGGGCTGTCGCAGTCTGCAAAGAAAAAGAAATAACCATTCAATATATTTCTTGCATAGTATCCGCCAAATATTCAGAAATAGGCTTTAAGCAGAAGTTCCACCAAAAAACTTTAACAACGAAAGGAGCTGGCCTTTGAACAGGGGGTCTAATAATCCTCCTCAACTCACGCTTATAGACAATATATTTCATTTCTAACCTTTTGAATAGGAGGGCTAGTATGCTTCAAAAGGTGGCTCTCATTTCCTTAAAGCATTTCAAGCATTCCTGCATTCCTGGCAAGAAATAAGCTCACTGGGGCTATGGCATCATAAACAACAAGCGGAGCCCTTGTAGTTTTCTTTGGAACCCTAACGTTCGGTTTTTTGTTCTACTGTCAGCCTTTAAGAACTGAAACTGTCCTTGGGATACTAAAAATGTTTAAGCTCACTGGGGCTATGGCATCATAAACAACCTGACCGAACTTGGTCACAAGCTGCAAGGATTGATACAAAAATGTTTGGGAACGTTCACATTGATACTTATGTGAATACCAATAGTTCCATAAAACAACAAACATCAAAGACCTTATCATAATCATAAAGGGCTTCTAAAGAGTGCTTTTGTGTGTGAAGCTCCCAGTCTTCTTCACATTGGTTGGCGAAAGACGTTGGTTGTCACTGAAATCGCCAGAGTATTAGCAAAAAGGAACAATGATTATTTCAGCATAGCTTATAGCCCCAGCCACCCATCCCCTCCCATTCTACCATTGATCGTAACAATCATCGTGTTACTCAACTCGATAAGCCTTTCATGCGTAGCCTGCGTGCGACACAACTATAAGAAAAGTAGATTTCACGTTGGAGTCTACAGGCAGGCTTTTAGGGTTTAGCAGCTGATGGATTAACAACGTTTGCTTTAGTAAGTTTGGAAAGAGCTTTTTATCATGAGTGGAGGAAGGGGGGATATGTTCCAAGTAGAGTACCGAATCTACTGATACACTCTGTCGGGAAAGTAATGGGATTTATTTTCCCATTTCCAGCAACCTTGAATACGTTATAAATAATGTCCGACCGTAACATTCAAAATTCTATCTCATTCTACAGACAAAAACATATTTAACTAATAGCTAATTTTAAGGGTATCATTTCTGAATTGATAGCCTCTCAAAAGTTGATGTGGCAGACGCTTGGAGATTGAAAAATAAAGAACTACACAATCAACAGCTTAAACGTTTACACGAGGATTTCGAACACATTTCAGACAAGACAGTGTAATCACCTCGTGTAATCACGGTATGAATCGAATGCGGTTTAAGTATCAACTCTGGTGGTTTTTAATGCTTTTAAGTATCAACTTGGTGAAAAGGATAAAAAAATGAGACAACGATGCTAGTGCTAAGCCTAATATTTGATACAATCTCTTCTAAAGCTATCGACATTCATCACTACTAAAGGTACATATTATTTTGAATGATTAATATTACTATTAAATTGTGGGTTTAGTTAATAATCTTGTCAATTGTTAAGCCTTGCGTTTCAATGCCTACCAATGACGCGAAGGAGCTTTTACTCCCCATGATGCATTGCGATATCCATACAATTTATGATCACATTTCAAATGAAGTTAGTACGAAACGCATAAACATGTTTTTACCTACAAAACTAGGCCCAAATTTTCATGCAAGAAAAATTGCTTATCAAGTCAGACCATTAATGTTCATCTGGAGGGCACACATTTCCCAGACTAGATTAAACCGACTAGCTTATATTTGAAAACAAGAGAGGATCGATAATCGAAAGTAGTCATTGCTTTTGCCAACTAAACCTAGATGCTTTGGCATTGAAGAAGTAAAAGGCATGCGGGCACAATGCTATGAAATCTTTGATGCTCTGGCAGGAAGTCACATTGGTCTATAACAAGAAATCGATTGGTGGTTTTCGATGGTTAGATATAAAAAAGGAATAAATATTGCATCTACCGAGCTGAATCAGCATATAGACTGGCAAATGTATCGAAGCTAAATTGTTTTGATCAAAAAATACCTATCTTTCCCAAATTTGCATTTAGAACGACTTTTTTATTCGTTCTAGGAATGTGATTAACTCCAAAGATACTCATAAGATATCACCTCGAGAAGATATCACGGTCTAAAATGGTAGTGGAGTGAAAATGGTCATATCACAAGCCACATGCTAAACTTTTCACTTCAAAAATCCTCTTTAAGACGTTACTTACTTCATAGACAAACAACTAGCTCTAAATCTTCTAATTTTACCTAAATATAAGGGTTTTTTTCAAAGGCAAATTACGCGTTATACTAAAGCATTAAAGCACATGATACTCGGTGTATAACTACAAACCTGTTTTAAACATAAGAAACATGCAATGTTTAAATGTTAAACTGATTAAATCAGAAAATTATACTTCTTGCTTAGCAAAAATTAGAATAGTGCATAAATTTGATAATACCGAATCGAAACAAGAGCATTTTCAATCGATATGCAAAAGGAGGGTAATGCTATCTAATGGTAGCATCAAAACCTCAAACTTGAAATATGAGCCCCACTTGGCAGGAATTTTCTAATTTTAGCTATATTCATCTTTAAAGATGTGAATGAGGTGTAATGCTAACATTAGAGAAGAAAAGGTTCCTCTGTTGAAAGCCTAGTTTCACCCGTTAGTCGTCGCTGTCCGAGTCTTTTTCAGAATCTTCGTCATCGCTTGTCTCGTCATCGGAAGGTTCTTCATCTTCGTCCATGTCCTCGTCTTCCTTACCCACATCAGCCTCGTTGTTTTCCGTCATGTCTCGTATTCGCTCGTTGTCTTGCGATTCAAGTTCATTGTCATTGTCATCGGAATCCATTCGCAGACCTTCTTCTTGATCTTCATCATCCGACGCATCATCAGGCAAATCTGCACCTAATTCTGTGATGTCATCTTTCTGTACAATAACTGGGCGCGAATCGTCTTCTTCAGGACTGTTTTCGGCTTCAATCATGTTCGAAGCTTTAGGCCCATCGACTTGTTCATCGTTCAATAAGTCTGTCAGCTTACTTAATGGGATATCATTCTCTGCCTCCTTATCACTGTCGTTCTGCACAACTGACGCAGGCGCATGATCGGTTTCTTCATCGCCCGCGGATTGTGATGGGGAGTAGTAGTCTTTCTCGTACTTATCAGCTATCTTTTTTATAAAAGCTTGCTGCCTGCCCATCGACAATTTCAATATATCATTCATTGATTTTGACTGAATATCCTTGACTCTGTTAACAGCATTGTCTGCCTCGTATTTCTGCATCTGTAGCAATGCTTTCGCCTGTTTCAGTCTGTGGAAATGATCTTTCGAGTACATGTCATTAAGTACATCTGACTTCAGTTTCCTTTCTGTCAGATACGGACTTGGAAATGCCGGCCTGGGCTTCCAGTTTTGATTATTTATAGCAGTTGCGGATACTCCGGGTGTGTCAGCACCATATTCTGGGAGCAGACTTTTAAGTGTTATTGATTCAGTGGGGGACACAGCTAATGTTGATGGCTCGTTGTTATTCAAGGGGTCTTCCGAATCGGTGATTTTTGCCAACTCTGTAGATGGCTCTTCGTTTACAACTGCAGAATCTGGTTTTGCAAGTTCCTTATCGATCTGCATTTCCATCTCATCAATCACGTTTAAAGAATCATTCAATCTCTTTATCTTCTGAGCCTTTGCTCTGCCTTTAGGATTGCTTTCCTTAAGGGCTTGCTTTATTAGTTTAGCAAGTTTTGAACCATTCGTCTTAAGATTGCGATTGGTAGAGACATTTTTAGAAGATTTTTCAGATGATTTCCCGGAAGGATTACCTTTCGGTTGCTGGTGCAGCAGATTTGGAGCAATAGGTTTTCCATTAGGCTTATTTACAGGTTTGGGTTTTACATTGTTAACTTTCTTTGTAACACCTGTGAAGGGTTTCTTTAGAAGATTCAATCTTTTATTATCCTTGACTTTGTTTGGCGATACAACACTTAGGCCGCTCTTTTGATTTACCTTCTTCATGCCATTTGCAAGGACAGCTTGCCTCGCCTTAGCTGCTTCACTTTTCAGATACTTTGGAATCGGGTTCAAGAACTCATCGCCACCATCAAAATCACTTTCCTCTACGCCAACGTGTTTGGAATCACCCGAGTGTTTTGTCGTTTGTTTACGTGCAGCTGATGGGATTGCATGCTTGACATCACCATTGCTTTCCTCGTATGACTGCTTTTCTGGATAATAGGACAAACTTTGCTCATCCTCAACCCCGTTAGCACTCTTAACTTCAGCCTTTATTTCTTCTTCTGGAAGCTTCTGTCTAAGAAAATTGGAATTCACTACATCATCTGGGAAGGAATTCTTATTCTCCACCATATTTTCCATTTTTAGCGTCTGGGCAATTTTATTCATGGTCTGTGAAGTGCTCTGTTTTACTTGATTTGCAACGTCATCTCTCTCGTCAGGAAGATCGAACAGATTCGATTCTAAGTGCTTGCTTCCAGGCTCGAACTGAACATCGTCATCACTCACCAACGCCTTATTTATAGACTTCATTTGTTCGTCATACAGCGGTTCATCGAGACTTGAAACCTGTGTTATAAAGCTTTCTTTTGCTTTTTTTACTTCCTCCGGTGCATCAGTATCCTTCCCCTGTGCATCAACATTCAGATCATCAGTATCAAAATTTCCTTCAAACATTGCTTGGCCATCTTCCGTTTCCAAATCGTAGCCCAGTCTTTCCTTTCTAGGTGGTGTGTGCTTTCCTTTAAGATGACTGCCCGCTGGTTTCTTAATAACCTTTTCAAACCAATCATTCTTACTAGAGTCTGCATCTTTTGTGAACATAATAACATCGTTAGGCTCGACTACTTCAACTGCTTGATCGGCAGCTTGACCGTCATCTACAGCCGTGACAAAGTCATCATCATTGTCATTGCTCTTCGCTTTGTTTGAATTAGAATCATCTTTCATACTCTGTGTTTCTTTTGTGATACCATCATTCTTGCTATGTACATGTTTCACTTCGTTTAATCCCTTATCTGGTTTCACATCTTTCAGTTTCCCATTTTCTTCTTTGTCACTCAATTTTTGCTTTTTATCAGAATCAATAACCTTTCCAGCTTTCGCTATAAGTTTGATTGTCTTACTTTTATTTTTATTGGTGTTGTGTTTCGGCCTAGCAGATTGGCTCTGATTTACGTTAACACCTTTCACTTGTTTTGGCTTCTTGAGATTCATTTTAAGAGCCTTTGTCTGCTTTTGTCTGTTTACTCCAGCAGCCTTACTTTGCTTTGATTTACTCTGGTCAACTTCATCAGACTCCGTTTTTTTCCCTTTTTTGCCCTCTCGATTTCCAGCCTTTTTATCATCCTTCGATCTACTTGAACCTCTTTTATCATTAATCGATGAATCCTTCCCTTTCTTTCCATCATTTTCATCCTTGACAAACTTATCCACTGTCATATTCCTTGGCTTGATCGAATCGACACTCTTATCTAGATCATCCAGTATTTTTGCAAGCGAATCGAGACTCATCTCATCATTGTTCTGTTCACTAGTGTACGATTCCACGGCCTCTTTGTCGGCATCTAAACCATCCTCGGTTTCAGATAGTGCAGAGTGAACAGGTCTACCCCACAGGCGATTAGCCACTTCTTTTACTTCATCTTCTTCACTATCCGACCCAAGTTCATGCCTAGCATCTCCATTCTCTAGACCTTCCCGATTATCGCCACCTGCATCCTCACCCATAGCTTCTTGATCAACCGTCATTGTGACTATGGAACCAGTCGGATCATCCTTTTCTACCTCCACTAAGTCACCATTGCTATCAACATCTGTAAAAACATTTACAGGACTGAAGTTTGTTGTACTTTCATCTCCATCTAAAGTATCACCTGAGCCAATTTCTCTATAAGCTGACTCCAATTTCTCAGATTTATCAACTTTATTAGCCTTTTCTTTTTCTGCTGAATTCTTGCTTTCTTTGTAAGATTCCTTATTGCTTTGACTTTTTGTTTTGTTTGTTTCTATCTTCTCTCCTTCCTTTCTATTTTTTTCTTTATCTTTCTTCTTTCCTTTTTCCTTCCTCTTTTCTTCTTCCTTCTTCTTTTCCTCCTCTTTCTTCTTTTCTTCTTCCTTCTTCTTTTCTTCCTCTTTCTTCCTTTCTTCCTCTTTCTTCTTTTCTTCTTCCTTCTTCGTTTCTTCCTCTTTCTTCTTTTCTTCCTTCTTTTTCGTTTCTTCCTCTGTTTTCTTTTCTTCCTCTTTTTCCGTTTCTTCCTTTTTGTCATCATCTTTAATCTTGGAGTCAGAAGTATTCGTATCAGTCTTCACTATGCTCTCTATCCCAATTCTCTGTTCCCCAGTACTTTCATCTTCCTTGCTCGTACTCTTCTCGGCATTTTCTCCAGAATTAAGTTTCTTCTCATCTTCACTGATATTATTTTGACTGCTGGACGTTACATTAAGGTCATCAACTGCAGTCATTGACTCACCATCTGCTACGTTATCATCCCTTGTTTCCCCGTTGAAAGGCGTTATTTGCTTACTTTCACCTACAAACTCCATGTTGCTGTCGTTGCTACCTCGGGGTGGTACATCATTATAAGTTAAACCATGGTTCACTTCCATCTTATCATTTGAGCCATCATCACGAGATGTCTCATTTCCAAAATCATTCTTTTCTGGTGCTGTTGCTGTTATCACTGCACTATCCTCAGAATCTCCTACATTTTCGTGAATAGTTACTTCATCCGGTCTCTTGTCGTCAGTTTTGAAATCTTTCAAAGTTATTGGCGGCGTCGGCTGAAAGCCTTTGAAATCATTGAGCGTTTTATCATTTGCAGAAGTAGCATTCAAATTCTGTACATTTGTTAGCAATGTAGGTTCAGTTGGCTTGACGTATGTTGTATCATCTCCACTGCTACTCTGATCAGGTGACTTATCAATATTCACATCTTGTTTTCCTGTGATATTTGCCATCTTATTTGAATCCGTCACGACTTCATTTTCTGCCATCATTTCCTTTTCCGTTGTTTCAATCTTTTTATCCTCAGGTCGTTTCTCGGCACTTTTACCAAGATTTGCTGACTCGTGATTTGATGTCCCATCCATAAAAAACCCTGTATCTGACGTAACACCGCCTGTTTTAAAATTCTGCAAGATTGAAGTAGGTCGGGTGATTTGTTCACTATTTTTCAAAGATTTAGCTAATGCAGCGCTTGAATCGTCCCCGCGAATTGAAGCTGTTTCGTTGGTAATTATTTTTTCAATAGACTTGGATTTATCATTTTCCAAAGCTCCACTTTTCTCTATCTTTTCTTCTGGATCCTTTTTAGATAAAAACTTTTTCTCATAATCACCAGTACTATCAAATGTACCAATATCAGCATAAACACTCTGCAATGATTTCTGAATACTGTCTGATGAACTACCTGGCTTTTCTTCCTTACTTGAAACACCAGATTCCTGTTTAGGAATCTGTTTGCTGTCTGTTTTCAGATTGGCTTTCTCTGATTCTTTAGCTTTTGTATGCTTAGACTTTTCCTGTGGTAATTCACTGTTGCTAGACAGTGCTTTCTGTGAAACAACATTTTTGACTGCTTGCGTGTTATTCTCTAAATTCTTTACCGGTAGAATTTTTGAAGTTGCACTATGCCATTTACTTTTGCTGCTTTTTGCCCCCTTTTGCTTGGCGTTCTCATCAGTTCTGTGTTTATTTTCATTTGCAGCAATGGATAACGGTTGCTCAACGTTGATCGAAATGAGCTCGGGTTTTTCTTTTGAACCCTCCTCCTTGTCATTGCTTGCTCCTTCACCACTGCTTGCTCCTTCACCACTGCTTGCTCCTTTATCATTACTTGTTCCTTTGTCACTGCTGCTTCCTTCATCGGTTTTCTTTTCCACCTTCAATTGACTGGAATTTTCAGAATCTTTCTTGCTGTCTTGATTAGACTCTTTGTCTTTACTGTCATATTTATCATCTTCTTTGTAATCTTTATCATCGACTTTTGAATCCTTTTCATTATCTTTCGAATTTTTCTTTGTGTCTTCAAGCTCCTTATTCACGTTGTTCGAATCTTTGACAGCATTTGCCTTATTTTCCGTATGATATGTACTTTCTTCAGTTTTGTCCTTCAAGCTGTCAATCTTAGCTTCTTCTTTTCGAGAAGACTTACTTTCTTCCTCGTGATTATTCTTATCTTCTCGACCTTTCTTCTTATTTGCTACACGAGTAACTGACTGGCCTGATTTGAAGATAAGATCATCATCTTGACTAGATTCATCTTCGGAAAAGTGTTCTGAATCTTCAATAATATCATCTTCTACCAATTTTGATTTTTCGCCACCTTCAGATTCTACATCTTTACTTTCTGTTTTACTTTTATTTGAATTAAATTTTGAAAATTCGCTTTCCTTTTGGTCGCTGTCATTCTCATCTCCATCAACGATCTCAACTTTTTCTTCAACACTATCTGCATTGGTGAAATTATAATGGACAGCATTATCATCTGAAGATTTGAACTCCTTTGTTTCAACTGTTTTTTCCAATGTTTTCTCGCCTTCTTTTATCGTTTCATCGTCACTGTCATCCAGGATTTCAGCTTCCTCAAATTCTTTAAATTTTTCTTCATTCTCATTAGAACCTTTCAAAGACTTTTTATGACCTGATGTGTCGGAACCTTTCACGGAATTTAAGTTTTTCTTATACTTGTTACCATCTGAATTCTCATGTGCTTCACTATTCTTCTTGTCGTTCATAAGCTCAACTTCATGTTCTTCATCCTTAACAAGTTCTTCACCTTGTTTTTCATTCTCAGGGGCATCTTCTATCTCTTCTTCTTCATCTACCATTTTTTGGCTAAGTGAGTCGCCAAATTCAGAACTATCAATATCTTCTTTCTTTGCATCACTTTCCTCTTTTTTCTTTCCTTTCTCTAAAGATGCTCTACCACTTTGTTCCTTTGGTTTTTCTATTTTGACATTTGACCTCTCTTTCTTATCTTCCACTCTTTGGCCTCTAGCCTTTTTCATTTGACCCAGAGTAGCTTTTTTGACATCATCTTTTTTATATTCGGAAAAGGTCCTTCTGTTTGTTTCCTTTGACTTTGACGGCAGACTCTTCTTTGTGCCTGTCACATCTTTTGTCACATGATCATCATCTTCATTGACGTAATCAACGAGCTCTTCTTCTTCGTCAGCATTGTCAGTAACTGTGTCAATCAAACTATCTTCTGATACAGCTTGACGGTCAGTATTCTGTGCTAAGCTATTTTTCCGATACTTTTCGTAGCCATTCGGACAACCTACACAATTCGTCACACAGCCGTCATCACCTGGGGTAGTAATGCCACTCTTTTTGCAAACTGTTTGGCATTCACAAGAGCGACGATATCGATGCTTGATCTTACCAGATTGCACTTTACGTTTTCTTTTATTGCTCGACCGGAAATTTTTCTTTAGCTTTTTAGATTTTCTTTTTGCCTTACTCTTGTATTTTCCCTTGCTTGTTCTTGTCAAGTCACTTCGTTTAATCGGTCGAGCAATAACTGTCCTCATTTTTGACAACTTTGAAGCAAATTGCTGATACCTTGAATTAAAAACTGGCTGTTTCTTGATACCTGTATTATGTCTCTTTTCCCCTATTTTAACGCTTGACAATGTATGTTTTTTTACTGCCGCTAGATGATTTTCGGACTTCCTTTTTAGTGCTACATTTGGAGAGACAATCTGGATCCTTATCTGAGCTCCTTTTTGCTTAGGCAAATGTTTCTTGGCACCCGTTACCTGTCCATTTGGATGAATCACAAAACTGCCTTGTGAAACGATAGTTCCCTGATTTTGCGCATATGTTGCTTGGTGACAAGGTTCTTGCCCCTGACACAAAACTCCGGCAGCTTGCTGGGAAGGAACACCCATTTGAGTTGTTGGTGCGTTCTGCGCATGTCCATAAAAGCTAACAGAATGAGACGGGCTGTTTTGCGCAGAATTAACCTGTGCTTGCGTCACTTGACAGCAAGGAGCCGGACACGTGCTCGTACAGTTGCCAATGCAAGGCCTTTGGCAAACAACTACATTGTGGTTATTGTTCTTAGCATGCTCCTGCGCCTGACAGCATTGTTGTGGGCAGTTCCCTGCGCATCGCCCAATACAAGTACCTGGACATACTAGTATGTTTATGTTATGTGGCTGTGTTGTAGACACAGAATGATGGATCGGTTGTTTACGGTGATCGACCAGGGGCTTAGAAACTAAGTTTATGGGGGTAGCAAGAGTGGCTCCATGACTCAAGGAGTGGTCAACCCGACTGCCAACATGAGCAATTTGATGCGTAGGATCTGCAATGATCATAAGTGTTTTAGATGGTGCCATCTGCAAGGCGGATGGGATTATCACTTGAGGTACGGTCTCAGGAGCTTTCAGTTGCGACAACGTCCCGTCAGTTGCTGTTACAGTTTCTGTCGTTGAGTCTGTTTGTAAGAAGAAATGTTTTTGCTTTCAGAATTTAATTTGAATATGTCAGAAGATTATCAATTTTTTAAAGTTTAATGTCTTAAGAAAGCCTTTTCAACTTTTCTATAACAAATAAGAATTTCTGTCAGCTGAAAGTATCAGATGTACTATCATGGTTACGTTTGCCACTACTCGGCACCCAACAGGAAGATCTGATGAACTACTTATACCCATAAATAGGAGAAGCGGATACGTGAAACATACCTCATGCGGAGTCTGTACTTGTGAAGACTCCAATCGTTTCTTTTGCCTTTCAGAGCGTAACTGTCATGTCGGCACTAGGTCAAGTGCTCTTGCGTCAAAAATCATGCGCAGTCTTGTAAGCGAAATGTTTTGCATCGAGGCGTTACGTAGCATTAGCACGAAAACTATCTAGTGCAGACATGACGTCATGCTCACAACATAAGAAACTTTGGAGCCTTCAAAGCAGGATTGCGCAAAGTGGCAATGTATTTAAAAGAATTAATTGTGTTCTATGCAAAAAATACGCACTGACGTCAGCACACGTAAACAGTTTTCGCGCCAATGCGTAACTTGAGCTTGAATTCGCAACGGGTCCGCATTACAGATCAGCGTCTGCTGTGGGAAACAAAACGCGAGGCAATGCGCAGAAATTTCGCGGCACACTCACTTACAAGCAACCACTCTCAGCCAAGTTCTTGAATTTATGCTTTGAAAGCAAAATCAAGTTCTAAAGGCCTTGGTATGGCTTTTATTTGTTGCTTGGGTGGAACGTTTACAGGGCTCACGCCTAAAATTTCAAGCTGGAGGGGCCAGGTTCAATAAGTCGAACTTGAATTTAGTGCTTCAAAACAGGGCCTCTTTGGAAATATTTTTGCTTACCAAAAAATGAGAAGGCAATGGCCCCTCCGACCCCACCTGGTGGTGTGGGCCCTGGTTTAGCCATTAATGAAACACATTTCGAAATTTTACAAACAAAGTAGATTGTTAAGAACAAAAACTAAATTTGTTTCACGATTGAAGTAAAAAAAAACTCTGAGACGGTTCTAGAAAAAGCATTGAAACACTGGCTAATTGATGTTTTTAACAGTGAAAAACTGTTTTTCAAATTTAAATATGCTAAAGTGATTTAAAAACTTTATTTGATAAAATAGAAGATAAAAGTGATAAGAAAAACGAGAATAAATCGTTGATAAGCAGAATCATTGAGAAGCCTGTTATTCGCTTGGCTTTGGGACACTGTTGCTAAAGGGCTCTAGAATTAAAATGAAATGGAATGGATTTCAACGAGGCAAATTCGATTATTCTGCATATTTTGTCAGTTTTCTTGTCAAAGAAATATCGCAAATCAAGAACTCAAAAGGCGTAAGTAGGCAAGTAAATTGATTAGCAAGTTAGGAACTGTAGAAATGTAAGTAGGCTAAAGATGCAAACACAGGCGGAGATTATAGATCGAATTGCACTGACCTGCAGCTATTTTATTAACAGTCGGTAAATGATTAGTGTTATGCAACACATGACTTCCGACCCTATCAATAATCTTCAACCCATCTCCAGGAAAATCGGCCGCTAAGATTGGGTTGCCAACTTCATTGACAATACGGTGAGCAGTTACTCCCAGGTTAGCGTTAAGTTTGCTGTAATCGTCAGATAGGATGAAGTCATTGCCGTCTATGGCGTTACCATTGCTAACAACATGGCCAATAGCCCCGTTTGCATCAACATTATGTACACCATTCACATCAAGAACCTTCTGGCCATGAACGTTATGAGTACCCATTACGTCATCCCCGTGAACTGCAGAAGGATGTATCCTTAGTTTTCCATTATTATCAACGTAAAATGTACCCTGTAGTCCAGTCTTCAGAGCACTCGATGTAGCACCCGTTAAAAGCACTGGCCCTGCATTGTTAGGATTAGCAAGGATGGCATCATTAGCTTGAACTAGTAGATTAGCGGGATTGGCTGGATTAGCCGGATTGGCTGGGTTAGCCGGATTGGCTGGGTTAGCCGGATTTGCTGGATTAGCCGGATTGGCTGGATTAGCAGGATTGGCTGGATTAGCTGGATTAGCCGGATTGGCTGGATTAGCTGGATTAGCCGGATTAGCAGGATTGGCTGGATTGGCTGGATTGGCCGGATTAGCAGGATTGGCTGGGTTGGCGGAATTGGTTATCACTGGTTCATTTTTGTTAGGAAAAAGTTGAGTCACTCTGTCACCTTGTTGGTCCAAAAGAGGCGGCTGTTTGGTTAGCCGGTCAGTAACTATGTTAGGTTTGTTTTTTTCAGTCTCTCCAGAAGCGTCATTATCGACAACTTTAGTGTCCACGTCATAAGAAACTGCCTTACCGTTTTGTGTGACTTTAACTTTCTCTGTCTGGATAATCTTTGGTTCTGAAAGTAGATGATTAATGTTCATTATAGAATCGAAAACTTCAGCTGTTGTGCATTTTATTCTAGGCGAATGTAAGCAATCGATTTTCAAAGTAATAGTAAATCAATGACAGTAGCCATGGGACATAACAATACACGGTATAATAATGCAGAGAGTCGAAAAAACGTCACCATCATAGGAGACAAGGGACGAAGACTTAAAAAAGACGGGGGGAAAGATAGAAAGATAAAATGTAGTGGTCTGTGTCTTTTAAATGGTCTAAATCAAAGTATTTATTTTTTGGATAACATGAAGACACAGTTGACAATTTTTTAATTTGAAGCCAGTAATGCTGAATTGAAGCACTCATGTCAATGTTCGAAGCTATTTGAAATTCGCTGTTTGTTCTATTTCTAGGGTCTAATGCTGAAATCCAAATCTTTTCTATTCATCTTTAGCAGCAATGTTACTGACAAAATGCAAACTTATTGATAGGATGTCTTTTTCATATGTGATGACCATGAAACTTATCACCATTCCCAACTTTTGAACCCCCACCCCTCATCTCCCAGGAATGAATCGTACGATTCAAGAGCAATTAGCTTACCAGGAGCATCTTCTGACGTCACAAGAACACTTATGTATGTATCTCCATCTGCGACAGGTCTAAATGATATTGACTTCTGACCATCAAACTTGACAATTCTCCCAGCCCCACTGACATCAACTCCTTGGAAAGTGACCATTTGCGGTTGTTTCTTCTCGTCCTTGTGTCTGAACACGATCTTTAGTTTCAATGATTTTGCATTTAATGGGTACTCTTTTTCGTGCCCAAGAACAGAAATAATTTTGACACAGCAACGTGCATTGTTGATGAATTTAACTGCAACGTACTTTGTTACTGGAAAAGAGACATTTAGTTCAATGCGTTTGAAGACATTGCATACAAGTGTATGCATGTAGGATAGAAAGTATTTGTTCATAGAGGTGTAGCTAAAGAAGGGATGGGGTGGTGCCCCCAACATTGGATTTGACGACAAAAAAAGAGAAATATTTAGATTCTAAGTTGATAATCCAATAGTTTAATACTTGGAATATATATGGATAGCGATAAACAAATTCATCCTTGGTATGTGCTTAGTTTCTGCCTAAAAATGTCTGTGCCAAGGAAATATCCTTTTGTTGGTCTTTACTGGTCTTTTATTCTAAGCATTTGATATCAGGCACTGTTAAAAAAATGTTCTTTATTTTTGACATAAATACTCTCTGCACCTTAAAATGGGTGAACTATATCCACTTACTTGATGTTGCGGTTGCGGTTGCAGTGGCACTAGCGGCTGCACCAGCAGTTGCAGTTGACGTAGATGAGCTAGAAGCCCCTGCAGCAGACCCAGCGCCTGCTGTTGAAGTGCCGCTAGCTCCAGACGCAGCGCCACTGGATGCTCCTGCGCCAGTTGTTTGTGCCGCCTGCTTATTAACGTTCACATCTTGTTGGATGTTTATCTTTGCGCCAACTTTGCTGATTGTGTTAAGTGCTAATTGTGGATTAATCTGAGCTGCTAGACCTACAAGAAATGCACAACAGTAAATATAGGAAACATAAAATCGGAAAGTTGTGTATTGAGGTGCATTAACAAAATGTAGATATCTAGAAATTTCTCAGCTTTTTTTTCATTTATTCATTTATTCATTTATTCATTTATTCATTTATTCATTTATTCATTTATTCATTTATTCATTTATTCATTTATTTATTTATTCATTTATTCATTTATTCATTTATTCATTTATTCATTTATTTATTTATTCATTTATTCATTTATTCATTTATTCATTTATTCATTTATTCATTTATTCATTTATTCATTTATTCATTTATTCATTTATTCATTTATTCATTTACTCATTTATTCATTTATTAATTTATTCATTTATTGATCTCTTTACTCTTATTTAAACACGATTTCCTATCAGCTATTTAACAAATTAACTAAATAAAAATGAAGCTGCTCTTCTAAGGGGTCGTGTTTGCGTCGTTCTACCTCAAGAACTCCTTTAATCTTACTTTAAAGAAGCTTAATGAGGCAGAATCTCGTATTTGTTTTGGGATCTCGTTCCAGGTACTTGCTCCCTGGTATCCAAAAGACTTTTTGCTATATTCAAGACGAAGCTGAGAAATTTCGAAATCTTCAATTTTTCTTGTGTTATATTTCGAAATATTCGACCAAGGAGTTAATTTATTTTTGAGGTTCTCTGGGCAGAGTCCATTGTTTACTTTGTATATAGAAATTAGCCTGATATATTTTATTAGATTTTGCACATTGAGCCAATCACATACCCAGCCATCTTTGTGCATTGCAGATTCAATTAGTTTGCGTGCCCTGTTTTGCAACCTCTGTAGGAATTCCATTTTAGAGTTTGACAGACTTCCCCAAATGACGCTGCAATATCTCAGATGGCTTTCAATTGATGCTCGATAAACAGTTGTCAATTGTTTCTGGGAAATGATGTTTTTGAGTTTAAATATCGCCCCTAAACCGCTTTTATCTTTCGCTTTACGCCTTTTAGTTGCTCTTCCCAATTCATGCTTTCGTCAATTATGACACCTAGATACTTTGTTTTTTTAACTCTGAATAATTTTTCATCTTCTACCTCGAGGTAAGGGAAGTCTTTGGCTCTGTTCTGTTGTTTTGGGTTCCCTATCAACATAAACTCAGCATTTAGGGTAAGTTTGTTTTGCCTCATCCAGGACGATACAAGGTCAAGTTCGCCCTCTAAGTCGTTAAAGAGCTCGCTGATCTCTGTGAAGGCATAAAAAATGCTTGTGTCATCTGCGGACATCATCGGATGTAAATCAACGGATAGAAATCAACGGTAACCCCAGTATTTAAAAATGACTCAGTTCATTTACCTGTGTTTAATCCAACAAGCTGTGGTAGAGTCAAGCCGTTTGTAATTTTTTGCCCATAGAGCCCTAACCCCATCAGGCCAGCGGCTCCTGCAGCAGCTTGAAGACCGGCCGTTGCTCCAGCACCTGCAGCACCAGCACCACCGAGGCTGCTCGCTCCAGTGGCCCCTGCCGCAGCAGCGTTCAAGCCCGCTTGGCCGAGAAGCTCTTGAATTTGTTTTGCTAAAGGTGAGTTATCATCTGGATCCTCGTCTTCTAAGAAAAAGAAAACATCAATTAGGATTTTCTCGTTTCAATTTTGATATTAGGTATGCATTAAATCTCAGATTATGAGAGCCTATCATATGGAACCCTTCTATGGAAATGCTGAACTTCATCGAACGTTATGTTTGATTTTATGACGGTTTCAGTGATACAAAGTTGAAGACTCTATTTTTTCAATTGAAACATCCAAACAACGCGAAAAATAACTTCTAAAGTCTTTCCAATGCTCAAATCTATGGTTTCTTACCACTGCCTACACCAGAGCCAGTTCCACCGCCCGCACCACCAGCTGCACCACCAGCCGCACCACCAGCAGCTCCACCAGCAGCTCCACCAGCCGCACCGCCAGCTGCACCGCCAGCCGCTACACCAGCAGCTCCACCAGCAGCTCCACCAGCAGCACCTCCGGCACCGGCACCTCCGCCAGCACCTCCGCCAGCATCTCCGCCAGCATCGCCCCCAGCATCGCCACCAGCGTCAGCATCTCCATCAGCTTTAGCTTTGACCTAGAAATTATTTATTGATAAACTCGCCATCGATATATGATAAAGACATTAGGCGTTCAACAAAAACGAACCAGAGTCAGGAAAGCATCAAGGCCCCACGGCCACTGGCCGGAGAAAGGTTGTAGAAAAAGATATTAAGGAAAAATATAATTGAAAACAAACTACAAATTTCTAGAAAGTTTTGAAAAAATTAATTGCAAGGAGAAGGGATCAAGACTAGTTGAGTATCCTTTCTTCTGACTACGTCCATTTAAAGCTTCAATGGCTTTGATGAAAGTTCAATGGTGAAAGTTTCATAGTAAGATTTTCTTGGCCAGAGGATAGTCGACAACTTTTCTGGATTCTGGAACGAACTAGCAACTAGCAAGTGCTCTACACCTACAATCTTTTCTGTAGAATGATATTTTTATAATGTCTTTTTAAATGTGAATAGAATAAAGTCTTTTCAAATATTGGAGAAGATCTTCATAATAAGCAAAGATCCATACCATCCATACGAGAACATTGGCAGTCAATAAGATAAACAAAATCATAAAAAGTTAATAGTCGCATAATCCTCTCGCGTACAGTCAGATTGATCCCTTTTTACTCTCCGAATTTTCGTTAAGTCTTGATTATTTTTAATTTATTTATTATCAATCATTGAAGTTCATTGTATTTTATGGTTAGCGTGAAAGCCACAATGTTTCTGGGTATATGCATACCTCCGTGGTCTCGCTTTGTATCACTTTAATTGTTCATTTATTATTTCTGATATTTCATAATATTTCTGAAATGTAAACTTAAATGACTTTCATTTCTATTTTGGTAAAGACAGATACGCAAAAAATCTAAGAAATACTGGTGTATAATTTAACTACTCGTTCGAAGAACACAGCAAATCTTTTCAAACGACTAGCACGAACAAGGCGTTTTTTGGTTTGTTTATCATCTGGGTTTTCTAATGTCTTCTAACATCAGATTGTTCCCCCAACATCATTTTCATCCGTCATATGAACCCAGTGGCGGCTCCAGCCTTGGATAAGTGGGGGGGGGGAGACAAAAGGTATGTCAAGGACAACGCTCTGTTGGACCACGCCCTTTTCCCCTGTTTGAAACTTTTTCTTCCGGAGGAAACACCTGTTGTCTCCCAAGAAATGTCATTTACATGTGACGATGTAGATAACGTACATACCCCCCCCCCTGAAGTCTTCTCATCAGGTTTGCAAGAAGACCAACTTTCTGAAAAAGTGGAGGGGAACTAGTCCCCCCCGTGGCTCCGCCACTGTATGAGCCCCACCCCCCCTTACCAGGTGACACAACAAATGAACGAACTTCTATAATCTGCAGAAGAAAGTTTTGCAAATAAAAGGCCATCTTACTTCAGATGAGGATTCTGCCGCTGCCTTTGCTTCCTCTTTCTTTTCCTCCTTTTTGCAATAATCTACACATGACTGTTGCTCGTGGTTGTGATCAAGCTCAGTGTGGACAGCCAAAAACGTGCAGTCTTTCGAGTAAGATGATACTGTAAGGTCAGCTGTACCACCAGCATGGCAAAGATAATCTGAGCCCCCGAGTTTAATCGCATAAGCATCCGGATATGTCGATGATTTGCTTTCGAATGAAAACGATGAATACTGGGCTGAAATTGAAAACCAAACAAGTTTCAATTTGCAGGATGGCACCAGCTGTTTTCTATGGTACATGCTACAAGGCTGAATGTAAAAAAAGTTCTTGGAATTCATAACAACTTTTACATTGTTCTGAAACAGCATTTGCATTTTGGCAATGCATTTGGACCTCGAGAAGTATGCTTACTTTCCTGAAGAGATAATACAAGGAGGTCAAAAATTAAACTGGACAGAAACAATTGTTTACAATTCTGCTATTATTCAGGAATAAAACAGGAGGTGGAAACAGGAAATTTTCAAGTAGCAAACTCTAAAACTACGCTAGTAAAGATAAAAATCTTGACCTGAGCTACTGAGAAAAGAAAAATTTGAATTGCGTTTCTATAGTTTTGGCAGAAACTACCATTTTAGCAACAGCATTCACAGCCACTGCAGGAGCAAACACAGTGCAAAAACAAATTGTCTGGAGACTGTATGATAATAAAGAAATAAAGTAGGGAAAAGTAAAGGTATTTTTTGAAAAAAAATATTCACGCTCATATCCTGTTAGATTTTTGAGCTTTGGAAAGATAATATTGTAACAAAATTAAAAAGGAAAACAAATTATCTTTATACCCCCAATTATAAAAAAAATTGATAACTTGTAAAACATGATACCTTCTAAAATTAAGTAAATAAATCATTTTTCTACGCTTCACTTGAAGTAAATAGAGTCCTTTACCTACTGCTCCCTTCTGGGCCACAAACTTGACTCCATCACGCCTAACATAATATCCCCTATGCGCGTCCAGCTCCAAAGAAAGGCTATTGACACTTCCATCTAGCCCTGGCTTCCTTACGATAAATACTGTGGCGTGTTCTCTTGGTTCCAGATGCAGAGAATAGTCGTCTTCATGTATGGACAACGCGTATTTGCAGACGTGACCGTAGGGCTCAGCGCAGGGGAAATTTGCTGCGTAAAGCTTGATTTTCAACACTGCGAAAAAAACCAAATAAAATTAATTGTGTTGATATGTCTGTGCCAGAAAGAAAACAGCCATAAAGGTGAAACTTTTTATGAAAGCTTATAAATTGTTATCTTTTCTCAAGTTTAGGCAATTGGAGAATAGTTGGTAATGACTGGCTGGATAAACAAAGACTGGATAAACCAAAGATTGGCATACTGTTGACAGAAGACTGCCGACCCTTACCTGTAACATACATAACTAGATATCGAATGATCTCAATAGTAATAATTATGTCCTGCAGAAGGTGTTTTTGTACCCTGGGTGTCAGAGTCACAAAATTTCGAACGGCAAAATAGAAATGAGGAGCGGAGATGCGGAGGAGCATTTATCTGAGAAACATCTATCTCAGATGCTCCTCCGCTTCTCCGCTTGGTTTTCCATTTCCGTGCTCGAAGTTACGTGGCTCTGGCACCCAGGGCAGTGTTTTGCAGCTGCTGGCTTTAAGACTTATAAAAAATTCACTAGGATTTCACTAGGACAAACGTTTGGTGAGCGAAAATACTCCCCCTTGTCTCATTTGAGTTGGTAAATCTAAACCGTAGCTTCCCCTTTCTTCCTCTCACCTCCTTCCGTCCTCCCCTCATCTCCTTTCGCATACCCCTATCTCCCTTCGCCTTCTTTCGTCTCCACTTGCCTTCTTTCATCTCCCCATGCCTCCCCTTGCCTTCCCTTGCCCAAAATAATCGCTTCATGCCTTTCATTGACGCTATTACATTTAAATTAATAAAGAAACTAATACAATAGTACCAGGCTCACAGCTTAAAGCAAATGCCTACTTACTATATTTCTTCATTTCCTCAGTTCTATCTACAACGTAGAAAATGGAATTGTTAATTCGGCAATAATATGAAACAATATAAGTTTTAAAATAAATCTCCTGGCATCAAATTATGCAACTGCAGTTAAAAATCTAGTCAATTAGTCCAAGTATGGCTTACTGCTAACAAAATAGAGTGAGGGATGTTATCCTTTAGATTCCAGACAATTATAGAAACTAAAGTTCATGTGTCGTGAACCTGACTGGCTAATGCAATACAATTATCCTCTTTGCTTAATACAAAGCAAGGGATCGAGGTTGAATTTTTACGGCAGTAAAAATCTTTGAAACAGTATGAAATGTCACGAAACAATGGGATTTCACTTCAAATTTTATTTGTGATAGCTAACTGCTAGCGCAACATATGGCCTTTAAGTGTTGTGGAACAGTAAAATGCCTTTCACGAGTGGAAAGACATGAAAAAGAATCAATGTAAAAAAGTTATGTTTGTTTCCTGCTTAACTGAGCTCTATGAAATTTGAACTCCAAATAAACTCTTAAATATTTCAATTAAGACTTATTTTTACTTTCTTCATTAAAATTAAGCTGTGCTAGGAGACAGCAATGTACTTTCACTCTGTTTTTAAACTTGAAGCCTTTAGTGCAAAAACAAACAGTGCTAGTTTAACAGACATTTGGATTGTAAGTTGAAGGGTCGAAAATTCATCATGAAATATAGATCCAGTTGTAGTATGAAAGATAGAATAAGAATAAATATAAGAATATATATATAAGAATATAAGAATAAAAGTCAAATGTTGATATACATGTTTCAGATCAACAAAGAGATTAATATATACCAGCCAATTATAACAGCCACAATGCCTCTGTTCATGGAGAAATAAGTTATCTAACTTACTTTTCCTTGCTTTTAACTCGTCCAATGGTATCCCAAGAGCATCTGCGGCAGCTTTCAGTCCAGCCTCCTTCCCAGCTTCTTCGCCGGCTTGCTGCCCAGCCTTTTTACCCGCATCCTGTCCGGCCTTTTGGCCTGCATCAGTTCCAGCCTCCTTCCCTAAAATGCACAAATAATTAGACCATTTCGACTCATGCTAGAATATGTTTTAACAAAGTGAGAGCAATGCACTTTCACAGGTAAAAACTCAAGGCATTTCTCACAATGTAGCCAGACATCCCAAGTCTTAAAACTATCAACTCAAAACCTACAGTTGAATTATACAACTTACCCGCTGCTCCAGCTGCTTTTTCAGCGGCCTCTATGGGGTTTTTCGTGGGCTTTGCATCAGCACCGGCTCCAGCCCCTGCCCCAGCCCCTGCTCCAGCAGCCGCTGCAGCAGCAGCATTTGCGGAGGCATCAGCTACAAGAAAACAAGAGGTCCATCGATTAATTGAGTTTTTACAACAGAAAAACTCAAAAATACATTACAATATACTGTATTATATGATATAGCAATAAAAAGCAGAGACGGTAACTATACAGTAGGAAAAAGCTTGCGAATTCTACATATTGTCTGTCCAGGATTGTAACTAAGCTCTATTCCGATACTCAACTGGGTATTCTCCATCTTGTTCTTTCCGACCTTTATTTTGACGTTTTGTACTCTGAGGATTGTCAGCCGAAAAAACTTTCAGTAGTTTGTTGTGAAATGTTTGCTTTTTTCAAAGCCATTTTCAAGTTCTGTGTCGCCAGAAAATTGTTAACTAAGCTCTAGAGGCCTGGCCAAACAATTCAAACATCCAAACAACCTTTTGGTGGTACAAAACTTGAAAATGGCTTTGGAAAAAGCAAACATTTGAGTATACTTTTGATAGTTTTAGTTTTTTGCACAATCTGGGTCTTCCAGTAAATGTTGCCCTATAGCAAAATCGCATATTCTACTTGAAAGCCCTGATTGTACAAAATTATAATGGCGACATGTTTCGGATTATTGGTAAAGCCTGATCGTCGTTTCACCTAGCAGTTTTTGAATCTATCTACATAAGCACGAAAAAACCGCTATTGTGTAGACAAAAGGATTTCGTTTTCACCTTAAGAGTCCATTGGTAACATTCTCAATTAACAATTGGCACTGATTGAGCAACCTTAACAGTCATGTGCTCGCGTTTCTGATTGGCCTATTTCGATCCACAACTGGGTATATATATTTCCTAGCGTAGAGTTTTCGATCTTGTTCTGACGTTTTGTACTTCGAAGAGTGTCAGACGAAAAGCTCAAGTATACTCAAATGTTAGCTTTTTCCAAACCCAAATTCAAACATCCGTTAAACAGAACACAACATTGTTGTACCAACATTGTTGGACGATGTTTCATGACCTGGCCAAACGTATCAAATAATTGTCAAAATATCTTTGTCAAAACATATAAAATATAGTTAAATGCTGCCAAACAGCTTCCTACGTTGAATGCTTTCCTTTACCGAATTTCGCATGCAAGACAAGTAAATAAGCTGGCCAAAAAAACGCAATTTTGTTGATCAAACATGATAACAAGAGAGATGTTTTACGAACTGTTTGATGGAAATCAAATTCGATTGGCCAGGGCTTAAGTTCTGTCTTTAATATTTACCATTTGCTTTAGTCCAGACATATGACGATGAAATTGGGAGTAGCTTCTGTCCACTTGGCAACGAAACTCCAACTTTAAAATGATGGTGTCCATATAATTGTTTGTGCAAACCCATTATGTAATACATTTTTTCTTTCTTCAATGTTACAGGACTGGACTTCTGATTTGGATACCTGTGAAAAGAAATATTTTAACATACCATTTTGTGGAGAGCTGATAAAACACAGGCTCATTATTTTCATGATCATGTTTTTAGCATCAAGTTGGTGATTTTCCAACAGCAAGGTCATTCGCTGCTACCCATAAACTAGCACAGATGAAGATAACAATTCAATTCTGACTAAAGAAGTACGTTCCACTGAAATTACTTCAATTTTGATACTACCTAACCACGAACATTCCAACTATCTATTCGATGCCTTATTTTCAACGAATGCTTGAATCGTAAATAAGCATTTGCTTGTTCAAAAAACGCAACTTACGAGCATCCTCTAAGAATTTTAAATAGGATTTCATGTTATACAGCCAATGAAGTAGCAAGAAAGTGGTAACAAAACGAAAGGTTTTAACACTTTCTTTATAACCAAAAATTTAAATAAAATATTGATTTTAAATACTCTCTTTAAACAAGACCAAAATCAAATTTTTTTGCTCGATAATTATGTGAAATATAGAATAAATGACTCGTCTAACAATGAAATATGAATTTTCATCAAGTAATATTTGCAAGAAACGTAAGCAAAGTAAATAGGTAGGGAAGTAAGAATGAAGTAAAATTTAAAAGCTCCGGGTAGGAGTAAAGATGAGTTTTAGCACAAGGTTGGCACGCGAAGAGTTCCTGGTTTTCTAGCTATGCAAAGACTATTGCTTCTAGAAACAAGTGCCATTGAAACAAGAATTTACCCCCTTCAATGTTTAAGAAATCATAATGTACCACGAAATATATTGATACCATGTAATATGGAGAGCATTGCATAATAATAGCTACTATTCTTGAAAGAAACTTCGATTGTTTTAGTATTTAGTTTCCTACGAAACGAGACTTGATGCAATAAACACAATAGAGAAGTTGTAAGGAATATTCATTCATACTTATCATATTGGTCTTCCTTTACGATTTGTCTTCCGATGGTTTCGCACACTTTTCGCAGGTTAGATGGAGATTCGTCAGTACTGATAAAGAATTGCCCCTCGGCATTACTCGCTAAAAACCAAAACAAAAAAGCTTAAGATATACTTTAAGCACAAATTTTTAAAGAGAAAATTGAGTTCAAAATTCTCTCAAATTAGGCAGCGTAGCTCTAACGCGCTTGACATCATCATTTGACGTCTTTGCACGAGATACCATTGCTTGAACATGATAATTTGTGTTTGGCAGGTCAAATTGAAAAACAGATTATGAATTTTGCACTCAAAAGGTTGCCTCGAGATTAAATAAAATTTAAAAAAATTGCCCTCAACTGGCTCAATTTAAGAAATGTAATTTAGATACCACATCCAGAATTTGGACAACACTTTCTATATTGAAATGTCAAATTTTTTAGATTACTTTCATTTTTCCAATCTTAATGGCACCTTTTCCAAAGATAATGAAAGATAAAGATTGTGTAAAAACTCTCCGGTGCGCACTTTTCATCCCAGTGTGTGCCCTTTGAGCACTATGATGCTATGATAGCTATGGAAGTTAACGTGAACCAATTATTGGGCGATAAAGCCTGCTCCAGCAAGTTTATTTCATGGTAATATGTTCTGGCAATGATGACCAGTAGAAGTTGCAAAACAAATTCTGTCAATCTATAATGTTCTAAATGATCTAGAAGATAACAGTATTGCCAGATTATTTTATACTTTCTGAACCACTTGTTATCAAGGTTGAAGAAAACGAAAACGCTGTCTGAATCAAGGCGCAGTTTACATGATAGAAGACTTTTGAAAAACGCATATACATACTTAGGAAAAGCTTTTGCTTTTAAGAAAATACCTACTACAAACCTCTGTTATAAAAACTGTCGAACGTTTTAGAAGTTTTGAATGTGACAAACGCCAAGATTCCGTGTACATCATACCATTCTTTGGAAATCCTGATACAAATAGGCAAAGAAAAATATGTTTCGAGAAAAGCAACTTACAAAGATAGAATGTGTATGCGCCATCCTGAGGTGGTTTAAAGTAACCAAAAATCTTTGACCCATAGCTTTCATCGGGGAGGCCTTCACGTTCAGTGAAGTCGCTTAGCTGTTTGGTATCATCTGGAGAATTAGGATATTTAGAAGTGTTGAGCAGATCCTTTACCATATAACCATCAATTTTCTTGAAGACTTGCAGTGTAAGACCAGGAATGAAATCTAAAGAAAGAAATAAGCCTGGATTAAATCAAAATATTTGTTAAAAAATGAAGGCACAACAAAATCATCCTGTAACCTTTTACTGAAATTAGATCTTATCGCTTCGATTTGAATTCTTGGACTTACCTAAAAATTTGTGAAGGAATTTCCCCTGGCTAGTTTGGCATATGTTTACATTCAATATTAGTATATGCTGTCGTCCAGATATATATTCTGACATGAACAGTGATAATTGATAAACTTTCCTTTATCAGATTGATATTTGATAAGATAACTTATGCAAATTATGCAAAATTTACGAGTGTAGTTGATAGTTTGCTGTTAGCTAAAAGTGATTTTTATACAGAATACAGAGTTTGGTACAAGTAAAGGCATAACGAAGTTTCACTGAAGCAATAGAATGGCCAAGAAATCAAATCTGACGCTTTCAGTAGTTAAATATTATTCAAAAAATATTTAAAATACATAATTTTGCAGATACTTTAAATATTTCTAGCTTTGGACTGACATTTAAACTGTAAAGTGGATCAGATGAAAAAGGTTTCATTTTGCTATGTTTCCGAGCAATCTTCTAATATTGCGGTGCCAAAAATTTAATTGGATTATGGAAGATCTGTTCTACTTTAGATGTGTTGAGAATGAAAGACATGGCTCTAAGTATAGAGCAGTATAGCTAAAAATACTAAAATAGATTCGTCAAGAAGCAAGGTAAGGAGTGAAAACACCAATTAGAAGACGTGATGGTTGGCTTTAATACGAGAGAATGGATGATATAAAGATATGACCATGTTCGATGAAGAAAAGAAGGGAATGAATTTACAGAATTTTTATGGTTTGAATTGATGGCTTGAGAGAAAGAAAACGACCAAGATAAAAATTTGATGAAAATGGTTCGAGACGTTATGCTGAGAGTTGAGTAAACAAAAGTAGCTGCTGTTACAGCTAAAATGGCAAGCATAGGTTTGAGTGGTTTAAAGTAATGTTATTTGTGACAGATCCTCTTCGTGAAATAAAGAAATGTTCGTTCCCATCCATTATACTGGGTGGAACATTTAAAACACGAACCTTCTTTTCCTCGTCTTTTTCTCACTTTAGCGTCGTCTACTGATCGCCTGCTTTGAGATCTTGCAAGACCTTGAGAAAAATATGTTATTAATTCATGCTAAACTGAAGAAGGATGATTTTTGTTTCGAGTTATACTGTAGCATATCCTAGGTTCAACGGATCACATTTCAGAAAGACAAAGCACATGTTTTACCTAAAAATACTCAATGTGCAATGACTTCGGAAAACATTGGCTGAAGGGAGAACGATGCAAAATATATTGCTCGATGATGTTCCAAAAAATTTTTATTAGGAATTTTAAGCACCTTTCTATAGCGTAAATGGTAATACAATATAAGTATTCAATAAAAAATAACTACTTTGAAATAAAATTTGACTCAGGTAAGATTAAATTTGATTAAAATCGAGGATTTTCAACGCATTTATTTTACGGAATGAAAATGATAATTTCTTTGAAGATATGATAATACATTTGAAATCCAGTGTTTAGACTTGCAGATAAAGGAATCTTTTTTTATTCGATCAAAATTTTGTTCACTTAAGCTATGTTCACATTGCTCCGTATTTTTCATATCGATCCGTTTTACCTGTTCACACTGCTCCGGATACATTTGATAACGGCGTGAAAACGATGAAGCGTTCACATTGCTCCGCTCTGGATAAAAAGGAAAACGCCACGAACTGGTTTACAGACCTTGCGACTACTAAAAAACTTTTCAAACACCTCACTGTCACTAATATTCCTCCGAGTAGTGTACTAACTTCGAGTGAATCAACCATGTTAAGAGAAGTTGTTCAAATTAGCGTGGTCTAAGCATCTTGCTGCGCCGTTGTTGTTGTTGTTGTTACCGTTTTCAAAAGCATCCGTTTTCGGTGTTCACACTGCGTTTTGCGTTTTCGAAAATCTCCGTTTTCAAAAGTCTCCGATTTCGCAGCGGAGCAATATGAACGCAAGGTGAAAACGGATACTTTTTTATCCGTTTTCATTGGAATCCGGAGTAGTGTGAACGGGGTCTCGAAAAACTTTTCATTATCGGCTATTTAGGCGATAGTTTGAATCTATTAGGTTTCCACTTGATTAACCAAACGACGACTTTACGAACCTTTATCTGCCGCTGCTCTCAACACAACTGGCGCATTGGTATTTGCTGTATCGATCCCGATCCAATTCCCATAGGGAAACTTAAACGTGGTATTTTTTGGGTCGATAACATCAACCTACAAATAAAACGAAAAGTTCAAATGATTCAATGCGAACTTTGCAAAGTTGATATACCACAGGAATATGGAGAATATATCTTTGCTACGAAAATTTCTCAAGAGCCATCTCTTAAATCAGTCGTTTAAAAGTTATTTTGTTGCTGAGAATGTCTTTCAAGCCATCGAATACATCATTTTTTCTTATCTTAGAAGCTCGCAACTCATGCTAATAAGAAAAGCTGCGGTGATCCGTAGAGTTAAGCTGCACTAATCTTATGCAAATGTTTTAAACGTTTTGATGATGTTTAATTGGATCACAAACAATAACTAAGAAAAAATATTCTACCTCTTTTAAAAGCCAGCTAGGATCTTCTCCAGTGCCATCTGTCCTAACTTGTATCTTGTTAATTTTTCCTATTTTTTCTCCAACTAGTAGTCGAAATATATCAGTTCTGAAAAGCAAAAATAAGAAATTGATAAGATTTAGTTATAAGAATAACTTGAAACCAATCTTGAATCTGTATGAAATGTGTAAGTGAAGATTTTTGAAGCTCGTGTCAGTGTAATCTTCTCATATGCTTCTTTTAGATGTGAATATAGTCGAATATTTTCAGTGCATTGTCATTATTGTTCGATGCCTTTTTCAAGATAAGAAGAATTTTGCATCAAATGAAAGATGCGCACAATTAGGATAGCCTGGCATTAATGTACCTGTCTTGGCCTATTTAAAACGAGATCGCAAAAAGCCAACACTAGAAATGTGTCCACAGGCCTCCTCGACACTTCTGCAAAATTAAAGCAAATTTCTCCAAGAATCCTAGCATCAGGACTTTTTTGAAGAAGGGGTGGTCAAAATTCTAAAATTTGTCATTCCTTGCAATTTGATTGGTTCAAATCGATGGGGATTCCCGCTTTGGCGATTCCTTTCGCAGCCAATCAAGATTTGACGCCTATGCTGATAGCCTGGCATTAATGTACCTGTCTTGGCCTATGCCCTATGGATGAATCATGAGTCTTTTTGCAAACTTTGATAGTTTTGCAGCCATGCGTATTGACGGAGGCTTTAGAACGTCTAGTAATATTTGATTAAAAGTAACGTTTTTCAGTGTTAAGCAACTGTGCTATGAGTCTCAAGTATGTATAATTGCGATCTAGAATGCTTAGGGTACTTGAAAAAACTATTCATTAAAAAAAAGGTCGTTCAAATTGACGGTAAGGTTAACAATGTACAACTTAGAAAGATGAACAAAAAAGCCTAAGCACCATTTCGGGTTCTGGAACGCCTTTTCTAAACTGACTTGTATTTTTATCTACCTGACGGTACATTTAAAAACAATTTTATTGGCTATTGAGATGTATGTTTTACTGACGTGAAGCATCAAATCATATGGATGAACATCATAAGGAGGCGTTTAATTTGATGATAGATATGACACCAGTTCGTAGTGAAGGAAGCATTTTATAATATATTTTCTTTGCAGATTCTTTATTTAAGTTACTATTGCATAACATATTGTCAAGAGCCGCGAAGAATATTACAGATTGAGGGGGGCTAAAAAGTTTTGGGGAGGGGGGCTGAACATGCTAAAAACCAAAAGCAGGGAGATTTTTGTATGGTTGTAAGTACATTTTGGAAATACTTTGGGGGTTTAGTCCCCTCAGGCCCCCGCCCCTCGCTTTCTCGGTCCCTGCTCTGCGTGCAGCTTGAGACGGAAGAGCGACGCAACACCAATGGCGTTTTTGAAACATTGGTCTTGCACCTTGACTTATTTGAGGCATCAGAAAAAGCTGCTATGTCGGATATGGTGCTAAAAGAAGATTTAAACTTTGAAAAGAAACAACAAACAACGTTTTTAGCTGTGAAAAGGACAGGTGAATAGTAGTGATAAAAATAATCTGCTTTGGAGCTAAACATCATGGCACGCTGGGTGCAAGCATTATGGAATGTATGGTGTGCATTTACCGCCAAAGTTAATGATCGTAAAATTTCATCAAAGTTGTAACTTTTTATCAAAGAACGTTCACAGATGCAGTAAAGCTTGTCAAACTTTCAACTAAAACCAATTTCCAAGTTTTCAAATTTTCAATGAATACAAAAGAAGCACGACTTTCAGATTTTCATTGATAGCTTCGAGTTGAAACTTAAAAATTTTTCTTAGAATCTTGATTTAGTTGAAACTTTGACAAGCTTTGGTGCAACTGTGAGCGTTCTTTGATAAAAAGCTACAACTTTGATGAAATTTTACAATCATCAAATCTGATTTTAAAGGTACTACAAAGATTTGTCAAGGTTTATCCGTTGAAGCATCAATCTCGTGTCAAATCAAAGCGTACAATTGTTATTGTGGTAATTTATTTGCCAGAATTATTAACCAATAGTTTTGTGACACAAGTTCATTTCCTTGTATTTAATTCATGATCGACCTCCAGATTCACGTAGACCCTTCTTGAGAGTTCCATTATTTGTCTTCGTTTCAAGCTACGTTTTCCACCCGACCAGACTCTAATATAGATCATAAAGCTCCACAGACCTGAAGCCCCCGAGACCTTTCCATGCCTGTCCCTTAGCAAGGCCCTACGAGCAGCACACAAAACATTTCATTCAGTACACTACATTCATACACGATCAAAGACCGCGGAGAATAATAAAATACGGGTAAAGGGCCTAAAACGTTTGGGGGGGGCGGAACATGTTTAAAACCAAGAACAGGTTTACTTTTTGTATGGTTTAAAGTACATTTTGGAAATTATTTGGGGAGACTATTTCCCACTCAGCCTTCTTCCAGGGTCCCTGACAGTTTAATTTCACTTACTTTCCAGCAGCAAAAGCATCTTTATTGGAGCTATCAATTTGGAGTTCCTTTTCCTCCGTTTTTCCATCATCCCCATATAGCACAACATAAACTTTTGACTTTGTTCCAGAATCTTTTTCTGCACCTGTGAATGTTACTACCTTGTACTCATCACCCTCGTTGCCTAAAATGCAAAAGTACGAATCTCATCTAAGCTGCGATTATTTGGTGACATCGCAAAACAGAAAAAAATTTATGCAACTTGCACACTGATGGGGTGAAGAAACATTTCCAAATTGTTCTTGCTTTTTGAGTGGTGAGAGCCAACATACTATTTTGTTACTGGCCCTATAGTAGAGGCCTAAAGTCTTGACTAAATCATAATTTCAGTTTCTTCGGAATCTAATGTTTTTTAACTGCAAACCTGCAGTCGCAGGCGTCGAAGTCTATCCTAGTGTAGGGGAATCTTCTTGCCTCGCTTTAAAAGACACTGTGACAGAGGTCGGCTGAAAATCACCTTTGTTAGTAAGAATGTTGGAAAAATTTATAATGATTCTGACCAAAGATTTTGACGACCTGATCCTAAAATATTCTTAATTGCGAGTTAATCTCTAAACCGAACGAAGAACTGGTAGATTTTAATTCAAAATGTAAAATAAGCTTTAAAATAGGTGTGGTATTCATGAGAAAAGCGCCTTCACAACTTTATTATGCCAAAAGGTGTAGGATAAGAAGATAATATTGGGTTGGCATGCTTTCTGTTGGTGTGGCCTTTTGTACCAATGAAGCAAAGATTTGCTAAAATAGAAGCGATTTTTCGAGAAAACCTTGATCCAAGGAAATACGATGCTCGCTCTTATTATGTTGCGACAGTCAAAAATTTAAGGCGACTGGATAACGATAGAGAATGAGCATTTAACTAACCCGAGGAAATGTGGAGATCGTACTAGGCTAGGCTTTAGATCTTAACGTTTATCAGACGTTTATACTTATCGTATTATATCAGACGTACATAAAACGTAATGGTATCAAAATCTGAGCTATTTTAAAACCGAAAGTCTAGATGGATGCGACAAAAATCCAAGTTGTGGTACGACCGTTCTACATAATCTGCATGTGCAGTCAATTTCATCCAGCTTTTAATTTCTTTCTTAAACTCATTGATAGATTGAGCATTCCTTATGTGCTGAGGTAGAGAGATCCAGCCCCAACTGATATACCCAAATAAAAAAATTATATTGCAAAAGAGACTACCTCCTTTAAGACTGCCTGCAAACATAGGACCAGAAACCACTCTCAAAAAAGAAAGAATATAAGCGAGGTATGTTTGACAGCTGGTTCATATACACTACTGAACTTGATTCGAAAAAGAAAGGTCGACCAGAGCGCAAAATACCAAACGAATCGGTAAGGGGAAGGTTTGTTGAACATGTCAGAAAAAAGACATGTTTACATCTAGTAGAAGCACTGGCCTGCTCGAACAAGCCAAAGCAAGAAGAAATGTTAATAAATTCTGTCTATTTGAAGGTCGCAAACAAAGTAATAGGCTTACAGGAAGAAGCCACATGAAGGAAAATTTTTTTGCAAATGTTTGTTTTTAACAGCCTTTATAGCCCAGGCTTAAAGTTGCACTCAGTTTCTTCTTATAGGGGAAAGCACCAAAACTTTGCTGTAAAATGTACCCGCAAGCGAAAAATTAACGAAAGGAAATGATTCTTCGGAACGGTGCATCTGCAACAAATAAACTTTACACAGTAAAATGAATAACATAAACATTTGATAAGATAAAATTCAAATTCACCTGTTTTCTCTACTTGTTGCACGGCGTCATCGCAGTGGTGTGATTGAAGGAGTCCTGCAAGGATCACAGTTAGGAACAACACTGATTTTGAATTAATCATTGCTCTTCATGAAGAGCAACGGTTTTTTAGGAGATCCAGTTTTAACAATTTTGTGGACAGGAAAATTTGTAAAAACAAACTCGCGAGCAAAAAACGAACAAACTGTAGGTAACTGTGAAAGCTTATTGTGAACGGCTCATTGAGTACCGGTGGCGCGATTGAACCATTGCAGAGGTCATTCGCTTGATTAGGTATGCTGCTAATAAGATTAACGGAGCTGCGCTTTCCTATTCTACATTACAATACCTATTGTTGATAACTGGAAACAGTAATTATCCTTGTTAGACAGTTTTGCCAACCTTGCTTTGATTATCATTTTACGGAATGTTAGCCTCAAGGTAATTGAAACTGGAGGCACGCGTATATGGTCTTATCGCATTCCTTTACGACAAACTAAAGTTTTCTAAGCATTGCGGAAAATCCCCGTCACCTGCAGCTTACGATGCACGATAGATTCAAATTTTCAAGGCCTCAATCAACGAAAATCTACTCATGGGGTATATCTATCAAATAAGGGTGGTAAAGTCACCCTGGGTAGATAACTCAGCTACCATTTGGTAGTAGTGTATTTTAGGAATAGTTCTGATGTACATGAAAAAAGTCTAGACGCCAGTAAATGGTCCATTGACTACAACAGGTTATCGTACGATGGTTACATGTCTAAGACAAAGGAAGCATCTCCGCTCCTGTGCAACGGAAGCTAAAATTGGCAACAGTGACTACATGCTCTGGCATTGACTGTCTTGATCTGAATGTAGATGAATAGCGGATGTGGGGAAAGAGATTGAAAAAATAACTAGGAAAACATGTTTTATAATATATCATACATTGGAACATTGGAAAATGGAGACATCGTCTCTCATTATTTGTTTCCACGCCGATAAAGAAATTAATTTTTTGAAACCAAAATCTGATTCTTCGAAAAACAATTTTCCTGCTTTCACATGTCTTGCTTTTCATCGATTTGTTTTGAACGCAAAGAGAAATGCAACATTTATGTATTTTGTGCACGCTGCAGCGATTTTAAAATTGCACAGCTTGTCATCGGGCCTTCCTATCTGGCACAAGCAGTACAGACTGCAAAAATGACCCACTGGCCCCCAAAGTAGCCCTGCAATTTTTCATTGGTAACCCAATTCTCCAAAAATTGAGTGTCATAAAAGATCTCTTTTTACACAAAAGCATAAATATAAAATGGCAGTTTGGTTCTTCTAATTTTCAAAAAATTTTGTTACGTTGCATTATCCTCGAATAAACTTTGTTGACTGTTTGAAAAATAGTCATTAAAAATTAGGCTGAACTAGTCATCGGTAGTGCGAATTTTACTACCCTAGGTACCACAAGCACAAAAATTCGAGCGCGGAAATAGATAATAGGAGTGGAGAATAGGACCTCCTAAGCTCCCCCACCTCTCCGCTTGGATTTCAATTTCCGCACTCGAAATTTTTTGGTTCTGGTACCCAGCGTAGAATGTTGGAGGACACGGATGAAAATGTTTGAAACTTGACACATAAACAAATATTAACCTAAATCTAATCATAAAGCCTAATTAAACGCGAATATTTGACCAAATAATCTTTCTTTAATCATTTAAAATTTCAAAGTACAACCAAAGCTACTCAAATACATGCCACAAACAATAGTGAAGGACAAAAGGTCATCTAATTTCTATTATGAGTGACATTTACAATTTTCAATTACATTTAAATATAAACGCAAAAAAGGAAGAAGAAGAAAAAGAAACTTAATCAGGAAAAGTATAGTACCTCTAGAAAAACTTACACACAAATTTTTTAATTAATTCACATGTTTCAGAGGTAGATCTAGAAAGGAAAAAAATAAAGAAAGGGGTTGCTGCTGTTGTGTTTTTCAATTGAAAGAATCTCTTAGTGTTTTTGATGAATTGAAGTGTGGCCTCCATAAGGAGTCTATTGGCAAGAACAATTAATTCGGAACTTCCACAAAATATTACTTCACAAACTTCCGTTGCGGAGAGGTTTGAAATTTTGAGTCCATGGACATCAGAAAGCTAACCAAAGAGCTTGTTCCGCATTGCTTGGAACAAATGGCAGTGCAGAAAAAAGTGCTCGCTGTCTTCATCACCTGCACCACAAACACACAAGGGGCTCAGGCAATCGGTGTGCGTTTAAAACGGCGTGCGTTCAAAAGACTGAATCAAAATCAAAGTTGGGTTAAGTATCTTGTTACCGTTACTGTAGAATTTACAAAGGCCGGTTTTTTGTATGTCTTATTAAAGACAATAATTTACGTTTAAATTCTGAAATTGATTAACCAAATAATCTAAACACAGATAACGATTGCTTCCACCAAATATTGTATCCGCTGATCTTCTAATATACAATCCTATTCCATTGATTTTAAAAGGTCATCAACTGAAAGTCGCTAATTTTCTGGTTTTGTTAATTTTACAAATTTCGGTCACGAGAAAAATTGTCGGTTTTGCCTGTAAGCGATGATGAATCCTTATTTGTCCAAGAAGCAACGATTACTCGGCGGTAAGGTTCCTAGACTAAAAATCCAACTGTTTGGGGTTCGAGTCCCTGACATGACCAAACTTTCAACCAGTGCGAGGGGAGTCACCAGCACTCTGCAACTCCAGGCGTAGAAACCATGTGTGCGTTCACATCGAGAGGAAGGATCACTTATATTTGATATATACACTTATGCCAGTTTTGCTTTGTTATAATGCTTAGTTAAATAAATGCTTAGTTAAAAGTAGATAATAAGCCTTCGTTGCCAGCTTTTCACTTTTTGCAGACCTTTAAAGGGGTTACTTAATAGCATCAATCCGTTAAAGTATTTTACAGGTCTTCGAAAGAGCAAGACCAAAGTTTGCACCAAAATCATTGAGAAACTTTGCGCCTAGTATAGAGTACCGAAGTGATGACGTCATAAAAATCTATTTTTAGAATTTTTGAAATTTGTTTCCATAACCTGAAAGAGTATTATGAAATACCTCTAAATCTGCAAAATCAGTTGAAGGTATTACAAAGTGGCTGAGATATGGCCACATGAGCACAGAATCTTGCCCTCTGTGATTTGGTCTGAACCAGGCCAGAATAACAGTAATCCGTTAGCAAACTTCAAACCTTCCATTGGCCATATCTCACCCAATTTCGAGCATATCTAACTGATTTTGCTTTTTAAGAGGTATTTTATGCTGTTCTTTCAGATTATGTGGTCAAATTTATGAAATTCTAAAAAATATTTTTGATGACGTCACACTTCGGTACTCTATATCTTAAGCTTCTAATTTCATCTAAATATAAATGGGTGTCGAATTTTGTTGTTGTACCTTTGCCTTAAAATTAAAACTGAGAACATAAACAAGCGGTTAAATTAGCTGAATTATAAGAGGAAACTATCATGGTCAAAAAATAGCTAACATATACACCCGTCAGATCAGGAACAAGAAGTGGAGAGACAACTTTTTTCCAACAGATAACAGGATGCATAGAGAGCTTTGGAGTGTTTATAAACTGGTTTAGAAAAACAGAAAAACAGGTGCTCTTTCTGCTGTTTGATTAGCGAGTTTGATATAAATCAGCGCCGATTGAAACCTGGTCATTTGAAACTCATAGAAACGCTTCAAATTTCCATTGGCTAATATCTTGAGCAATCCTTAAATTGCACTTGCTTTTTTATATTTCATTAATAATGAAGTTATATAATTATAAAAATAGTTAGAATTGTATTGCACTTGTCTTGGGTGTCTCTGCAAAACTATTCACCTCCGTCAAAGAACTTTCGAAGTCAAGTGCGCATATTCACGAAATTTGCGCTGGAAACAGCTGAAGCCGTGCAGAGCAGGTGCGCGGGATTGTGCATCACACTTCTGACTGGCTGATTCCGATAAACTTGTAATTATTTCCTCATATCGTTTCAGGTATATTATTGGGATTTTGGAGAAATTCTGATCGTGAAAGCTGTCAACAGTTATTCTGAGTACCTCTAAAACTGGAGCATCGTACATGGCGAGATCAAACAGCTTTTGACACCGAGCAAAAGAGTTAGCCTCTTTTAGAACAGAGCACATACAGACGACCATGGAGTGCTTCAAGTTCATAATACCATTAAATGGCACGTATACAACACGTATACTGTATTTCTCTGGAAATATAATTCTTGCGCTGATCTCTTTCATTGGTAATGGAGTTGTCATGTACCTTGTATGGTACAACACCAAGCTTCATAGGCCAACATATTATTTTATGTCTGCTCTGGCTTTGTCCGATTTCACAACAGCGTTTTTCGGGCAACTTACATTTTGCATTGAGGTGACATTTAAACAGTTTACGAGTTGCGCTTACGACAAAGTAATTGCATTTTTCAACGCAAGCAGTTGCAGCTCAAGTCTCTTTCTCTTATGTTTAATAGCACGGGACCGCTACATTCACGTGGCTAAGAGAACACTTTACCAAAGCCACATGAGTATCACATACTCCAAGCGGGCATCGGCAGCATCTTTCTTGGTTGGCATTTTCATAGCTACACTCTTCGTCATCGAGGATCGCTTCGTCCGTGTAGTTAGCACACTTGCCTTTGCAGTCGTCGCTAGCAGTTGCTTCACATTCATTGCAGTTCACAGCAAACGAATATTGAGAATCGTTGGCGATCACATACGACATATGCACGAATCAATGCCGCAAGAAGCGACCGTAAGGCAGGCAGGAAATGTTCAAGCATCGGAGGCGATGGAGAGGGCAATCAACAGATCAATATTCTCCGTTATAGCCTTATACTTATTCGCTTGGACGCCGGTGATAATACTTATGTTAATATTTGCATACCACAACATCAAAGGTAAGCACATAGCTGACGAGTACCGCTATGCATTCGCGTGGTGTTCCTTTGTATCATACTTTAACGGTGCTCTCAATCCAGTGGTATACTCATTCAGATGCGACGCAATAGGGCAAGAAATGCGCAAATTGGTCCGTCGCTTTTTCTGCCTAAAGAGTTTCATGGCGGTGGAAAACTCCGAAACGATCCCATCATCCGGAAAAAGAAGACCATCGGTCATCCGTCAATGAAAAAGAGTTTACACCCTTTACCAACAGGGACATCATGTGCAGTTCGTCGGGTTGAAGTATTTCTTGCAGGTCTTTTAATAATTTTGCGCGGCGTACCGTGTCAAAGGCCTTACTCATGTCTAGCAGTAAAAGGTAGAGCTACAATGTCATTATTCTTTGAGACAAAAACCACAAAGAAACCGTGGGAGACATTTTTACTAATAGCCATTTAACGTCCAACCTGGATTGTATGATATTCATTGAATATAGAATATTGAATAGTGATTTTTTTACATCTTTCTACGGCAGATTATGACTAAATGATTTCAGTCTGACGAAGAAGTGGAAGGAACATCCCATCTGAACTTGATTAACTGAAGCACCAATTAAATTTCGTCGTACTATCAAACGATAAATGAAACGAAAAGCAAAATGGTCCTCAACTTAATATCGTTTCATATCATCAAAGCCTGAGGGCCAGAATTTTTCGTGATTTCTGCTTGGAATACAAATTCTTAACTAGTTTAGTTCCAATAACTATATTGAGAACTCATAGAATATTATCATTATTCGCCTTCTATTTCAGGGCTCCTGCTATTTTCTGCCAAAACGTAAATAACATTTTCTTATAAGAGAATTGAAGGTACATGATGTCTCGGGTAAAAGCTAGGATATGGGGAGCTGGTCTATAGGACCTCTGTTGGTCTACGATCATGTCAATTTCTAAGCCAACTATGATGAAATTTTTTTGACCAAAAAGTACCCATATTTTTGACGATATGACAGAAGTTCAGACAAACCTGTTCATATCCGAGATTGTTCAACGAAAATTGAAGACTCGGTGTTCGTTTTTTGCGTAAAATCAGATCGTCAATTGCAGCAAAAGGAAGCGATTAGGATAGCAATCACAAATGGTACAAAGAAAGCATTCGAAAAATGGATATTTTTGTGGGAACTTTGATCACACCTTTTTCCAATTAGGAGTATCTTCGTCAGAATAATCTTCTACAATAGGGATACCTTCTGCTGACAATAAATAATTCATGTGACAAAACAATAACTTTTTTAGATATAGCATTTAAGAAATGACTTGTCTTTTAAGAATAACAAAATATGGGTTTTTGAAAGTAAGGAGAGCACATATTTTACAGAAGAATTTTCGCATGTTTTCTGAGACGTTGAAGGGCAAGTGCTGGCGGGTTACCTGCAAATGATATCTCAAACTGAAGGTTTACCATACATAAATGAAGCAAAATTAATTTGAATTGAGTTAAATTCAAGATTTTTAAAAAGTAGACAATTTGAACAAGGCATTCACAATCAAAAGTTCATTTCCATAGAGGTTAATATGATAATTTGAAAATAAAAATTCTTTTTCATCTAAACAACTTGCAAAATACAGAGCAAAAAAATGCATAATATTGACAAACGTTGTACATTACAGTTTTTATCCATGTATTTCCACTGGGCACAGAATGTTTCAACTGAAGAAATACACTGATTCCAAAACCTGATTCAAGTTAAAAGTCCCTGCAAAGAAAAAAACTGTCTTAATTTGGGATTTTCACCAAATTGAAAACAATTCTGTTTTACGGATAACGTTCTATCGAATTTTTATAAGATATCAAAAGTTAAGTTAATATCATTTATTGCAGCGACAATATCATGATATGAGTATTTTCAACAAAACCTCTATGAGTCGAATTTTTGTGTTCTCTGGAAATTGTGATACAACGAGCTTAATAGCAAAGGTTTTGTTCCATCAGCCATATCTGTTGTGATTAAGAGGACGACTAGAAACATCTGTTTATTCCAGTGAGAGCATTTAAAGGTTTTTAGCAACAAAAGCAAAAGGAACAAGTTAAAAAGATGCTGAGAGCTTGGGTTACAAACTGGACTGACTGTTTCTGCCTGAAGGTAACCAATTTTCAATCCTTAACAAAACACTTAAACTTAGACAAAAATGCCAAATTCAACGACAGTAACATGTGATACGAGAGAGAGATCAAAACGAACCAGCCAATGTTTATAACAATTTAATCCTAAGGTAAAAGTTCTAAAAATAATCTACAAACGGTCAAAATAAAACCTATTGGGTTTCAAAGTTTTGCATGCGAGGATTGTTGGGATACTAACTAATTTTTCAGGCAGGATACAAAGTACTCTTGTCTTAGCAGGGATTTGACACAACACGTTCTTATCCAAAAAAGTATTTTCCTTGCAAATTTTTTCCATACAAGTTTATCAAAGCAATTTTTTGTCGTAGAATGTCCTAGCAAGATTCTGCCCCAGCAAGTTCTCATTTATAATTATGAAAAGGAATTCGCGGCATTGTGCAATGTATATATAAAGCTGACATTCTCTGCAGAGGATAAGATCCATCCATGCACCTGCCATCATTGGCAGAAAACAAAGATAAATAAATGCCTTGACAAGTCTGCCACCTACGTGTATACGCAACCAATCGCTGCATTTACTCTTTTGCACCTGAATCACAGAAAGTCACAAAAATCGACGAAAAGCATATTTTTAGAGCTTATTTCTAATCTTTTAACTTCAATACTTGTGAAATTCTCGTTGTCAACAGTTTCACCTGTTTCGCTGTGTTTGATTAAAAAACAATGTCAAGCCCCTGGCCACTTTTCAACCTTACATATTTGAGTTTGATAACCATCTAGCACATGAAAGTAATAAAAAAAGTTCACTGGCGAACATCAAAGATTTTAAGGGAAAATAATCATGATAAAATCTCAAATAAAATGAACTACACGTACCAATCTCTGGCAATTTTTCGAACCTTGAAACTGCTTTGTAATGCCCTTTTAGAGGTCTAGACATTCTGAAATACAACCACAGAAGACAATTTATCAACAGGTCTGCAAAAAATTTCCAGTGCTCTTTGGATACTATCAAAGTATCAAAGATTTGCTAAGCTTCTTGCTTCATTCAACAAAAATACCCCCGAAACAAATAAGCCCCTCTTTTTAAGGAGATCCTTGCGCCTAGCATAAACAATTACTGCAAATCCTTTTACAGACATTTTCAATCTTCAGCTATACAAGCGAACAATCCAGTTAAATGAAATTCGAAATCACCAAAGGCTGTTGAAAGGCAAACTAAAGTAGCAGGTTGCCATTGCTGAATTCAAATTACTTGTTGATCATGCCTTTTCCCAAACGTTTCCATAAAGAAACCTATAAAAAAGTCTACTTACTTAAGGTTTCCAAATTTTGCTTCAAAATGGCTTCGTAGGTCTTCAAGAATTGGTTCATTGTGTAGTGAAAGAAACTGCTCTCTGCAAATCTGAAACAGAATTGAGGGGGCGCATGTTACATTGGCTTGATGCAACCAAAATATCTATATAATGAAAAAAACAAAACTTTCCACAATCGACCTCAATGCCTCCAACAAACTTCGTTCAAACATTCTGCTAATTTTTGGAAACATCCTTAAGAGCCTCCTCCAAACTTCCAACAAGCTTCCTTTAAACTAGCCGTAAATTTCCTTCGATCTTAGGCCAATTTTTTATCAAACTCTTGCCAATTTTCTCCTAACATCCTGTCAACTTTCTTCGAACATGCTTCAAATCTTCAACAGACTACCTTTAAGCTCCCAAAAAACGTTCTTAAAACTCACTGCAAACGTCCTTTAAATCTCAGGCAAATTGCATTCATAGCAGCATATTTACTTTTAGAAGTAAAATTCACAACACGATTCCTGTGGTTTTTGAGCTCATTATCCATTTTCATCGCATCACTGAAGTGAAGAGTATAAAGATGACGCAAACGTCGCATCAATGACGCAAACATTGAACTTACAACTTAATAACTTGCGTTGAACCATACTGTTTATGCCAGAAACCGTGTGCAAAGAATCATTAAGAAATGACATAGAAAGCGGGAAAATTATTTTGCTTGTGACAAAAACTTGTTTTATTATGAAGCAATAGTCAAAGACAAAAAGGTGATCCTATGAAAGTCAAAGCACAACATTAAGATGTTACGTGAAAATCGCTGCTTCATTTTTGAGTAATGCCTCCCCATTTTGCATGCCATTTTTCAATTTTAATAAGAATTAAGTTGTTGGAAAAATTTATTTTTCAACAGATACAAGCAATCAGAGCAACAGCAATAAAAAACTGATACAAAAGACATTCAAGTTATTTGCTATCAAAATAGAGTATGTGCATTCTTGAGAACCTGGAACTTGATAAGAAACTATTAAAAAATATTGAAGCAAAAGGGATCGAGTAAGAAGCCTTGCGATAACCTGCGAAAAAAGCCCTTTTACATACCTTGTTCATCATAGGTACTGTTTGTGGGTGTGTCCAGAAGCTATCATGAACTGAAGCAAAAGTCAGCCTCGCTCTTTGACAAAATAACGATGTCAGCATCATGTGACATGAGTCCAAAGAGTGAATAAAATTTGGTGCAAAGCCTCCTTTCTGTTTTGATAAATTTGGCTTTTTAGTCGGATCAAACATGGTAGTTAGAGCAACGTTTTGCACCGGAGTCTGCACTTCCTCTGTAGTCTCTTTGTGGTATGGCTGAGTGATAGGTAGTCCAAGTGGAGTCACCCAACTGACGCAGTGCCCGGTAAGGGAAATTTGCGTCGCAGCCACATTCAGCCAGTCCTTCAATGATAAACAGTGTAATCACAGTAATAATACCCTGAGCATTGGAAGCGAGGAAAGATTTAGCATAAAAATTTAGGGCCAATTCTTTTCAAAGGCAGCTTGTAAAAAAGAGAGGGAGGGCTGTTGTAAAGAGGGAGGGGGGAAGGCTGTTGCAGAAGATAGAAATCCTTGGAATAAACAAAATTGAAAAAGACTTGGTGCAAGATATATGGATGGAGACTGAGAAAAAGTAAGTAGTTGGAGATAATTTTGGGAGTTGATTTACTGTCAGGTGTGTTGCTAAAAAGCTCTTGTGAGTAACGATCATTGCAGTGTGAGTAACGGCAGTAATTTAACGGTCATTTCATTCAATGTCACGTGTCAGGTAGGTAGCATCGTGTCATCAAATTACCGTTATCAGAATGTCACGTGTACGAGCTGCTACGTTCAGTAGCCGTAAACACTGAATACAAAGCCATTACATACCTGTATTTTTCGTGCAGATTTGAACAATTCTCCAATACTCCTGAAAACCTGATGGACCAAATATGACGACCCTTTGAATAGTATTTCGTCCGGTACGTCCAGCTCTTTAAGTTGCTTTTCGATCTGCAGTCGTCCACCAACAAATGTCACGCCGTAGACAATCGTCATCACCGTTTGTTTTACAACTTTTCTGTTAACTTTACCTGCAAAAGGATTTTAAGAAATCATCGTAAATTCCCTCAGTTAAACATAAAGTTCGCTGCTGTACACATTGATGGTTGACTTATTCTATAAACGAAAGGGTAGAAATTCTAATACAGTTTAACCCGTTAGGTCGGACCTTCAAGTTGGGGCAAGAAAACTAACCGACGTAGTGAAAGTTCAAGTTATCGGATGTATGACTTGAATGAGGAAGGAAAATCGAAGAAAATTGAAAATAACTCGGACTTAGTGAAAGTTTGGGTAATCCAGGGTAGACGGGATTTGATTGTAATTGTTATCTGTACACCGTTCATAAAAGAATGCAAAGAGGAGGAGGCTGGCCTACCTTCGCTACTTGCCGTCAAAAGCATGGTTCTCTGGGTAGCACGGGCGTAGAAAGTAGAGAAATACTACACAAATGTGTGTTAACGTTTCTCCGTTGTTCTGCTCATTTTTCAACGAAGTAAATAAAAATACCTTAATGGCAATATGAACAAGCTATGCGATGCTCGTAATAGTAAAAGAGAAAGCTGTATAATAAAAATGCCTTGTTTTAATTTGCTTTGCTGACAACCTTTTGGCCTGTTAGAGACATAAGTCCCATCAAAGAACTCAGTCTAGGTGTGCTGATGAGCCGTGATATAGGGTGAGACCGGTTTATAGCCTACAGTTTTGAGGTGTCAGTGGATCTTCTACTTTGATCACTAGAGTAATTGGTGGCACGAAGGATTAAGACTTCTCCAGGCATTGTATACATCATTTGCTACATTCGCAAAAAGAACATAGGCTGTTTTGCTAGGGTGATTCGCAACAGATAACGAACAATGTATACCTTCTAACTGCTTGGCAAGTGCATTTCCTTCAGCAGCATCTGCAGCTCTTTTCTTTTCAACTAAATTAGCCACCTCTCCATACAAATCTTGGGGTTTCTCGCACGGTTTCACATTAACATGTCTACAATCAAATATATAGATATAACACACATGCTTCATGATTCATACTGGTGTTCAATACATTTACAAATTTGCAATACAATTGTCAGGAATATCAATCAAGTATGCCAGATGTATGTTGTACAATATACCAAATAGTAACAAGATTACAGCTAACAAAAACACTACCGTGAAATGAAAGGAATTCTCAATTACAAATAGAGAAACTAAGATTGTCAAAGTTATTATTAAAGAAAAAAAACGATATTTCCTTACAGACTTTCTAGTGATAATTCTTATAAGATCGTAGTTGAAAGTTTCAGGAAAAACACTTTCTTGCAAGGCGAAACTTCGCCTAGTAAGACGTAATATATGTACAATATATTTTATTATCACAAGAACTTCATGTAAAAATAAGAACCCAACGAAATTTTTCTTTAAATCCATTGATAACTAAAGCTCATTCTACTGAAGTCACGAACAGCCACTTTATTTTGCAAAAAACTTCTGCTAGCGAAAAAGAAATAAGGATTACAATTATTTTAAATAAAACTTAATGATAAAACTTGCTGTCGTGATAAACCAATATCAAAATGGTAGCTAAATTAAATTGATAACTTACTTTTTAGCCAATCTACAGAATAAACTAACTACCTACTACTTATCAACTGCCTACTAACAAAATGTCTAAATACAAAACAATCAACTATTTTCCGCGCTTTTACAAACTGACAAAATATTACACTAATCAACAAATTAACCTAACAGAAACTTTGAAATGGCATGTTTGAGATAGGAAAAACCTTTTGGTTTCAGAAAAATGTTCAGACAAATGTTCACAAAAAAGGCCTGAAGAACTTACATAGCGCCATATTCGTCGTGTCCCATTGATGCATAATGCTGCATGCCATTGCAAGAGCCATCTTGGTGCACTGGCAAGTAGGAAACGTACTTCGTTGGATCTGGTGACCTGATCGCATTAGTGATCTCCGTACAGATGGCAAGACATTGCCAAGGCTCGTCTCCCGCTTGCCACCATTTCCGACCCTATAAGAATTTATATCTAAAATCAATTTCATAAGTATCAATTTGATATCATTTCCTGATGTAGTAGAGTCAAAGTGAAAAATAAACTCTCTCTGCCTACAAAAATTTAGAATTCTTCGCTCTACTCGAGCCTGTCTAATATGAAAATATGATCTTCCTTAATTCTGAAATTCACGTCCCTGTATGATTTGGGGTACCCAAAATCAAACACTTCCCAATAACTGATAATATTTGTTAAAGTCTTCCTAATTTATATCACTCTTCAAGGCTGCCATATTAACATTTCAGCCATGTACACAGTTGAAAATTAATACGACAACGAAAACCAAGTCATATCACTTCTCCAATATTCCTACCAATATGAATCAGGATATGAATCGCTGAATTCTATTGTCATAATAGCAATAAAATTATCGGAAAAGTCGAATATTTAACAAGATATACAGCATTTCATTATTTCGAAAACACAAAAATAAAGTCTCCAATTTTTTGGTCCCATGAGGTACTTTAAGGTCCCATGAGGCACTTTAAGGTCCCATGAGGTACTTTAAGGTCCCATGAGGTACTTTAAGGTCCCATGAGGTACTTTAAGGTCCCATGAGGTACTTTAAGGTCCCATGAGGTACTTTAAGGTCCCAAGAGGTACTTTGAGGTCCCATGAGGTACTTTAAGGTCCCATGAGGTACTTTCAGGCTCTATGAACATATGTACATAAATATTCAAGATTTAACCCATTTTCAAACAACATTCACGTTTTCATATTAACGACACTTGTACAACCTCATGTACACAAGGTAGCGAACTTTCTGAAGCAGCTGTCGGCTTTTAAAAACAATTATCTATTGATGTGCAGGTAATAAATCTCAAAGCTTAAAAGCAAATAGAAAAGTAGCGTAATTTATTTATGTTTCTTTTAATTAGTACAAGACCGAAAGCAATGTGTGGGTGGATGAGCAAAACAGTGAAAGTTTTGCTTTTTGACGAGTAGAAATGGACGGTGTTATTTTTTGATAATCTTCGAGATCTAAAAAATAAGGTTTAAGTGTACTTTTGTAACTGAAACACTATTCCATCTACTTAGTCGTGACATGAAAGCAACGTTTTTCAGAAGAAGTCCTCCTAAAAGCCATGACAAAACATATACAAAACACTACGTTATTAACTCCAAAACCTTGGAAACTAGTCTGTCTGACTTCCATGTTAAAGCGAAAGTAAGGTTAGCACTTTCAGATTTCATACAGAACATACATCAGAGCATTTTTAAAAAAGACTTTGAGACTGTGAAGACATATTAAGACTGTGATGAATTTCAAAGCCTAACAAATGCACCGACAATTATGCACCTATAAAAGAGAAAATAGTAAGACCTAACAGTACACTTTTCATAAACAAAATAACAAGTAAATTGATTTTGTTAATGTAGACATTTGTTGTAGAAATTTCAAACAAAAGGATGCATAACTTTCCCCAATAGTATTAAAGCGATCTCGTAAATCTCAATAAAGGCAAGTTTGACCGTAAAATCCACCACTATAAACCAAAGGAATTAATAGGGAAAAGATATCCTACAGATGATATACCTAAAGTAACCAAGCTATGGGCAAAGCAGAACGTCTAATTCAGATAAAGACCCACTGTGGTGTGGAAGTAGATTCTATGATAGATTTTGGCTAACACGTAAATGCAGAAAACCCATTAGTTTGCCTTGATAGCAATATTTTAAATAAACATTTGCACAGGCAAAGATATCATTAGGATTTTTGGAAGATGTTTAATCATCGCATCACATTAAAACTAAAGTTGACAGACAAGAACTTTATTTATTTGATTCACCACAGCAGTACAGTGGATCACAATCACTATAAAGTGACTCAAAGCCAAGAATATGGCTCATTGATATCGCAGACATGTCAAAGTGCCAACAGGTTTGCATTTAAGGCTGGTTTCCATTTGCACGAAAGCTTCAGCGAATTCGTCAGCGATTGGAATGTCTTTTTTTCTTTCCGGCCATGGGCGAATTCGCTAGCGAAATGTGAAAGTTGAAGGTAGTTCAACTTTCCAGCAAAATACAGTTTCCCTCTGAACAGACACACGCGGAAACACACTCGACGAATTCGCTAAAGAATTCGCTTTAGAATTCGCTTTAGAATTTGCTGAAGAATTCGCTAAAGAATTCGCTTAAGAATTCGCTAAAGAATTCGCTGAAGAATTCGCTGAAGAATTCGCTAAAGAATTCGCTAAAGAATTCGCTTTAGAATTCGCTTTAGAATTCGCTGAAGAATTCGCTGAAGAATTCGCTAAAGAATTCGCTTAAAAATTCGCTGAAGAATTCGCTATAGATCCATTACCTATCTTTATAAACACAGGTCTTGAAAAACCTCTGCTTACATTTCTTCTTTTGATTTCTGCTTACATTTAATCGATTATCCACTACTCAGAGTCCAGAAAAGTCTTCAACCTCACTCTGGTCAAATTTTCCCCCGCCAAAACCTTCCTCCAACTTTTCAAGCAATCACCTTGGATAGTGAATGGCTAGGGAATGGCTACGGTACGAGTGGTGTCAGGCGCAATAAATCGAGAAAAAATTATGTATTTGGGTCAATTGGAATTATTGCAAACGATAAAACTTTGCTAGAATACCAATCACATTACAGCTCAAGAATAACATTTCTTTTTAAATGTCGAATAATAAAATCGATGGAAACATGATATAATAACAAATTCAAAACCCTGGAACATGAACAGCATTCTGTTTCACAGCTTTTCAGATGTGTTTTCTGACAGTAAAAGGACGTGGCCTAGATATTTGCGTCAGATTCAACGTGTGTTTTAAAAGCGCAAAAAAGAAACAAATGCAAAATAAGTTGTCTCGATTATTTTTCAAAATTATATTTTACCAAAACTTTCAAAATTCTAATGTTTCTCAAACCTTCCTCCTGTCAATGACCGTAATGTTTTCTGGACTATGCCACTGCCCATCTTTATTCTACGCCTATTGAAAGACCCCCCCCCCCCCCCCCCCCTCTCCGAATGAACCATGCTTACATCTAATGGGTTATCCACTACCCATCTCTATTCAAAAGTCCATCAAAAGACCTCCGAGCGACCCCCTACTTACATCTAATGGGTTATCCACTACCCATCTCTATTCAATGGGTTATCCACTACCCCGGAGCGACCCCCTACTTACATCTAATGGGTTATCCACTACCCATCTCTATTCAAAAGTCCATCAAAAGACCTCCGAGCGACCCCCTACTTACATCTAATGGGTTATCCACTACCCATCTCTATTCAATGGGTTATCCACTACCCCGGAGCGACCCCCTACTTACATCTAATGGGTTATCCACTACCCATCTCTATTCAAAAGTCCATCAAAAGACCCCGGAGCGACCCCCTACTTACATCTAATGGGTTATCCGCTGAATCCGTTATTTCGTCCATCTTTTCATCGGCAAAATCAATACGCTCCTTCAACGAGGCTTTTTTCAACGATCCATGCAGGTTCACTAGATGAACTTTTAGCCAATCCAATCCATCTTCTCCAAGTGGTCGTCCCCTTCCAAACAGCAGCATTCCTCTTGCAACATCGTTTCCTAAAGAAGTTCGAAAACAGGTATCAACATAGAGGTTTATACTTGAATATTTTAGACAAAACTTCTTGACACCTTTTTTGACCGAAGGGAACTTCAAAATGTCAAAAAGGGTCATTTCAATATCTATATCATTTTTCTACAATCAGCAAGGTTTTACAAAAATATCTAATTTTGAGAGGTGGGAATTACATTTAAACATAGAACTGCAATGTGGACAGACAATGAACTCTAGACGAGAGGAAAGCATGTTCAAAAAATGAATAGACATGTACTTAGGCGAACTATACATTAACTAAATTGCTAGATTCAGTGTCATAATACTTGATAATCAAAGTCTTTTGAGCTTTAGAAAGCGAAACAGAAAGGGGGATTCCACATCTTACAAGCTTATTTACATACCCATATGAGCACAGTGAGGTGGCACAGGGTAGACTCTTCCTCGGAAATCAACATTGCCTGGCAACCAAAAAATCTTCTCTCTTAAATGATTTGCAACTGACAGTTTGTAAAGAAGATCCATTCGAAGGGCAAAAATTTCGTGGTTACTCTTCTTTACAGCTCTTCTCTCGCGCATCACTGCTTGGCGCTCCTCATCTGTCATATCCTTGCTGAAAAGCAAATCGAACTTCGCTTAAATCTCAGCACAGATCTAAACAGAAAAAACCGACTTTTTTAAATATTTTGTTTTTGTGAAGGTTGTCATTATTAACTACACAAATGATGGAAATTTTTTGTTCCAGTTAACTACCATTTTTGCATACAGGATGTTGAAATTTTTCACTACCACCCGAACCCCAATGTCATATTTATGTCTGCAGGTAAAATTAGTAAACCATGACTTTGGATTAGGGGAAAAGGTTGCATATTCTCCTTTAAACGGAGCATAACAACGTTGGGTCTAGACGATAGCTGAGTTTAGGCATTTTGTTTTGAGATAGCGAAAACAAATTGGAGAAAAAGCACAAAGTTGGTTAAAAAGTCCTACGCCTTAAATGTCCATACAAATTAATATAGAATTAAAACACAACATTGTACATGGAAAAGTCAAATACTGTTACTACATTGATTATAATTCCTAATTATCATTTGGCATCGTTAGGACATATTAAAAAGACAGAAATATCAACCTTGACTTTATCTTTGGGACAGGCGGAAGATCAGGTCCAAAGATTTCCAAATGCCTATCTCCTTTGTCGTTGAAAATAGCAATCATCATGTCCAATATCTTTGTATTGATTCTCCAACACGTTGTACCCAAAAAGTTGAGGCAATCGAAGATTGCATTGAGCTCCCCTTGATCGTCTCTGTCATTCAGATCTTTCAGTTGGTATCGTTCCATGATGGTTCTCACAAACGGAACTAGAAGTATAAATAGATAGCATATCAATAGATGAATAATAATAGAGGATAAAAGGAGATGAATTTTATTGGAGACCAAGGCACCGGGTGTTTAAAGAACAAATCTCAAAACCAACGCATTAAGTATTAATCAGGGAGCCCTGAAGAATCTGATATGTTGGAGCTGTTAAATTGAAGAATTCAAACGCTCTTCACACGTCTAAAACTTACCGAGGTTTGCACCACATCAGAATAAACAAGCAGTGCAATCAACTGAATGGGTAGAATCTCAACCGGCTAGGTTGCCTTTACACAAGAAATAAATCAACCACGTTTATCGTCAGTCACTAAACCGACGCTGAAACTGATTCAACAGCAAAATGTTAACATAACTTGAATCTTTATTACTGCCAAAAGCCTATCAATTGTTGAAACTTCTTCCATGCAACTTTCTAAGAAAATCTAAGAATTTCTTCCATGCGCCTTTCGTGGTGTGAGATAAGTAAAGCACTTTCATTTGAATCCTTTCTTGATGACATAAAGGAAGCGTTAAATGAACATTTTTATTCATTTTCGCAAACTGACCTGTCGGTATTTGGCATTTACTTTCAAAAGTTCTGTATTCTATATTCTTTACTTTCAAAAATATTCTTTTCTAATATATATACTTTAACGAAAATTGTTTAAGGATCATTTCTAAAAAATAATATTACGAAATTTTGCAGTTAAGGGAAAAGGGCCTAATAATAACGCTTCAAAGCAGTTGAAATTATGCATGAAATCAGCTTACCTTTAATCTATACACTTATAAAACACACATCTTAACGCACCTCTGCTTTTCTCTACCTCATTATGATAGTTCAAAGGAGAATTTGATATTCAAACAAAGGAAACTGAAGATGCAATTCTGAATATAGCTTGTAATATCTTGACAGAAGAGCAAAACCAACTTGACAATGAAACTTAAAGTGCCTGTGACATGATTTTCGTACTTTTGGGTTTATATATCTATTCTTATGTAAAAAGGCCTGTTATTTTCATTTCTGAGGTTAGTGTTTACGTTTCGTGAGAAATGAAGGGGTTATTGGCGATCTTCTACGCCAAAATTCGCCATCTTGGTTTTCAGAATGAGTAGACAATGACGTCACGGGAGGGACCCGATCGCCTCCTCCTTCGAGTTTTTGTATCGTAGTCAATGAGGGAAATCTAACAGGTCCAAGATGAGCGATATTTCCAGAGAAAGTAGTGGCAGCGAGGATGAGATTTTTGAAGGTAGCGCTTACATTGTTACAATAACGAGTTCCTCCCATGACGTCACAAGAGAATAAAAAAAATCATGTCACAGGCACTTTAATAAGTTGTGACGAAATTATGTCAAAGTCAAAAGTACTCACCTTTTGCCTGAATGCAGCTTAAATGTTATCAAATATTTCAATAATTACAAACCTGGGTAAACAAGAAAAGCCCCCTCTTTGATCGAAGTCCAAGGGCGTGGTGGCACTAGCATTGGTACTTTTTCTGTCTCCATGACAATGTTGCCTTGATTTGATAAATAACTTTTGTAGATCCTCGCTACAGCTGGGTGCATCTTCAAGATACCGAATCTTCGTCCTTCGAACGAGCTATACCCGTGCGTCAGTGCAGAGACGATCTCAGACGTTCTGCCATTGAATACTTCTGTGTTTACTTTGGCAACTTTTATTAGAAGGTCGATCAGCACACCAGCAACCTACGAAAGAAGGTCTAATGCATTTTGGAAGATATTATGTAAAGGATAATGTTATAATGTCATAGTAATTCTAAATAAAGATAGTCATGATGTGATTACTAAAACGAGGCTGGTGCGTGTAATAAAAAAGATCAGCTAACTATTTTTTGGCAGTACAAAATTTGAAAATGGCTTTGAAAAAAGTAAACATTTTACAACATGCTTAAGGCTTTATCGTCTAAGTATCATCTTGTTTTTTTGGACCCTTATTCTGAAGTTCTATACTCTGAGGAGTGTCGGAAAAAAGCTTTCGTATTCAAAACGGTCCGGGTTCACAAAAGTATGACAATTTTTGTTTTGCAAAAAAAATACCCAAGCACTTAACCAATAGGGTACCAAAACGAATGGTGGAATTTCAGCATGCAGAACGGTCCGGGTACACAAACGTATGACAATTTGGGCTACACAATAGCGTACCCCAGCATTTAAACAATAGGGTACCAAAACAAATAGTGGAATTCAGCATGCGAACCGGTCCGGGTACACAAATGTTCTGGCTCACATTGTTCAGAATGTAAAGAACAATCGAATTGTTCATAAAAAGGGGGTGCTAATAAGAAGCGGTGCTGTACTTTCGGTTGTTAAGTTTATGCAAAACAAGTACAACATAAATGGTGACTACAAACTTTGCGTGGTTGACTAGTGTGAAATTTAAACTCTAAAAATGTGTCAAAAAATCGCACAAAGATGAAATCACACGATCTGAAACACATTGCGTTTCACAATGTTGCACTTTTGCATAGGGTACCAAAATGCATATTACACCGGCAAAACCTTTTATGAGTGAAGGATAAAATGAATGCCTGATGAAGAATTATGCGCGAAACGTCTAATCAATTTATTCAAGGTTATACATAAATTTGTGTAATGTTCACATAATTAGTATCCCGTATGTACACTAAGTCCCGTATGTAATCCGCCCATGTAATCTCGTACACACGTGTTTTGTTACTGCGTTCAGTTTCGATATGTATGGAGTTCATTTACAGTTGGTATTTTAGTAATTATATTATCATGGATATTTCTCTATGATCAGCTCTTAAAACATTATAATGTTTATAAACATTTTATGAACATTTATGTTATTACGGTCTGGGTTTATATCATTATGGTCTAGCAAATAAATGCCCGTAGATTTTATAAACATTGGAAGCAAATTTTCGCCACTATACATTTGACAGACGCAGGACACTTGAACAAGGTTCACTAATATCCGAATCTTGTATAGGAATCTTCACCTCTACAAATACGGCTAAGCTAATTTCTTTTCCGGAGCTCTTATTCCCTGATTTTTGCAGGAAATGCTGTTTGATTCTATGAACTAAGGTTGAAAAGTACATTCGACATATTAATACAAAAATTCTAAAATAACTGAAAATTTATATTACTAGCAGCCCTGCTCATCAGAAAAGGTGTATAGTTGAATAGCCTGAGTACTATATGTTTGCCTAGCACCATCCCAATAAAAAGGTAGGCAATACAGATTAAAAGTCAGTTATACCCTTTGGTATTACTCAAAAAAGTTACTTTGACGATCTTACCAAAACTTTCACTGTATACGGCCAAATTGGAGCATTGACTTTCAGTGATGCGAGATTTTCGGCCTTTCGCTCAATCTCATACCATTTTGACCTTGGAAGATCTTTGGAAACTTTGTCAATATCAACAGCATATTCGCCATACTCTGTGTATATTTCTCGCACCTGTTAATCCAACAAAATCAAATAAAAGAATACTCAATAATGGCTTAGAAAAAAGAACAAATATTTTGAAATAAACCGCAGCTTTTCGCCTGATACTCCACGGGAAAAATGTCAAAACATAAATCGAAAACTCTACGCTAGGAAATATATATACCCAGTTGTGGATCGAAATGGGCCAATCAGAAACACGAGCACGTGACTGTAGAGGTTGACCAATCAGTGCCGCTTGCCTATTGAAAATGTTACCAATGGAGTCCTAAGGTGAAAACGAACTCCTTTTGTCTACACAATCGCGGTTTTTTCATGTTAATGTAGACAGAATCCAAAACTGCTAGATGGAACGACGACCGGGCAACCGGGCTTTACCAATAATCCGAAACATGTCGCCATTATAGTTTTTTGCACAATCTGGGTTTTCCAGTAAATGTTGGCAAATGGCAGAATCACATGTTTTAGTTGCAGTTTTAGATAGCCGTTATACAGAAACATATTTCCTACCTGATTCAGTTCCAAGTCGAATTTAGACTTCGAATACATTCAAGCACAGTAACGTTACATACTTCTCTGGGGTCGGTTTAAAAACAGCAAAACACAAGCAAATATTTTAATCATATAAGTTTTTGGTACCACAAAATGGCACGAAATGGCGGAAACATATCACGTACTGAGGTACGTTTTGCTCACATATCCAGAGTATGCCAAAAACGTAAAGTTACAAAAAATTTCAAAATCAGCGCGGACAAGCAAGGTCGTTGTTTCATTTAGGAGTTTTAGATTCTGTTTACGTAAAAAAAGATTCCAACTTGTGTAGACAAAAAGAGTTCATTTTATTTCTTGGACTCGACAATTAGATGAGAGGTTAGCTTTAGCTGATTGGTAATAACAAGATAACCAATCAAATACGGATTTCTTCCTTTCACGCTGTTTTCGATCCACACATGAATACAAATATTCAGATTACTTTTGGTCATCATCCGACGTTTATACTCTGAAGAGTATTTGACCAAAGTACTTTAGTATGCTATGTTTCCACTAGTTCGTGTCATCTTCAGATTTTTAATATACTCTTTCATTGTTGTTTTTCAGAAATTTCTCAGGTAAAAAAAAGTACATTGAATAGTAATGATGGCTACCGACAACGTCTTTTTTTAAGCTTACAAGCTGCATTTCTTTATTCCATGCACTCTATGAAAGCATGCTCTAACTACACAACTGAAATAGCTAATTGGGAATCTAAGAAGGCGTGGCTTACCTTTTCAACAACTCCTGCCTCTATTTTGCATTTCATTGCGTATCGCGAATGAATCAGTCCGCCCAGATGTCGGCAAATGAAATTGACAGACACGCCTTGAGGTTGTGAGCACAGAATCGGCAAGATTTCATTAACAACAATTTCGCTTAGATCTTTTGGATCAAGAAGACTTAAGTAAGGAATGAACTTGTGCTGGAGAGCTAGAAATGAAAAAAAAACAAATATTCAATTCAACAACCTAACTATGAATTAAATTATTAAAAATTATCAATTATGAAACTTCGTAGCGATTCCTTTATCAGTAAAATTGAGCCACGTGGGAACTTGAAACTTCTAGAAGTACCAAAAAGATATATTTTTACTGTTGTTAGCATGAAATGAAGCAAACATTTGATTCAAAGAATAAAAGAATAGGTGAAAGAAGATAGAAACGCAGGATAGTTTGTCCGCCGGATTCTGTGAATCTTGCAATAAGTAATAGTACGAAAAATAGTCAGGAACAAAACAATACGACGAAGAGAATCCAATGTAGAAAAACAGAAGTTTAGAATAAATTAAATTTAATGAATACTTATATGCCGCCCTGGCATACAGGGCTTTATCAGAGTAAATGTGCTTCATAATATAATAAAATAATATGTACATAATTTTGAGAATGGAATCGTGCAATTTATTCATCTATCTAGCCACTTGTAACGCTAGATGTTGGTTAGATTGTGTTTGGTTATGATGTCATATAAACCCTGTATGCATAAATTGATAGAACCACAAAGAAGCTAAAAAAGCCTTTCTGTTAAGACAACTTAGCTGAGTATCAAAACACAATAGTAAAAACCGTAGTATAGTAAAAACAAAAAGTTCTAACAATTAAATAATCTGGATGTTAGTTTATGCTTATAAGACCAAACAAAGTACAGTTTTGTTTGTACAGCTACCAAACAAAAAAGTAAGCTCACATAATGAGCGCAAGCGATGAAGATTTAAAATAGTTAAGAAATTTGCGGTGGTGCCAACAAGGGGGCCTGACCGCTTGACCAATCTTAAACCGCTTTTTTGAACCACTCAATTTGGGATTATGAGAACGTGATTAAAGTCTCAACTGTTATTGTTCTTTGAGAAAAAATCAATAACCCTTGGCTTACTAGGAACATATAGATATAATAATATCAATTTATTCTATTGATAGAAGGACTTGTTCAAATGAAGTACATGATTACCTATTATGTAGTTGAAATTTCAAAACAGTCTAGATCCTAAAAATATTTTGGACTAGAAAATTATGGAGGTCAAAACAAAAATATTTGGGACACTTAATTTTAATTTTTTCCAAACCAGGAGAAAATTCTTAAAGATGTCTGTAATTATTGATGCTCAAAATGATCTTACTACTCTTTGATATATTTTTCTGCCATTAATGTAATAGTAAAACTGATGAACTAAATGCAACAAACTTTTTCCACTTGAATATTTAATGTCTTTTCCAAGCATTCCATTAGCAATTTCCTTTTCAATCGTCTCTTGCAATGACTTTCTCCAATCCTCACTGATGTCTATGTATAGCTGTTTCCTCTTTCCATCCTTCTCGGATACTGCCCCTTTTCTCTCGATTGAAGGAATAGTAACAAAACCTAAAATTTATAATGAAAAATGTACAACCATAAGCAGTATTGTAAGAAAAGGTCCAAAACATTATTGATACACTGGAGGGGAATTTATTAAGATTGATAATGATATTAATCTAACATAATGGTGCTGGTCAGGTTGATAAATATAAACTTATTAAGAAAAGAGTTTCCAACCTTTGATTTCATTCTGCAGTTGCTGCTCAAAAAGGTCATGCAGATTATCCTGCCATGAATCTGGAAAAACTGAATTGTCCTCCACTTGCTCGGTTATTGGTTCCATCATTGGATTCAGTAGCCGATTATTTGGCAACTTGGTTCTTGCTGGTGCATCAGGTGGCACAGGTTTGAAATCTGGATCAACACTTTTCAATGCAGACGTTATTGCACTTACTTGGCCTTTGGTCAGCACACATTTATGAAATATATGCTCTTTACACAGACCCTAGAAGAAGAGATTTGATAGATTATGACAAGATTTGCACAAGGTATGAGCATGGGATTTCCATGGTGGAGTCTACAGGTCCAGCATCAGCTTTGAGAAAGTGTTACTTAGGATAAGTGAAATGCAACAATATAATTTTTCAATTAAGTTGCTTTTGTAGAAGAAGCAAAAAGCAAAAAGAAATGTTATCGATGGAGATCTGTATGACAAATAATAGTTACGAAATACAGCACTTCGCCAGTGTTAGAATAAATTTAGAGATTTGATATATCCTCCAGTTGGTTTGGATAGCGATGAAAAGCCAATTTCTAGTTGTGGCAAACTGAAGATAAAATGAGCCTATGAATTAGCATTAATCCAAAACTTTCTTTTTGTAATTTCAGGGAATCAATAATCCCACTAGTTTTAGGATGACATCCTCTCTGCATTAGGCAATCTCCCTGAACTTCTATCTCACAGATATCTCACAGATGATACAAACTTCTTTTTAACATATTTTGCAAAACAGAGGTAACTTTATTCAAAAACACATTTTGCATTTTGTGAAAAATAATTTTTTCCAGACATCTTTGAAGATAACTTAGAATGTATCATTTCAACTGAAAACGTTTGTTGGATGTCAATAACTGCCAATGAAAAAATATATATTAGACAAACAGTTTGTGATATCAGTCTATCGTGAGTGTCTAGATTACATTTGATGTCCTTAAAATTAATTGCAGATTATCTTTAACCACACCAATGCCTGAGATTGGGAAAACTTACATCTTTTCCCATCTGTTTTACAAACTGTTCAAGTTTTGTGGTCTCTCCCATCTTCCAACATGCTTCTATGACAGCAGCATATGTTTGAATATCTGGTTTCACTCCTTGGGAGACCATACTATGCAACAAGATGTCCACTTGGAGCCATGTTCCACAATTTGCAAAGCAGTGCAGTAACTGGTTGTAGTTTTCAACTGAAAATTTATGGCCTCTTCTTCTGTGTTTGTTAAATAGCTGGAATGCCTCCGCTGCCTATCAAAGAGTTTAAACATAAATATATTTTCTAACAATTTTCTAAGAATCTTCACTGGCAGGGAGTAAAGAAACTTGACAAATATCAAAATTTTACTGCAAATTTACCAATGCAAAGATCCTCAAAATCATTAAAAGTACATTTTCCTTACTTATCAAGGGTAGGAAGGAAGCAATTTCACAAAAAGATTCATGTTTTGACCTGATAGTGAATGAAGCTTCAAAACAACAATTTAGAAATTTCTACAAGAACATTACTCTAATTTTCTACTCAAACAATATTTCCAATGACAATAACATCTTGTTCAAATGAATTTAACATGGCATAAAAAATACTTACTCTATTATGCTTCATTAACACATCAACTTCAGCAGTTACTTTGGTCTCTTCAACAAATGTAAGTTGTCTGCCATCAAGTGTTAACGAAGGTAGTGGGTTTTTGGTTCTTTTTTTCTGCTTCCTTTCTGGAGCTTTGACTTCCTCTACTCCACTCTTAACCCCAATCTCATCTATATCTTCTTCTTCAAAGTGTTCTTCAGCATATTTTGTGTTATTATAAGATTTTGAGCCATCTGACAAGTCTAATGTCTCAATCTCACTACTTCTTAAGCCACTTTGCAACGATACATGAGAACTACTTGCAGATGCTGTAAAGGATAGATGCAGCCTCCTTCTCAAGGATATATATCTCCAATTGGTCACACCAACTTTAAAGATAAGAGAAATCAGCAGCAGGTAGACAAGATCTTAACCATACCAAATCACATTTCAATTAAAAACAATGTCTATTTCACTGGAAGTCAGACAGTCAAAATTAGTGTGACCAATTATCAAATCTATTTGTGTATTCATAATTTTTTGGCTCACATTGCATTTTCAGTATACCAGTGTCACATACCCTTGTCAACTTAAAATATTCAGTTTTTGAATGGAGATTCCCTAACAAAAAAAGGAACAGACTTCAATAAAACTGTCTTCAAAATAATTTTTACAATGGATTCAAATGCGACTGCTTCACATGTTGTGTTTTCCTGAATTTTCCATAGTCAAATAGTCATCAAGCATTTATAGGATTCTATCATCATAACTCCATTGATGGGATCGCTTACATATAGTTTTTTAAGTGTGAATTCATGCCTTTCCAAAAATTTGAGCGTGAAAGTATGGTAGGAATCTCTACATAATATTTGAAACAAAAATCTTTCCTTTGCACAAATATGTTTTATTTGTTTAAGTCTGAAATACTTACTGTGTGCTTGGCTGGTCAAGACTGATATTTTTCTTTAATGTTATTAGACAGTATATATTGTAAATTTGCATGCACAAATCTTGTTATGAATGGGCTATCAACTAATTTGTTGCTTTATAAAATGCTAATGAATGGGGATTTTTTTGGTTGCATAAATAAACATTATCAGAACCATCTGGCAGCCACAAGATGAACAAACTTTTTTCAAAATAGTGTTTGTAGCAGAAATCTGGTCTTTGTTATAGCAATAGTATATGTTAACCAAGTTATAAGTCATATATCACTTTGGCTTTGTGTAGTTGTGAGCAGAATGAGTTTTTCCAGATTCTACTCCCCTTCCTCCAGTTTTATTTTGGGGAAATGAAAATAACATGCAGGCCACATATTTTCAGGGGTGGAACCAGAAAAATATCTGAGGTATGTAAGGTTCTGAGGTATGAAACTCCCACAGCCAGTCTGAATTCCTTGAATTCTGTGTAGGGAAGTCCAGTAAACAGTCAAATCAAGCTTGTCTGCAGCGTGGGTCTCAAGAAAAGACTGAATCAAACATGAGGAGAGGCTAGGGGCTACTTAGGGGGTGTTTAAGGCCACATCCTTTATATTACAGTAGACTGGCCCAGGAGTAATTTCATATCTCAATGTTTTATTTGATATTTGAAATGCTTTCGTGACCCAATGCATAATTATAAAATGAAGTCCAAATTTTGCATAATGCCCAAAACAAAGCACTTTTGCAGAACAAATGTGTAGTGCACACATACACGTGTACACTGTGAGAGCCATTCTTAGGTTGCATTTTGCTGGACGCTTTCTGTACACATTCAACTAAAACATTGCACACTTTATCAACATTCTAGCTTACATGCACATATTTTGTCTTGTCTTATCTTGTCTTGAACTGCCATGCTCTGGACAGAGTACGAAGCCGAGCATGAAGTGAAAAGTGCACAAATGCCTAAACATCATATAAAGTGCAGTTTATAGAGTAAATCAAAATTTCCTTGAATAATTACCGTTTCTCAAAGAGGCTCCTCTTACTTGAACGATTGATTCTCTTCTGAGTGCACTGCATTTTCGACATGAGCCAGTAAATGAAATCAAACTGAACGGCCTACTTGCGAAAGTCCGGTTTGTTAAACCAAATTTCGACGCTACTTTCCATTGAACATTATGCATTTTCTGAATCAAAATGCTAAAATTTCAAATAACTTATTATTTGGTGCTTGATTTTGTGCACACATTCCTAATTTCAATCTACACGAAAGTTAAAAATCTTCTAGCCTTGGCCTTCCACGAGATACATCTTTGGCATTTCGGCGGCATCTTCATTCAACCTCTTTTTCATGTTGTAACGAGATTGAAAATTGAAAATTTGCAGAAATTTCGGAAGATCGTCAAAAATTAGTGGCGAAATTGACCTTCCAGACTAGGGGAGGGGGCCTTCCAGACAAGAGAAATCTAGGTGCTTTTTCATCTACCGATAAAGGACGTTACCGAAAAACCAATGATTTTTTGGACCAACTGAAGATTTACCGACAAACTCATCAAGAATTGGGGGTGTATCATGCCCAAATTTCTGCGAAAAGTTCTTTATTCACTGTTTCCTAGCAAAGAGATTAAGAACCAAGATTTTTTAAAGAAAAGACATAATACTTGTAAAACTTTTTAGCTTTTAACAAAAAACATAATTTAGCAGCTTAATCTAAAACATCCTGTGACAAATAGAAAGGGATAAAAAGGTCACGATTCCATTCGGAAGAAAAAATGTTACTGCATTTGTAATGCATCAAAATTCAAGTTGAATCACTTCTTAGCATGATATTAGCAGAATACTGGATGTATATTAGCTGAGTTTCAATTCTATAACAAAACTCTACGTAAAAACTGCATTATTGTGCCATCATGTAGCAAAACAGTCATCGGGGCCTTTGCAGTGACTTTAAGATAGAGGCAAAGAGCGCGGAGGCAAGGATTCAATTTCTCCCACTGCGTTTTGTGTCTTGCCTCCATCCCCTGGGATCTGGGATGAGTTCAGTTCTATAGCACTCCATACATAATTTTAAGACAATTTAATCACTGCACATTTTGATGAAAAAGGAAGTTTCTTGGTGGGCCCTCAATAAATTTTGGATATCACGCATTTAATTTTTTCCAATCAGGTAAATTCAGATTATCAAATATCTTGATAATCTGATATCAAATATTGTCATTGCTCATAATATTTTGAAATTTGTAGAAAATGCATAAAACTTGCCTACCATGACTTTAAATACTCAGCTCCTCGTTAATCTTTCGTACAAGTTGTTTCTTCTCCCATTCCAGTTGCTTAACCTTCATCTGTAGTTTTTTTTGCTTCAGAATTATTCCTTATCAGCGCTTTTTGCACCGATTTAGACATCTAGAACATTTCATCCGCCATGTTTTAGTCCATTAATGAAATTCCATTCAATTAAAATTTTCTCACAAATGATGACGTGCTGTTTAACCACGCACGAAAGTCCCTGTCTAGAAATTATAACACATTGAGTGTGTTCGAAGGTTCCAGGGTGAGCATTTCAACTCTTTTGCTAATTGTTTTGCAATAGCTCACACTTTTGTGAGCGTGGCATGTAGCAATTAAAGCCTCGCTTTTCCGTCGTTATTTTGTCATGTAATATTTGAATCTCTTAAGAATCCTGCTCATTCATTTACGACATAAAATTTTGTAGCTGGAGAAAAACGTGACTAGTATTGTGCAAAAGATTGATTTTATTGTTGATAAGAGTGCTAGTTCATTCCAAAATGACAGTTCTAGAAATGGTCGTAGCTCTTGACAATTTCTTGATACCATAATTTTGTAGAAGCGCCCACCAGGGGCGGATCCAGAGCAAACTTGAAGGAGGGGCAGTTGGTAGGGGGGGGGGCGTTGAAAAATTTTCAAAATTTGATGATGTGAGAACACTGTATGAACAACTTCAGATCCATTTTCGGAATAAACAACATAACTTTGAAGTAAGCCATTAACCTATTGGTCTCATAAACTTTCTCACCCAATTCTCATTCTTCAAAAGGGGCGCAAAATTTCCAAAATAGGGCGCCATACTTGCTTCAACTCGTGGAGGGAGAGGCAACTGCCCCTAGATCCGCCACTGGCGCCCACTTTTGCATAATTTCAACGCTAAACCCTTTTGAAAGTGCTGTTCTCAAAAGACATAAATAAAAATATGTCCTACCCTTCTTAATTAATTTCTTTGAGCAAATTAGGTAGACAAAATTGGGTTGAGAGGTAATGACCATCTAAACCCCGCTTGGCGCCGCCACTACAGAAGAAAATTTGACTTGCATACACCTTCGTCTAAAAGTAGAATGAATTTGATTGAAAAATTGGTGACATATTTTCTTAAAACAATAGTATACAATTCAAAATACGTTTGATAAATAACACCACTTTCAACCATTGGCAGGGCCAGCTACTGTAGGTGGCAGGGTAATAGGCGTAGCCATGGAGACCACACCCCTTTCCCCTCGTGCTTTGTACCAGGTTAGCTTTCCTTAGGAAACATGAACTACCCCTACCTAGCGCTTTTAGTCCATTTTTAAAAGAAATTTGTAGAACATGTTTTGAAAAAAGGAAGAGTAATTACCCCTCCCATACCCCCCTTGGCACCGCCACTGCTTTCAACAGTTTTCGTTGATTTCCATACAGGGTGGTGTACCTTTATACAATATATTTGCTAGACGTTTGTACGGTAAAGAGAGAAGTTTGAAAAAGCACTGTAAAGTGAATTGACGTTGAAAGCAGGATTTAAGATAATTAAGTATCAACTTTCGTTTTTCTTTTTCTTAACTAAAATCATTTTTATTCCTTAAGAATTAAATTATTTTGACCCAAGACTAGAGGCTAAAACTTCAAAGTATGCCGTTAATCGCAAAGGTTCTAGATAACCTTTGTTTCTATTTGTATAGCAAAGTGGATCTGTGACGGCCTTGCTGGAAGATATTGATGTATCAAACTTTATTCCTTTTAAAATTCATTTTAAAATCCAAGGCTAATTAATCGAAAAGCCAAGGATGTTCATGTCAGCATTGCAAACCATTGAAAAAGTCGATTAATTTAATTTTGAACAATGTGAAGGGATGGGTCTTTTGGAGAGCTATCCACACAAGCACAGGCTTAGGCTCTGTATAAGCAAGTTACGTTAGAGTTGGACATTTAGGTCAGTTCAGAGTATCGGGGATAATAAATTCGAATTGATATAATCGCTCTGCGCTGACTTTTTTGATACGGGATAACGAGGAGAACAATTCATAGAGATGTACAACCATACACTCTCTAGCCCTGGAAACCCGAAGTAACTGAAACGACTCCAGGGTATCTTTTTAAGCATACCAAATGACGAAGAAAGTCCCCAACAGCTCGGGGGGGGGTACCTTAACATGTTTGAAGGTACGGGGATGAGCCATTATTTAGGGGTACTTTTTTCCTGAGAAGTGTGGAAGTATCGGTATCAGTTTTTGAAATTTGTGCGGAACTCTGGGTACCATTTGAAAAAACATGCAGAATTATGGGTATCATTTTGGGAAAATATTGCAAAATTATTAGGAGGAAGATGAAGCATTAACAAAATGAATGTCCAGTTAGAAATAAAAGTAGTATGAAACATGTGTAATTTTGAGATTTTGGGGCATAGGACATGCCAAATTTGATTGATGATTTTTTATGTGCTTTAAAATTTTTATTTGTTTTGCGGAATTATGGGTATAGTTTTTGGCATGTTTGCAGAAGTATTGGTCACATTTTTGCAGACATTTTCGGAATTATGGGTCCAAAATTTAAACCAGAATGGCACGTCCCCGTAGCTGGTGGCTTGTTTTCTTTCATAATAAGCCCCCCTCTAAAAAAACTCTTTAGTCTCCAAAACTCTTTAGCAATCCCCTCCATCAATAATATGCTCCGCAAACCCTTTCTGCAAAAGTCCCGCAAAGGTGACTCGGACGCCACAGGTGCAATGCTTAGAAATGCTTAGAAATATTATTCAATAAAGAAATGCACGGGATGAAAAGCTCTGGATTGTGTTTTACACCAAAGAACACCATGCAACGTAAATACCACGAGAAATGCATCTTTAAGGAAACTGGGAGAAAAAATAAAGTTTCTATAAACAAAATCATTATGTACATTGCAAAAATTTTAACAACTCGTTTACTTTTTTAACCTTATAAAAAAGCTTGCGTAACGAATTATCAAACTAGTTGCATGACTCTTCATAAAAATTCTACACTTTTGAATTGTGCACCCTTTAACCATTTTGATGAGATTTAGCAAACCAATATAAAACCATGTAACCTAAAATCATATTTTTTGTTCTTCAAGCAACCGTTTCTTTTTACAAGCAGGTTCAGGCTTTATGCAGCAGATTTACAAAATTTATTTGAATCAAAATTCAATTCTGAGCAGCTACACGTAATGTGCACACGTAAGCCTGATTGCTCGGAGGGGGGGAGGGGGAGTGGGCAACTAAGCCTAATTGTGGACGGAGACGTGCTATTTTGGGTAAAAAATTTGGACCCATAATTCTGCACATGTCTGAAAAATGTGACCAGTAATTCCGCAAATATGATGAAAACCATACCCAAACTTTCGCTAAGCAAGTAACATTTTTAAAGCACAAAAAATCACCAAGCAAATTTTGCAAGTCCTTTGCCCAAAAATCTCCAATCTAATAATTTTGCAACATTTTTCCAAAATGGTACCTATAATTCTGCATCTTTATTCAAATGGTACCCAAAGTTCTACACATATTTCAAAAACTGATACCGATAATTCGGCAAATTTCAGAAAAAAAGGTACCCCTAAATAATTCCCCCCCCCCCCGAGCCTGATTGACGAATAATTCTAAAGTTTATGTTCTTTATAGGCTAGTCTTAAAGAAAGATCCTTCTTCAGCTTTCTCATTTGATGTTTGCGAAGTAAAATGAGACGGCCTATGGAGTAAATCGACTGAGTGTTTTCTTTTCAAGCGATTGCTTTCGTCTCGTTTCACTGACGACGCAAAAGTCGATAGATCAGCTTCGTAAGAGACCGAATGATGCAGATTTCTTGGTGGAAACGAGGAGGTCAAATTCAGTCCACGATTTGACGGTCGCCTTTCAATATTTTTGCTGGATGTTAACCCAAAGTTGTTCCCTCTCGATTGTACCCTGGAATCAGTGACAGCCCTATCGCGTTTGAGCGGTGAATCCTTTCCTACAAATTTCGGCAAAAACCTCCCAAAAAACGATCGGTTTTCCGGCTTTTGGTCATCAGATTTTTGACTTTGGCTACCAAACCGTGCAGGAAATCTTTTTCTTTCCTCTTTCGTATCGATATGAGGTAAGTGATTCTCTGAAAACTTTTCAGCCTCTGGAGAGTCGTCAGTGCTTTCAAAAATTGTGTTCTTTTTTCCAGTTTCAGCTAATGTTGTTGGATGTTTTCGCAAATTTAATTTTCGCATCAAATAAGTCTGTTCACGTTTAAGATTTTTCAAAACTTGCTGGTGCTCTTTTGAGAACTGTTCAATTGACTTTTTCATATTTTTGTTTTCATTGCTGTTGCGAATTTCCGCTTTTCGTATCGCCACAGTAAACTGCGTGTCTCTTTGACTGAGCTTTGCTCCAAGCGCTCCTTTGCTTGTCTTTCTCAAATCCATTTGGACAACTGACGTTAAGATAAACCTTTAGTAAACTTTGACCTTCAAAGGAACACGAATAGTCTTTATGAAGTTGACAAAGCAATCAAAATAAAAAAATTTGTATACCTGTTGTTTAGATAAACAAACAGCTCTTCCTAAATTGGGGGGGGGGGGTGCAGGGTATTTGTACAAAGTGATATGCTTTGTCCTTTCAGACTGGGGATGGAGAGTCGTTAGAATAAAATTTGCAGACAAAGAATAGGTAAAAAGAAATTTTTTCTATTCTACCTACCACCAGGCGATTTTACCGACCATGTGAAAGTATTCCTGACAAAATCTTGAAAATGGGGCGGTATCACAGCTCCTACACCCCAAAAAAGCTCCTGCTTGTGCCAGATATAAAGATACAAAACAAAGTCTTTATTTTTCTTATAAAGCTAACATCAAAATTCACTTTATTACTAAGATTAAAAATTGCAAGTCATTGATTGCATCTTCTTTTCAAATTGTTGTACTAAATAAGTTTTCATATGTGTCTTTGGCAAACAAATACAAAAGCTACAATAATGACACCAGCCACATGATAGGAGCCCATCTCTTTTCGAATCAACCCACTGTGTTACAACGTTCTTTTGGAAAGCCCGTTTTCATTGCATTTTTTAAAACATTCAATGACAGCTCTGTATAGCAAAACAAGGCGTATTTGCATATTGAAGAAATCCAGAGGCAAACAACGAGGCTTTGTGGCTTTAAGTTTAATGCAATCTCGATTGGCAGTGCTTACACTGGGCAAAGATGGTGAATAGGGGAACAGGCTGTTAAAATTCTTGCATTTCATAAAATTTCTTAGATATGACATAGCACAGAAGTGACTTTTAAGGTTTTTTCTTGAAAATGGCCGTGCTTTTACTGTTAAAGATTTTAAAAGGAAGCAATTATCATATCTGTTGTTTGCTTGGATTTGATTTATGCATCTTTACATCTAACAACAACAACAACGTCAATCAGTAATTTCTTTGGGTATTCTGTAACCCCTTTCTAGACTTACTCCATGAGCTTCTGTTTCGCTACTGCCTCACTTGACGGGTCAAGTGAGGCATTAGTGAAACAGAGGCTCATGGAGTAAGTCTAACCCCTTTCCACCTGTTTCAGTTTCGTACATGAGGATCCGTTAGCATTTAAAAACATGCAACAGAAGGGTAGATTCAAAATCCACGATTAAAGACTGGTGTGTATTGATTTTGCCCATCACCAGGGCATACTCTAAATGATTCTTTCGAATTAAATAACATTCTCATAAAAGGTTCAAATTCAATAGAAATAGACAAAATCGCATTTACAATTTTTTCAAGTAACCAGGCGACCACATTAAAGAATTTTTAATTTCAGCATGTATGGACTTTAGAACTCAATAAGCGAAAAATCAATAAGACCAAACTTAAAAGAACTGTAATATTTTCCACGTGAAGACCATTGCAAGAAATTCAGATTACATTACTTAAGAGTGCAAGCTCACATTAAAGAACGCGTTATTTTGCATGTCAATCTCTGTAGCTTATTAATCTGTGTTTCTTCTTGACGTACATAAGTCATATCTCAAAATTTTGTAGCTCACATAATACGGCATCTTTCAATAGGCTTTCAATATACGGCATCTTTAACTTTCAAAGCCAATGTAATCACCAGGCAGCTGTGTATACAGGTCTATCTATACATCATCAAGCACTGTACAACAGGGCATTAAGTGGTATCTTCATTGAGATTATAATGCCACATTTTATTGGAGATTTTGCCAAGGCAGGGAGTTTCAAGAGTAGATGGGTATTGATCCCCTTACACCCTTAAGGATGGTACAATACGAAAAGATATAAGATTGAGATTCTTTGGCCTTCAAAGAAATGAGGCGATTTTGCATTTCGAGTCCTACTTCGTGTTTTGTTTACATATATAATCATGTTTGATGTAAATATGGCTTGGTACCGTTTGAGTAGAATACAGTCGCAACAAATCTCAATGGCCAGATTAATATTGAAATATTGTGTCTACCTTTCAAAGTTTTGTCTCCTCTGCTCAAATTCGAGAGCTTCGATATGTCCAAAATCGAAGAATGAATTTCTCGCAGCTACTAGACACTGCCCATTGTCCACAAGACAACGAGTTATATGCACACTAGCTTATTTCCTGCAAATGTTATACAATGTTCTCCTTCTTTAATTGTGTGCGATAGCCAATGAGACCCTCACGAGGAGGCAGAAAAAGCAGTGGATCCCTTTGCCTTTCCACAATTTAGCAATTTACTTCATTTTGTTATTGTTTTGCCCTTTTTCCTGGCGCTTCGCCTCCGTGCCCTCCTTGCGAGCTGGCTTCCCTGGTAGCAATGCTAACAATTTCCTAATCTCTTTGAAAATATTTTTTAGCAAAGAGTATAGAGATTTAAATACGTTCGATGAAATGATTTCTTCACTGCGTAATAAAATGTTAAAATATGAACACACTATAAACCACAAAATCAGATGGAATGTTACTGGATCCTGCCTGAAATCATATCAAATTTCTGACAGCGATGACGATAAGTGAAATAATAATAAAGTACAAATACTAACCTTTATCTAATGGCATCAATGCTCTAGATCATGTATATGCGATAAGGTCCCTGGAACGTAAACGCTTGAAGCATGAGATTGAAAAGAGACTGGGTATTGCAGTTGTGGGGTGCCAGCCGATTGGATCGCACTGGAGTGAGGCTTTTTATTATTCGCTTCTTTCCTATTTGGCAATAATAATCCGGTTAATCTTGTTTGGAATTCATCAGTTTATTAAAAAAGGAAAACTGTGACCTGTAGGTGGTTGCAATCCACCCTCAAAAAACGATTATCTCTTTTTGCTTGAAACAATAAAAGAGAGCAAGATGCGAAAATATTTTTCCAAGCAAAGTTTTTAAAAACATGACAATAATGCGTAGCGTATAACTGTTTGAAGACACTGACGTCCTTATATTTCACGATTATTTAGGATTCAGACAGACTTAATCCTGAAATTGATTTGTTCAAGAATAAAATTGAATGCCTATGTAAACGGATAAGTGCTTGTTACCATGGTTGCAAGGAAGGCCACAAAGGTATTATGACCTTGATTGTCGACACTATTGTTAATGGATTTAAGGGGGTAATTGGGGGCCTGTCACGAATTCAAATATCATAGATAGCGAAGTCTATATCTTATCTAAATTAGTTGATAAGATCATAATAGGGGAAAGGATAAAGGATCCCGAAGAAAAACGAAAACAAAGGCATCAGAGAAAGCACAACATAACATAACATTATAAAATACATGGCAAAAGCCTTTGAACGCTCTTGAGTGTTACTTTAAAAAAAGTTGTTGCTAGAGGGCAAAACTGACACTGCACCTCCCAAAAAGCATTGTTGGCCGTGGAGATATAATCGAATTTTTCTGACCGAAGTCGATTTGACCCCACCGAACCACCCCACTTGACATTACATGAAACAAGTGAATAGCGCGTTCAGTAGGGAATTCAAAAATTTAGTGTAAGTCCTACTCGATAGCAGCATAGTTAATAGAGACTCATAGGAGCATTTTTTCGTAAGAATGATAGCCATAGATACAGACTTTAATTTTTCCAAGGTGTACCTCCACATAAGAAAATATTGTTACGTCATTGTTCACTGTTTCTGCAATTCTGTGCATATGCTGCCTTTATTGCTTGTTTCTGGAGGTTTTTATGCTTTAAAACATACCATGGATGGCAGAAAACCCTTTAAAATTGCAAAGGGGAGGCTCAAGCTCCCAAGCCCCAAAGCTCCACGTAGTTGACCCCTATCATGACAGAAGAGGGCACATTTGTATGGAGACTAGACACATTTCCAACAAAGCACTGCCAGCGTCAAGATATACCTTTTCATTGAAAAGAAAAAATGCCTCTTGAGAACTGAAAGCCAAAAGCTGCATACTTTATTTCTTCCAATGAATGTCCCAGGCGTTTATTTAACCTATGAGGATTTTGAGGCAGTGTCTGATAAGGGGCGTTTAAAAGGAGACATTTTTTGAAGTTACCATATAAATGATTCTGACAATTGATGAAGCTTTGCTCGCATAACATTTGATAACAACATTTCATTATTGCCTATCAGCTGCAAACACAAATCTTGAAATTTCTTGGTGACTTTTATTATAATGAAACTTGCACAGTGAATATACTATAAAGAGCTAAAAAATACTGAGCTTATTTTCTGTAGGGGATTCGTGCAGGATTTTGGTGCCCATTTTAATACTCTAATAGGTAATAAACCCCATGGGGTCACTTGATAATTTTTATATCCATCCAATAGCTAATTATGGGTAAGAAATTTCTTTGTTATCTGATACTCTTGGGTACCTGATTTTGATAAACCGTTTTGTTAATATGGGTTCAACGAACACATAAGAATTTAAAAAAGCGGAATTTATTTGAACTAATTATTTTGGAAACAATTGCTATGATTAGTGGTGGTATCTTATGTGCTCAACAGCAAGCTCATATTTTGATTTTTATTGGGTCTGATCAGCACTTTGTGGTTGATACTTTAAGGTTTGAAAATTTGTTTTCGACATTTTTTGGTGAATTTTTGATGATTGCGAATGGACCTACCTGTATATAAAATGCCTTGGCCCTTACTTTTGCTAGCCTCCCCCCCCCTCTCCCCACTTTCAAATTCGTGGCGTAGGCCCTGGATAAGGGAGTAAAGTGATACAGGTTACTCTTGGCCCTGAATGAAACCGGACTCTTAGAAAACTGCGTACAGCATTCAGCTTGCTCTTGATTTCCAGGCATTGACTTCCAGAGTCCCTTCTTAGAAAGCAAGGCAATGTCATGACGGTGAACGTGCTCTGAATTTGAATACAGTATTAGAACAAAAGCTGTTTAAATGACTACAGATTATAATAAAAACGAGTTAATGAATTTCAAAACATCACCAAGTCGCCTCAAAACAACAGGATAGATAGGGTTAAGGTAAGGTAGCTATTTGAGCCCCCCTGGGTGCTAACCAACCAAGATGAATTCTTAATTACATAGAATTCTTAATCGCGCAGGTCTTTTGATTGAAAAAAGTGACTTCACTTACTGAACAAATCAACCTGCATTAATATGAAAGATAATTATTACTTTATTGATACTATAAAGCGATGCTCCTTAAAGGGAGCGATCTTATAAGCAAGAATGAAGTTCTATGATGGGACCACTTCAGTGAGTCCTATTCAGATACTGGAATAACTTGTCGCTTGAAAGAGACTTTATGCGAACTTAACAATACGCAAATCATTGTATTTTAGTAACGTCATCAGGAACCATCAACAGTTCTGGGCTACTAGCTTGCCGTCCAATTAAAATTCGTTTCTTTCCATAAACTGCCGAGCAACTTCTAATTGGCCCCATGTTTGGAAGGCTTAAGGTAAATGGCAGGGATTTAACGCTATCCTCAGTAGAGTGACAGCAGGCACTGGTCTTTCGCCTTATGTCAAAAACTTTTTCCATTTCTGCTATTGGTTTACCTCCTTCCAGTAGTGGTTGAGAACTGTTGAGCGTATATGGATTGTTCACACAGAAACCCACTCTAACAGGCTGGTCACATGCATTGATCTTCCGAGTTTTTCTTGTCGCGTTCAGTGGTTCTCCTTTACTCCCTTCTAAATGTGTCACTCTATCTGGCGCAACTAAATCAACTGTCAATTCTGACGAGTTACTAAATGCGTGTGAATTGACTGGCCTAACACAGGTACCCATCTTCCGAGTTCTTCTTGTCACACCAAGTACTTCTTCTTTGTATCCACCTTTTTGCTCCACATTTGGAGCACTTGAATTAGCTGGCGATTCACACAAGTCACTAGATTGATGCAAATTGATAGGCCTGTGACAAGCACTGATCTTTCGAGTTTTTCGTGTCACTTTCAAAGGTTCTCTCGTGTTTCGTTCTATTTGTTCCAATTTATTTAGTCCACTTGACTGAGCTGTCATTTCTGTGGGATCACTAAATGCATCCAAAATGATAGGCCTGTCACAAGCACTGATCTTTCGAGTTTCTCCTGTCACATTCAAGGGTTCAACAATGGGTCTACGAAGTTGTTCAATTCTGTCATGTAGATTTAAGTCAGCAGTCATGGAAGTTAGCTTTTCACCTGCGCTTATTCTTCGCATCTTTTCTTGCCTCTTTGGAGCCAGCTTTCCTTCATCAAAAGATTGGCTCTGGGGCGCTTTCTTTTCTGACGTGTAAGATGACAGCAAACCGACTCTTCCAATGTCGCTATTCATAACACCGGTAGATAAACTCCTTTGGATAAACCTTGAATGGGTATTACTATTCATCGTCAAATTCGACCCTGAAGTAAACGATTGGTGCGACTTACACTTTGGAGGATCTAAATTAATTTTCGGTAGAACAAAACCCTTGTCGTCTTTCCAGGACTGTGAGACACTTGATTGGATGGTAGCACTGTCATCTGGCAAGAGATTCCTTAAATCTTGTTCACTTCTAGAGTATGAGCGTGGCCTTAGTCCTGTATGTTCTTGTTCAAGCGCATCAGCACCTGAATGTGCCGCTACAGAGAAACTCTTATCATGTTTATATTGCTCCTGTTTTGAGAATCGGGAGCCTAATTTACTGCCAATCGACGCAAGATCTTCTGCAGATCGAGACAACGCTTTTAGGCGCGACGTGGACTTTTTCCGTGCTTTTTCAAGTACTTTCTCGCGCTTAAGCTGGTTGTCCATGAGTTTCGTCTTTAGCACATTTTGTTGCTGAAGGAAAGTTTTATACGCTCTCTCAGATTCCTTGCTCACTTTCTTCAAATCGATGTCAACATTTTTCTGTCGCACAGACAGCGCACGTATCCATGACTTCGACAGGGCGTGCACTTCGTCCTCAACCATCTTGAAATTCATCTGAAACAACTTTAGCAACGACGTAACAACTGATTACTTTATCAGCATTTGATAGTTTTAGCACATTACCTTCGCCGAGGTTATTGCTAATATAAGCAAATTTTGATTGAGAAATGTATCCCCTTCCTTTAATGTGACGGTATCAACACCTTTTAGTGAGCTTCTTTCCCCTTTCAATTAGATCCAATGATTCAACCAAAAGAAATGCAACCAACATAACCAAATTGTACATATATAATCTAACATAACACATATAAACATATATTCACGCTTTAAAAAAGGACGACGTGAGAAGCTTTAAAACAATTTATTTCCCAGCCGACAAGCAAAGTACCTCTTTGGGAATATGTTTTTGATGGGGCACGAAACTCTTTCCTTACAATGCCAGTTAGAAGTAATTGGCCTTCAGAGAGCCAAATTTCAAAAGCAGTGCTTTCTAAAGGAGTAGCAAAAGGAGTTTATAGTTCAGTGCTGATGCGGAAAACAGGTTACTGGCATCTTTGGTGATGCTTGGAACAAGGAAGAGAAACATTTAGGGCATCAACAGTAAAAACAAAACAGAGCCAGGAAAACCCACCATAACTCCTTCTCAGTTATGGTCTGTGATGCAGGCTAGGAAAACCCTGACAAAATCTCCATATGTCTGGTGTTTTGCTTATTGGATTTTATGTTTCTCAGGGGCAAGAGACCAAACAAATCCAACAATTCGCTAAACAATAATTATCATCACCTATAACAATGTATATTTTTTATGGTACTCTGAACGTTTTTGACTCTGAACGCTATCAGTCCATGTTGCATTATGTTTGATTGAGTTCAAGCAAGATAAAATAATAGAACTATTGAGTTAGACCCCCCTTTTACACGGAAGAAACGGAGAAACGGGATAGATCGATCCCAAACTGAATCGATCCGTAAATTTCGCTTGCGTTTACACGGGATCCATCCCAAAACATTATGTGTTTACACGGGATCGATCCCAGATCGGCCCTTAGGGAGGGACGCACATGCGTATTGCTTATGTCATTAGCAACACAAAGAAGATAGAGTTGATAGCGCCAAATTTGTAGGAAGATTGACAACAAAATGGCTTAGAATTCGAAAAATAATAAATGGCCCTACTCCTGAAGATCACGCTGGAGTACAAAACTTCGAAGTTAGCCGATGGCTAGGACTGGGAGACTATTCGTTCTAAGTATGAGGACATCTATAAAAACTTTATAGCGGCCTACCCAAATGAGGAGGAAGGGGGTGGGTGAAGCGTTTCCAACAGGCGACGCTGCCTCTATGTCGAGAATAAGTCATTCCCATAAGTTGAACACTGTTCGCTAAATTTGTCAATAAAGTTGTAAAAAAATTCCTCCATATTATTTCGTTTTTCTCTTCTGGTGGGCGAGAAACGAAAACGCGCGCAAAATCTGATAGAAGAAAGCTCTAAGCATCATGTTCAAAGCACCTCCAATTGGATAATTTATTAGCCTCGCTTCCTATCCTTGCCAATTTGGGATCGATCCCACCTTTTCGAGCGTTTACACGAGACGGGATCGATCCCAAACTGGAACGCTTTCCAAAGCGAACCCAAATTAGCACGGATAGCGGATCGATCCCGAGCGTTCCCGTGTAAACGGAAGGCCGACCCGTACCAGTTTGGGATCGATCCCGGCCTGGATCGATCCCGTGTAAACGGGGTCTAATAGTTCAACCATCGTGACCAATGCCTTTTGCATAGTCTAAAACTAGTCTAGGGGAAATTCCTTGTGACAGATTGATTCATTTACACGTTTTTTATTATAAGAAACTGGTTTTTAAGAAACAGGTACTTGGATGGCTAAAAATAAGATATATAATAAAGATATTTTAGTACAAGGCTCAAGAAAACTAAGAAACAGCAAAATTTCCATTTATAAAAGGAGTCAATGATAAATACTGAATTCTATTTTTATACGGCTCCGTATTAAATGCTATGATTTAACAACTCTTAGTGATTAATGGTGTAGAGAAAGTTTTTTGTGGATTTCGATCTGTATGGTTTTTCTCGTGAAGATCTGCGTTTATATTCTTCCAAAAATGCTCAACTTCAAAACATCAAGGAAATTTTAGGTCCCGAAAATAAGAAAACCAACTAAGAAACTTCTAGTACTAAAACGCCAAAACTTAGATGCCAAGTCAGGAAACTTTTAGCAATTAATGCTGATTCATTTTTTTTGAAAAAATGGTTTAAGAAGAAAATGGAGAGATTTTCAGTGTAAAATCACCATGAGCTGCCAAAAGACTCAATGTTATCGGCACTGAATAAAACGCAAGAAGATGTTGATTAAAGAGGTGTATAAAATCACGCTTCGTGGAGAACAAGGAAAGAATATGCAGTGGTATCGCTTGACCTTCAAGACGAAGGAGGTGGAGGGTCATCAGACATAGGTGGACATAGATGGAGAAGGTGGAGTATCATCAGACATAAGACATAGATGGAGAAGAATTTAGGCGCTATTTCGCCTACTGATAGATGATTTACCCACAAACTAAGGATTTTGTAGACAAACTGGAGATTTACCGACGAATTCATGAGGTATTGGGGGGGGGGGAGGTGTTACACCCCCACTAGCTACGGATAGCTACATTACTTTTGCTTGCATGCACAGTTGTTACAACTGCTTAAAAAAACTTTCATGATTTCGACTGCTCTGTGATTTGATTGGTTTAGACGGGTTTAGACCGACCAACTTGCATTTTGGTCGGTTTAGAGCAAGCTATTTCATCCTTGTACATATATTCCTTATGTTCGTCCTCGCCAGAAGTAAAAATAAACACGTGGTTAAAAAACCAGAAAACATTCAGTAAGGGTCAAAGGGAGGGTCACATTCAATTTCATCTCTATTTTTACTGTCCTTGAAAGATTGCGAAGACCAGTGGCGGACTGGCTACTATTCTACTCACCAGGAAAAGTAACCAAAAGGGCGCCAATAGGTGCGAAAGTTGCTTAACTTTGGGGTTTGTAAAACGGGTCCAGAAAAACTTTGTGTAGCTGAGAATCAGTTTTTTGAAAACGTTGTCATAATTCATTCTAAAAACCCTTCGCAATGGGCAACAGAATGGGGAAACTAGGATGCAAACGAAACGGGGGCTTGGAGGTCATCTTGCTCTTTCGGACCCTTTATTCTGACGTTTTATGCTCTGAGGAGTGTCAGACGAAAAAGCTTTTAGTATGTTGTAAAATGTTTGGGTTTTTAAGCTGTTTTCAAAACAAAGTATGTTCTTTTCAAGGATTTCTGAAAGTCTAGCAGAATTTGCTGATGAAATAAATCTTACAAAAACAGGAATTGAGAAACTTCGCAATCAATCTCAATATTGCTCAACTTAAAGGTGAAGCTAAGCTTTTTATGCAAACGTATTTTGGACGGTAGGTCAATTGATGATTGTAATCAATTTTAGTTCGCCTTTTGAAATTTTGAAAAAAAAACTTGAGGCAAAGAGCGCACCGGGAAATTTCCCGGTGTCCCGGTGGGCCAGTCCGCTTCTGGCGAAGACAACTAAGAATCAATTTTTGAGGAAAGTTTAGTGGAATTTCCAAGTATGCCCCTTTAAGTTTCTTCTCAAAATCAATAAAACCAAGACAAAAATCAAGAATAACTACTCAGTTTTATTCAATAATATTCATCAACAAAGCATTCATCTTTATTTTCTTTAAATTTGAAAAAAGAAAATTTAAGCTATTTACATAATGAAAAACATAATGACGATTATAAGATTTTATCTGCTGCGGCAAAAAGATCTACTCGTAAATGGCTACATCGATTTGCGGTTCAAAAAAGACAACCAGTATTGAAACCATTGTAGAAATGATAGTTCTAAAACCAAATTTTACCAAAAGTGCTAAAAATCAAAAGGAATTTCATCCATGATGAGGACGGATGTTCCTTGCAAAGTGGATCGGTTTCATTTCTATCCAGGAAATCTCGTAACAGAAGGATGAACCTAGATGATCTCTGGTTGAAAAAGATTGGCTTCAAAGAATCAGGATGTGACAGGCTTTATGCCATACAGAACAACGTGGTATAATCATAGATCGTTAATACAGATACAGAATAAAAAATATGAAATTGTAATGAAGAAATAAAACAGCATATTTTGTACAGCAGCCTGCGAGGCTTATATGCAAATTTCTTTTATTTGTAAACATATATGGGACCAGAGAATAAATATTACAAACAGGCACTGGTATAAGATTCTGAAGTAGAGAGCTTGGAATAGATACCCAAAATAACGTCACAAACATTTTCAATATTCAGTTGACCCTTGGAAACGTCATAATTGTTAAAAACGGGATATCATTGCTTATACAACTGTTAAGGATGATGCAAGATTTGGGAAAGAACGCGGCGTCGCTTTGACGTGAAGACGAACTATGGTGTCAGTTTGCAGGCTTTTGAACGGAAGAGAATGAAGCTAGAGTAAGAGGGTTCGGAGGGAATATTTGCTTCTAATTGATAAGTGTGCGTTGCGTGTAAAAGTTTGTTACGCGTGCGTGCTGTTCAATCACATACACGGGTATTGCGTAATCAAAATTGAACTTTCTTAATAAAACTTCTAAAAAGATAGAACATAAATTCAAAAAATATTATCACTGCACTAGCTAGTTAAAAATCTATGATTTAACGCATCTGAAGCGGTGATGCGTTGAGCCGGATCAAGTTTTAAGCACTTTGATAGCAGATCATACGCGCTATCCGGTATGCAGTAACAATCGCCGTACGAAAACGTCCGCGTTCGTGTTTCTGTGTCACTGACACGTTGATACTGTGGCGAATCTTCTAATGGTTGTATTTTGTTATTAGAAATAGGAGTCGAAGTATTTTCCAAGTTATCGTACCCACGTAAACCTTGCCGCTTTCTCGGACTTCGTCGAGGTTCTATTTTCGTAGAAGTCTCTCGCCTGCCATCTGCGCTGTTTCGATTCGGGGACACACTTGTATTAATTCGTTCCTCGCTTTCGTTTGATTCAAAACTTTCGATTCTCGGACGTTTCGATACTGCATCGCGAGACGAGTATTTTCGCTTGGTGCTAGTTAGTCTTTGGCAGGTACAAGTCTTTTGCCGTAGCCTCTCACACAATGACTTTAGCTCAAAAGGAGGCATAGTTTGAGAACAGGTCAAGTCTTTGCCTAAAAACACATAAATGAATAATGTAGTGGTAGGTTACGTCCTAATATTACCAGGGCCATTATCTAACACTTCTCGATTGTATTCTATTTAAAATACGACCCTTTCTTTTAATAAGGAAGATATAATTTGAATAATCACCCCTCGCTTTAGAACTGGAGCGCTCAATCGTAAAGGCCATCTTTTAGAAAGCACACTAATATAAAGGACATCCACTTACAGATTGGTATCTAGTTAACACTGAAGGCTATCTTTTAAACAGCTTTGAATTCAGAAGCCTGTGCATACCACCTAAGGCCTAGGCAAGAGACCAGGTACGGGGATCAAGCCTCCATTCCTAGATTTCTTCAGCAGGGGCGAAAATACAGCAAAAAATTAGGACATAGGTAAATATCAGAATATGGAAATAAAATACAGGTAAACAATTTATATAATTGTAATCACTAGCATAGCGGTCAAATCTTTGATTGGCTGAGAGCTCTGTTCGCTGCCATGTTCTAAGCCAATCAGCACACAGGATTCTCACAACAAAACCGCCTCGCAGCTAGAATTAGGCCCATTTTCGCCATTTCAGCGTGTTTTTACCACATTGTCTACAAAAAACATTGCATGCCTCTACAAAGCCAATTTCCACTTTATATTTTGTCCAGTTCATCATCATGCGTTGCTATTTAACCTATATTGGCGCCACTGTTCGATCGCAAAAAATAATATAAAAAAACACCTCGCAAATGATCGGTAAATTTCGTGTCGAGATTCAGGTTAATTAGGTTTTTACCTCTCCCCACCCAAAACGCTAGAGACATTTCACATTTAGACAAAATCAATTATATACTTACATTAAATATAGGAATGGTTCATAATCCGGTCAAAGATGCACTCACTGTTCAGTCTTAGATTCGGCGGGGATCGCCAATTTAATTATCACAACGGTACGAAGGCTCTCATATTCACCCTCGAAATCAATAAATGTATCTTTGTCCTCTGGAATCAAAATCTGCTTCATAAAAGTGAAAAATTTTCAGCAACAGCCCAAAGTAATTTCAATCATGATTGTCCAGACAATTGACCATTATTACTAATTTTATGTGATGAAAATGGCGAATACACTCACGCGGTAAGACGAAAATGGCGAATTGACGAAAATGCATCCTTGAAATTTTCCCGCCGTTTTCAAATTTTATTAGATCCCAGTCTTACCGCGTGAGTGTATTCGCCATTTTCATCACATAAAATTAGTAATAATGGTCAATTGTCTGGACAATCATGATTGAAATTACTTTGGGCTGTTGCTGAAAATTTTTCACTTTTATGAAGCAGATTTTGATTCCAGAGGACAAAGAAACATTTATTGATTTCGAGGGTGAATATGAGAGCCTTCGTACCGTTGTGATAATTAAATTGGCGATCCCCGCCGAATCTAAGGCTGAACAGTGAGTGCATCTTTGACGGGATTATGAACCATTCCTATATTTAAGGTAAGTATATAATTGATTTTGTCTAAATGTGAAATGTCTATAGCGTTTTGGGTGGGGAGAGGTAAAAACCTAATTAACCTGAATCTCGACACGAAATTTACCGATCATTTGCGAGGTGTTTTTTTATATTATTTTTTGCGATCGAACAGTGGCGCCAATATAGGTTAAATAGCAACGCATGATGATGAACTGGACAAAATATAAAGTGGAAATTGGCTTTGTAGAGGCATGCAATGTTTTTTGTAGACAATGTGGTAAAAACACGCTGAAATGGCGAAAATGGGCCTAATTCTAGCTGCGAGGCGGTTTTGTTGTGAGAATCCTGTGTGCTGATTGGCTTAGAACATGGCAGCGAACAGAGCTCTCAGCCAATCAAAGATTTGACCGCTATGCTTACATAGGTATAACAATATGTGCATTTGGTCCCCTAAAAGTTTTAAGATAGAATGGGAAAATGGAAAAATAACAAGTGTGACAATGATAAGGAAGTAAAGCCTGGTTTTAATAAATCGTAACCTGTCGGCGATGATCCCGATGATCCCCGATGCACGGCATTCCTGATGGTCGGGGACATACCTTTCCATATTGTCTCTGTTTCTTCATACTTACAGTGAACGCCCCCGACATCCGTAGATTAGGGGAAGGTTAGGGTAGAATAAAGTTACTACCTGAGGCAGCATCATGGTTGCCGCCGAAGGGGAAATCTTTTATGATCTAATGCTTCAAATTCGTCGGAAATCGCATTATTTGAAGCAAATTTTAATGATAAAATCTTATTCTTGAATTGAATATCCACTGGGGGAAATCGATGGTTTTGATCGACTTCTGCCTTTTTTTTACCTTACGCAACATAATTGCATAAATTTCCAAATCTGGGACACAATTTTTAAAAATCTGGTGGTAGGCACAAATTTGGTACTGTCCTGGCCTTCAATATCAAATAAAGATATAATTTATACAAATTTTGACCAATTTCCATAACCAAATTTAGCCCTTGAAGTTTCGGATTTTAACTGGCAAAATCCGAATAGCAAATCACTCTTTGGTGGGAATCGGTAAATCCTGAGAAATCATTTTTTTGTAGTAATTTAGTATTTTCTTTACAGAAGTACTTTAGTCCAAGTAATTTATGTTGCTAAAAGTTTGAGAATTACCCACAGCTCAAGTTTGAGAATTTTCCGACAAAATAAC